TCTCTCATTTCGAGACTATAGTTTTGACCACGGAGGTCACGGAGTCAGGCAAACTTTTTCAAGCAGAGTCTGGTCCACGTCCCTTCAGACTTTTGGGGACGGCACGGACTATTTTATTTTTGAAGAATAAAAAAATGAACGAAACTTCCGTATCCGCACAAATAACCCAGAGATGCATTTTAAATAAAAGCACCAGTTCTACTCATGTTAGAAAACCATGCTGATTTCCCGGACCAGCCACGGCCGTCATTGAGACGTCACAATTGGCGCCGGATCCGGCCCCCGGGCCTTAGTTTGCCTGCTTACCCATGGCATACGGTCATACAGACAAGAACAGCGTAAACTTGCGGGGGTCAGTGGGGGTGGGAACAGTCTGGCTCTCCTGTTGCCCTCATCCATAACATACAATAATATATTCTTACTGTGTCACTTAGCATTTTTCCTCATTATTTTAGCCTAACAGGCCCAGCAAACAAAGCACCCACACCCAGCAGTTCATTGAACTTTTGATCGCCTCTGATATTTAGTCACACACTAGTTCATATGCTAAACAGCCACTGCAGATGTATCCAGATCCAATATTGACCAAGGTGCTGGTTTACACAGGAAACTATGTCCTAGGTGAATAATTGAATAGACTGTATTTGAGCAAATTGCATTTATAACAGATCAAAACCACGGCCAAGCATATTTACTGGAGGCTTTGCCTTCGAGTTTCATCTTCTCATTACACCATCCTGCCCATGCCATGCTTACTTCTAATGTTTTAGAGAACCAGCCTCTCGTGATTAAACTGCCCCGGAAATCTCTCACCTTGTAAAATAATATTCACAACGGCTACCTGCTACGTCATCTGTTGACAGGCAAGGATGAATTCACTCGATCCAAAACTAACCCCACGACGTGATACCACCACATGTATCTCAGTGGGCCTGCAACTTGGAACTCCTACAAAGCCCTGGTCGTTTTTGACAGGGGCTACCTAGAAAAGCAGAAATTAAAGAGCAAGGGAGAGAAAGGCCAAATTAAAATAGCCATTCCACAGCAATACACATGAACTTCTAATCTGTTAATTATCGGAAACAAAAGAATTTATTGGCTCATGGAGCAACTCTCGCTTTAGAGGCAGAGGTTATATCTTCTACAGGAGTTTCAAAAATAAAAAAAATTAAAAAATACCCACTGTCTTTCTGTCTTAAAAAGAAAAAATAAAATTCCACCGACGGTGGCAAACATATTCTCAATTTTTATTTTTTTAAAAAACAACCACATTATGACAAATAAGTTGACTTATTAAGATATTTGACTAAAATCTTTACACTTAAAGCCAGCCAAGGTTACAAACCACTACATTATCCAAAAAGGGGGTCTTGCAACCCCGCGGCTCCGGAAGCCGCATGTGGCTCTTTTACACCCTTTGCCGCGCTCCGGGCGCGCGGCATACTAGCGACGGGCGAGGCAGGCGGCATGGTGCCCCCCAACACTCCACACTGGTGGCGGGTGCTGTTACTGGCCCACATGTGGACGTCTCTGCCCCATCGGGGGGCGGTGCGTGGCGTTAGTCACTGATGGTCTTCACCCCAGTTTCACGGTGCTTGGTTTCTGATTCTCAACAGTTCTACTTCAAACTCTGTGCTGCAAACACCGCCGCCCACCTCTCAGATTTGTCTGGGGGGTGAGGCAATAGAATCTGCCTGCCGCCAGACCAGTCCTCCCCCTGTTAGGCAGGTACTAAAGAAGACATCTTCAGCTATTCAAGTGCACTGTTCAGGGCCTTACAAGCTAATACACTTATTGGCTAAGAAACATCAGCCAAAGGGGAAGAATTTTAAATATTGGTGAAACGCATTCATATTGCAGTCACCAGAAACTCAAAAGGCGTCACTATTCAGGATTGCTGGCGTTTTCAATCGCTTTTCCGCGCACAGCAGGAAGTTCCAGTGCCTCCCTTTACACATCCTGCGCACCTGTCGAAGCTAGGCTCATGTGCTATACATAAAGATCAGCCAGCCTGCATTTAACAGATCATGCTTGCTTTGTTTTCATTTATTTAATGCAGTCATTACTTGGCTAATTTCATTGATCTCAGCAATAAGGAGACGCCACTAAACTTTCTAGTTACCAAAAAGGAGAAAGAATTAACAATCGGCGAGATTACATCCGCGGTACCTAGAGAGCAAGACCGCGATCCATAGACCAGAAGGATGAGGGCAAAAAACGTCCAAATGGCTGGAAGACGATAGTGGCAGCGTGAATGAAGACCTTCCACCACCTGGACAAGGCCAATCGCGGGGATACTCGCTGCGCTAATAACTTTCAACATAAGATAACCTGCAAAGGCAAGGAGACTTTTTAGTTGAATTTTACCCTACTGCGACAAACTCAAAAGTCTCACCCACAGCTCTCGAAATGTAATCTTTATATGAATGTTCCTAGCCTATAGTCTTCATTACAAAATGTATGATGTCATCCTGACTTCATGAGCCACCTACTAACAATAATGGTGCTGGGCATCGCGCACATATACTGGTCAGAAAAACCTGAGCCTGCCCACCAACTGATGCAGCCCTTTTGCTGCCCACCAGTATTTCAAAAAGTGGTAACTTACTGAAGTGTGTATCTAACCAAGGATATTTCACTATAACTTCCACTTCCTTACATTTCTCGTTTAAGCAAAGCTTTTACAGTCATACCTCGGGTTGAATGCCGCTTCAGGTTGCGCTCCACGGCAAACCGGAAGTAACGGAGTGCGTTACTTCCGGGTTTCACCCGCCTTGCGCATGCGTGCAGACATGCTGTTGGTAGTTACGTTTGCTTCTAGATTGCGAACAGGGCTCCGGAACGGATCCCGTTCTATTCAGCGTAACCACTGTACTACCACTATCAGATGCATGAACACTACCACTAGCTCCATATGTAATTTAAGCATTTATTATTTATATATCCCTCTCCTAGCTCCAACTCATCCTTCTCATGCTAAAAACAAAAGAAAAACCCTTCATTACCATGACACTGTCCATCTCTCACTCCACACCATAGAGAAAGAAAACAACACGCATAATGTGTGTATAACTGCACTTGCTGTCAATGGATTTTCTATGGGCTTGGTTCATATAAGATTTTAGCCAGCGGCGGAGGAAGTTGCCTGGGTGCCTGGGGCGGTGCGCCATAGGGGGCAGGGCGAGGCAAGCCCTTGGCTGCCAGAGTCTGCCTGCCTCCTCCACTCAGCTGCCCTACAGCTGGGGGGGAGGCAGCGGGCAGACATTTGGGCAGCGTGGAGCCTGCGTGCGCCAAGCCACTGCGTCACTCCCAGGAGAGACATTGGCTTGGCACGTGCAGGCCGCGGTGAGTGCTACCTGCACTTTGTCACTCCCCCTCAGTGGGGACACCAGGGCAGCCCGCACCCTCCTCCTCCGCCCCTCCTCAGTGCTTAGTTGCACATTTGGCAATATGCAGGAGCAAACCTTGGCTTTGTGCCACTTTCCCTACCAAGTACAGAGCTTATAACGTGAATGGGAGAAAGGGGCCACATGGTGACATGAGAGGGACATTGCACTACGGGTGCATCAACTAATTTTTACTCAGAAAAGATCCATTGAAATGAAGCATCTTTGTTGTCGCGTCCGTTAATTTTCATTAATTCCAGAATCTCAGTATGACTGATACTTGATACACCCAATGTCTCTAACTTGATGTGGCAGGTTCCAGGCCCTGTGGGAAGGCAAGCATCAGAAGCGGGCCCTCTGATGCTCCAGCTTAGCTCTCGTCGCACTACCTGCCCCTCTCCTCAAGTCCCTCTCGATCTTCTCTCCGACCTCCCTCCATACCAAGACTATACATCTTCCAGCACGACGTCACCACCGTTGCCATTCGTTACATCACGACCTTCCTCCAGAGATAATCACCACCGAACATACTCCAACTCCTATACTCCACACCGTCCCCAACAGTCTCTCCCTAGCTCACGATCGTACGCCTTCCCTGTTATGCCCCCTCTGTCTCTCTCCTCCCGCGTACATCCCGTGCCTCAGTTCAACCGCTCCTTCACCCCTCCCCCCTAGCCTCCTACTTCTGCGCACTGCCTCCTCTGCCTCAGACTGCCATCCAACACACCTCTCCCCCCACTCACTCCGACCTCCCGAGTGCCACCCCTAGCTCTCACCCGTCTCCTTTTGATGTCCTTGTCTCTCCTCGCTCCTCCTGCATATCTCACTGTCCTGCTCTTTTTGGCTCGTCTCTCCGCGCCTCTTGCCTCCCTGCCCCACTCCCCCCTCCCTGCCTCCATTGCTCTCTAACCTCTTCTTGCCCTCTCGCTACCCCTCCTCCTCATCTTCTCCCTTTCCTCCCGCCGGGGGCCTTCATCGTACTTTGCTCTGCTCTCTCCTCCCCTCGCTTTCTCGTCTATTCTCTCCCCGCCTCTCCTCCTTGCTAGCCTGTTCCGTCACTATAGCCTTCTGCCCCTTTTTTTTTCTCTACCCCGCCCTTACTCCTCCTCCTCCTGATCTCTTCCTCTTCACCCTCTTGTTCTCCTCTCTCTTTCTCTTTCGCCTCACCATTCCCTCCTTCCTCTCCTCTTCTCCTCCTCTCCTCCCTCTCTCTCTTGGGGGGGTTTTGCTCTTCCTGCTCCTTTTCCGTTGCACTCTCGTCTCCTCCTTTCGCCATCTTTCTCCTATGGCCTCGCCCTGCTTGCCTCTTGTCCTGCTTTCTTCGCTTGCATAGAAAACCTACCTGCATACTCCACAATGTATGAGGTCTGCTTCATGTTTTTCCTACAGGACCTAGGGGGGCCTTGAATTTGGCCTGTACCTGTGTACAGCATCGCACATATGAATTGCAAATGCTTACTGCATGAACGAGAAAGCTGTCATTGCAGCGTGAAGCTGAATACTTTGCTCCTGCTCTGGCCTACACAGATCTGCAGCATGTGTCAAGGAGCCCTGACTCCACAGCTATTAAATACGTACCGTGAAGAACTGTAGCTGCAATGGCATAGATCAGAAGGCCTGACGATTGTCTTTGGCTATTTGAAGCTGATCAACTGTAAGAGTATCGCTAGGAGACTTCCGCTGCTTGGCGTACAACCACCACAATACTCCTGTACCACCTGTGCTCACGAAGAAGAAGAAATTGTGCATTTCAGTTTCACAACATATGTGTAATAACGTATAAGGAGCACAATTAGCTTGGCCAGTTTCATTCCTTTACCAGGCTAGACTCAGACTTAACTGATCTGCTGCAACATAAATGTCAGGACGGTGTGGCATTCTGATATCGCAAAAGACAACTGATCAAAGAGGGCTTGCTTTTTACAAGACATCTTACCACAGCTATGATGCTGTTCCATAATTAGAAGCTGAGGAGTTCCAGGCAAGAAAAAGGTTATAGACAGGAATGATTAACTAAGACATTCAATAGGCTTAGGATAGGATGATCGGCACGAACCAGAATCGCAACTGGCACCTCTCCCTGAAGCCTGCTCATAGATCTCTCCCTATTTCTTTGAGGCCTTGCTTTGCATTCCACCTTCATCACTGGTGAGAACTAAGAGGGCTTTTTTTTTTAAAGCTGGGATCAATGGAGCATCCATTTGCCCTCCCCCCCCCAAATACCGTATTTTTCGCACTATAGGACGCACTTTTTCCCCTCCAAAAATGAAGGGGAAATGTGTGTGCGTCCTATGGTGCGAATGCAGGCTTTCGCTGAAGCCTGGAGAGCGAGGGGGGTCGGTGCGCACCGACCCCTCTCGCTCTCCAGGCTTCAGGAGAGCCCCACCGCCAGCCCCACAAGCTGGGGACAGCGGGAGAGGCGCAGCGCGCCATTCCCGCTGTCCCCCGACTTGGTTAGAAGGCTGGCGGGGGGAGAAGCCTGCTCCTCCCCGTCGCCAGCCCCGCAAACTCGGGGGACAGCGGGAGAGGCGCAGCGCGCATTCCCGCTGTCCCCCGACTTGGTTAGAAGGCTGGCGGGGGGAGAAGCCTGCTCCTCCCCGTCGCCAGCCCCACAAACTCGGGGGACAGCGGGAGAGGCGCAGCGCGCCTTTGCCGCTGTCCCCCGACTTGGCTAGAAGGCTGGCGGGGGGCAGAAGGCCTGCTCCTCACCGTCGCCAGCCCCGCAAACTCAGGGGACAGCGGCAGGGGCGCAGCGCGCCTTTGCCGCTGTCCCCCGACTTTGGCTAGAAGGCTGGCGGGGGGAGAAGCCTGCTCCTCCCCGTCGCCAGCCCCGCAAAACTCAGGGGACAGCGGCAGGGGCGCAGCGCGCCTTTGCCGCTGTCCCCCGACTTGGCTAGAAGGCTGGCGGGGGAGAAGCCTGCTGCCTCCCCGTCGCCAGCCCCGCAAACTCGGGAGACACGCGGGAGAGGCGCAGCGCGCCTTTGCCGCTGTCCCCCGACTTGGCTAGAAGGCTGGCGGGGGGAGAAGCCTGCTCCTCCCCTGTCGCCAGCCCCACAAACTCGGGGGACAGCGGGAGAGGCGCAGCGCGCCTTTGCCGCTGTCCCCCGACTTGGCTAGAAGGCTGGCGGGGGGAGAAGCCTGCTCCTCACCGTCGCCAGCCCCGCAAACTCAGGGGACAGCGGGCAGGGGCGCAGCGCGCCTTTGCCGCTGTCCCCCGACTTGGCTAGAAGGCTGGCGGGGGGAGAAGCCTGCCTCCTCCCCGTCGCCAGCCCCGCAAACTCGGGAGACCAGCGGGAGAGGCGACAGCGCGCCCTTCCCGCTGTCCCCGACTTTGGTTAGAAGGCTGGAGGGGGGAGCCTGGTTTTGCGGCGAGGCGGGGGAATCCCCCCGCCTCCCAGGAAAGCCAGGAGAAGCCGTGCAGCCCTTTTTAAAAGGCGCACGGCTTCTGCCGGTTTTGCGGGAGGTGGGGGGAATCCCCCCGCCTCCCAGGGAAAGCCAGGAGAAGCCGTGCAGCCCTTTTAAAAGGCGCGTGGCTTCTGCCGGTTTTGCGGGAGGCGGGGGAATACCCCCGCCTCCCAGGAAAGCCAGGAGAAGCCGTGCAGCCCTTTTAAAAAGGCGCGCGGCTTCTGCCGGTTTTGCGGGAGGTGGGGGAATCCCCCCGCCTCCCAGGAAAGCCAGGAAAGCCCTGTGCAGCCCCTCCGCCAAGGAGAGGCTGCACGGGGCTAAAGGGGAAGCCAAAACAGCGAGCGGGATCCATCCCGCTCGCTGCCTTGGCTTCCTCCATAGCTGCGCGCAACCCCTCTGCCAAGGAGAGGCTGCACGGGGCTATGGATTCTTTAGCCCCACGCAGCCTCTCCCGGGAGGGAGAGGCTGCACGGGGCTAGGGGAAGCCAAAACAGCGAGCGGGATCCATCCCGCTCGCTGCCTTGGCTTGATCCATAGCTGCACGCAACCCCTCCGGCAGGGAGAGGTTGTGTGCAGCCTGTACGCTGCTCTTTGGGGCTGCGGGGGGAAAAAAGTTTTTTTTCTTGAATTCCCCCCCTAAAAACTGGGTGCGCCCTATGGTCCGGTGCGCCCTATGGTGCGAAAAATACGGTACATTTTTTACCTCAGCTGAACTTCTCAGTTCCCTTGGGTAGATGCTGTTTTCGCTGAAATGATAACTTGACAGGAGACAACCATCTTAACTGCTTAATACTCTTTCAAACTATTGTTTTCCCTGCTCCTTTGTATCCTGCTTTGAGCACATTCTGTTTGCCGGAAACTGAAACTCGGAATTCTATAAATAATGCCCTCTTCTCCGATCTCCAAATCATCTTGCCCAAGGATCCTGCGGTGGGAAGGGTTATCTGCTTCCTCCTCCAACTGCTGGCTTGAAGAAAACTGCTGTTTGTGGGTGGCTTTTCACAAATGCCTCTTGCCAATATTGATGCAGCGCATCCATACAATTAGGGCAAAGACAGCCAAGAACACTCTTGTAATTTTATTGCTTTTTATCTTGTATCGCTTTATTTCCCTTGCCTGCTTCTTTTGCACTTTTCTATTCAGCCAAGTCACATTCCCTGAAATCATCAATGGGAGGTAATTGTGGAATGTAAATATTGCCAATGCTTTGTCCCTTTATTTTTCTTCCTAATAATTGGCCGCATCCTCATTCAGTCCCATAAATCCTTAAACCAAATGGATATTGCTCCCATGGGCATAGCTTTAATAGTGCAACAATGGCTGCAAATCAATTGTTTCTGAAGTAGAAGGTGAATGGCTTTAAAGGAAGCAAGAAGGACAAAGGGAAGCATCACTTCCCTACTGATCTCCTCCAGTGTCTCTCTTTAAAGGCAGGAAAATGAACTCCCATCTTTGCAATGCTCATAGAACAACCCAGGAGGACGTATGCGCCTGTTCTCAAGTCATGCTTCAACATTTGCCTGAGCAGACAAATGCCAATGTGTGGACAGAGGAAGGGGACATACACAAGCCCCACTTCAACAATGCCATTGTGTGCAACCCCCACCCTTGGCTCCGTCCCTGACCTTCCCAGCGTTGCACAGGCTTCACTTGAACACAAGTAAAGTCTTCCAGGTGATTAGGGACACTGCTTTATCAGGGATTCTGATCACTCCAAGGGGTTCTACTCGTATTCAAATGCATACAAGTAGAAGCTTGACGCAGTGATTTCCTGTGCAACATGGGAAGGGCAGGGGCTGGATGAGGTCCATGACAACGTTGGGAATGAGGCTTGCATGTGATCTGGATTCTGGCAGATAGTTACCCATAGCTAAGGGACCATTTGGATAGAGGGCGTCCAGCATAGGACCACACTAGTTTAAAAAAGCCACACACAAACACATGGGATTTTCTAGATCAATTTCAATTGGGGTTTAGGCCCAGTTTTGGCACAGAAACTGCTTTGGTCGCCCTGCATTTGTTGGGAGAGAGACAGGGGAAATATGTCCTAGTTAATTCTCCTCGAACCCTTCGCGGCTTTCAGTACCATCAACCATAGTATCTGCCTGGAGAAGCTGTCTGAGTTGGGGGTAGGTGTCATCGCTTTCTGGTGCTTCCAGTCCTACTTGGGAGCTCAACAACCAGAGGGTGTTGCTTGCGGAGTACTTTTCAACCCCATGGAGCCTTCAATGTGGAGCTCCTCGGGGCTCAATTTGATCCCCTGTGTTATTTAACATCTATGTGAAACCACTGAGTGGGGCCATCTAGAGTTTTGGAGGACGTTGTCAGCAATATGACAATGGCACACAGCTCTACTTCTCCGTTACGTCTGCAGGAGAGGCAGTGAATGTGCCTTGGTAATGGATTGGATGAGAGCCAAGAAACTAGAGCTCAATCCAGATAAGACTGAGGAGCTGTTAGTGGGTGGTTCCCTAGACCGGATGGATGGATGGGAGGTTGCCTGCTCTTGATGGGGTTACATTCTCTCTGAAGGAGTGGGTATGTAGCTTGGCAGTCCTCCTGGATCCTTTGCTGTCGCTTGAGGCTCAGCTGGTTCCTTCACTGCAAGAAGTGAGGTTACAGGGAACCAGAGACAGGGCCTTCTTGGTAGTGGCGCCCACCCTGTGGAACACCCTTCCATCAGATGCCAAGGAAATAAACAACTATCTGTCTTTCAGAAAACATCTGAATGAAGCCCTGTATAGGGAAGTTTTTAATGTCTGATGTCTTACTGTGTTTTAATTTGTTGGAAGCCGCCCAGAGTGGCTAGGGCAACCCAATCATCATCATCATCACTACCATCATCATCATCGACCAGCTTCAGCAACTTACCAAGTGATCCCAGAACAACAAGAATTGTTAAAATCCAAACAAGTACTCTTGAAATGTATCTTATTATCACCATCATAATCATGGAAAGCACTGCAGAAAACAAAAGAAAATAAGAAGGGTAATTATTTAAAATGGAAACAGCAAAAACAAAAAAAGAGACTTTATTAATACAAATACAGTTGAATTCACTTTTTAACTGTTTGTACAAAAATTTACAAGATAAACTAGCTATCCTACTCAGTGTCTGATTTGCCAGTTAAACAAACCAACCCTATATGAACATTTACACATCATGGGACATATGTATTTAACAGAGAGATGCAGACACATACAATGACAGAACTAATGTTGACATGATAGAACTGCAACTTTATTATCATGAGTTGCAAAAATACCGCACAACTCATGTTGAGCACAACCCAAAAAGTTGCATGCAGACACACACATGCTCAAAAAGCACAATTATTATGACAAGTATGAATTAAGATGTCAAGATTGTGATAAGAACCACATGCTACTTTATGCTTGAGTTGCGTTTTTCAGGAGAGGTCATTAAATAAGATCTTTTCACTGTCAAACTTCTACTTGTCTAGCTCTTTGTTGATTTGGAACATGAAGGTCTCGTCTCTTGGCACTTAGTATCATAAGGCCATCATGGGCGAGTTTCTCCTACAAACTACACTGCCTTGGAAAAGCATGAAGAGCTTTAATGGCTTCCAGGCTGCGGGTATAATTTGGGAGGTGGCCACTGTTCCTGAAAGGAACCTGGTTGGTCATTCACATCAAACAAACAAAGTTTGTTTATGTGTGTGCAAATGTAAAAGTATACTATAGAGAAAGCCCAAAATTAGCAAGTATCCAAAAACACAGAAGAACAGGTGAATGCTGACAATCACTTAAATGTGACTCAGAACATACGCCAGTGAATACTGATATAATGGGGAAATGCCTATCTGTTTTCAGACATTTAGTAACTTCAACCGGGATTGTCAACATTCACACATGCATGCCAGCATTCACTGACATTTGGAATATTCATTGCTGCATGAAATGTGAAGGCTTTTAAGTAAAAATCAGCTACACTGACCGTAACTTGGCAACAATCATGCAAAATCAATTTAACTTAGTTACCAAGTTTCAGAGGTCTACATTTCCACTATTCCTCCCAAAGTGATGAGTTTAACATGCTGGTGCTTCGCGGTTATTTTAATTGTCTATTAATCCTATTGTAACAGGCCTTGATATAATCAATAATCAATAACCAATGTAATCATTTCCTCCCCTGTGGGGGTATAGAATAGCTGGGCCCAGTTTGGTTTCCATTTTTAATCAATGGAGTCTTCCATCGGCTTTTTCTATTCTATTCAGTCATCAGATTAGTATATGTTTAAACAGAAACTTTACTTTAGTATTAATAATTAGGAGCTGTAGGTGAAATTCTGCTTGCGTGACAGGATTTCTTCTTCTTTTACCTCTCTGGCAAGTCCTCCATCTGCTTCAGAGGGTCTCACAACTTTCTGAAGCAGATTTGAGGGGACTGCAGGTGGAATGAGAGGTCCTATTGCACAAACAGAAGTCTCATCTGCAGACAAATGGGCACCATTGGATACCATGCAATATGTTTTGGCAAAGGATTAACACTGGAATTGTTGTTGCTGGCTTCTGTCTGGGTTAATTCATACCAAAACTCCAATGTCACATAATAATGCAAATATTGTGTTTTTTTCTAACTCTGCACAAAATTAAGAAGAGGCTTTAGCTACGGCTGCAATCTTTAATCTATTTAATCGATTATTCAAGCAAGAAGTTGATCAATCACTGAAAGCCAATTTTAATTAAAACTGCACTGAATGTTCACCCTTGAAGATTTAAAGTTAAAGTGAAGTTTTATAGGGGAGGGAGAATCATTCTGCCCAAACCTGCTCTTTATTGCAGTCATTTCTCCTCTATTGCTGTTTCTGTGCCATTTTTTTAATTAAAAAAAATTCTTTCTCCTTTGCTACATAATCTCAGCCAATTGACGATCATGTAAAATGATAACATCCTAGAGCCAATCAGATTTGACTACGGGGCGATGCCAAGGAAAGCAAAACTGTGCTCCCCTCATTCTAGAGCCAACCCAGCTGTACCCATGCCAGAATGTGCTTCAGAATGGCCATTCAAGTATGCTGCGTCTCATTGAGAGCAGGCAGAGAACATCTACACTTGGATGAACATCCCAGGACACATTCTGATGTGGATCTGGGTCTGTGCTCTCCTTTTGCTGCATTTATATGACTTCATTTGGACATTTCGAAGTGTTCTCTCAACTGTCACTGAGAAGGTTATTTTTTGAAGGGGGGCGTGTGTGTGTGTGTGCTCTGCTCTCATTTGAAAGAATCAGATAAAATTTTAATTCATGGGACTAGAACATAAGGTACATGTAACTCTTTTTTAGGGTTAGTTAGGTACTGTATTTTTCGCTCTATAAGACACACCAGACCACAAGACGCACCTAGTTTTTGGAGGAGGAAAACAAGAAAAAAAATATTCTGAATCTCAGAAGCCAGAACAGCAAGAGGGATCGCTACGCAGTGAAAGCAGCAATCCCTCTTGCTGTTCTGGCTTCTGGGATAGCTGCGCAGCCTGCATTCGCTCCGTAAGACGCACACACATTTCCCCTCACTTTTTAGGAGGGGAAAAACTGAGTCTTATACAGCAAAAATACGGTATGTTTCAGAAACAGAGAATAGGAGAGTTATGAAATATGGGCCTTTTCTTCCAAGAATTATTGACAGCCTTTGTTTATTAAAGTGCAAGCTCCACAATTCATGCAATCGTGATCAAAAGGGCAGCTATACTAAAGCTACGATAATGTTCACATTTACTTAAATGATATTTTCATTGACTTCTTGTTTTGCTTTGCAAGATCTCTGAGGGAGCACCTTGCATGTGGTTCTCAGGTGAACTCCCACTGAACTGGGAGACTGATCAACTAAATAAAAAAAAAAAATATCAGCCCTACTTTTAACCCAAGTCCCTGAAGATATTAAGGGTTAAGTATCAACATTCACTTAGCAATCTGAACCCAAAGCTTAAGCCCAAGGCTTATGAATACTGTACACTTGGGAGGTTGTTTTAAAGAAAGCAGAGGGTTCAATGACAGTGACACAGAGCTGAGTCAAAATCCCCACATTAGTTACATATAAGGAGAGTCAAATGCACATACATGTTAAAAAAAAAAACATTTAATTCAGCTGCTGGGTAGGTAATATAATTTGGATCGTCTGCTATAATAGCAAATACTGAACATGCTTTATTTCCACATTGTGGGGACAGAAGATGTTCACATTCTCCTGTTGCAGTACTGTAGAAATAGCTAAGAACGAGAAAAACAATTACCTAGTGATAACAAGCAAAGTCCCAATATAATCTCTCTGCAGGTCATTACTCCACTAATCAGCCTGTGCAAGACACTACTGTCACTGACAAAGGTGATCAGGGCCTCTGCAAACTTGGCATAGCAGGAAATGTTCACAGGAGCACAGCGATGGGAAGAATGGAATAGGTGCACTGGTGATACAAGGAAAAAAAAAATCAGAAAAAAAAATTACTCCTAGGTAATATAAATGCCACATCAACACACAAATGGAAGGTGAACTGATGCCGTACACTCCACCCTCGTAAACATCTAACCAAGAGCTGCAAGGTTAACGGAAAGGTGCTGCTGTAAATGGAGATGACTGTAATGGGTCGTGATGCTGTTTTTTAAAAACCAAGATATCCCCAGAAGAGGGTGGAGTGCACATTCTGATGTTTCCCGTCCCATCAACTCAGAACACAGAGCAAACCCCATCAGCCCCAAATACAATTTATTTTATTTTTTAAAAAAATACACCACTAGTCCAATATGTCTAGATATAATTAATTATGTGTACGTAGAAGTTTTTGAGACATTTCCAGAAAATATTCAGATTGCGGTGAGCCTCGGGCAGACGATTTCCTGTAACTCCCAGAAGTAAGGCTGCTCACCTTAGACTCTACAGAGACTGCAGCATGACATAAAGGCAGTTCAGGGCGTTTTACATGTATACATACCAGGGACCATGACAATTCCCCTGCGGGCAGCAGCTAATGTATTCTCCACCTACAGCACAGCATACATTACTGAATACTGCTCCGAAAGCTCTGTCGAAATTCAGCGGCAGGTTGGGGAAGGGAAAAATAGAGATAGGGCCGTGGGGTTGGGAAGGGAGTCCTGGAAGTTCTCGGTGCACATGTAGATTATGGTTACCAGATTTTTTTCAATATATCCGGGGACACTATTTCCCCCCCCCCCCCCAGCTGAGTAGCAACAGGGAGTCAGTAGTGGGTATGGTGAGGCAAAAGACCCTGGGCCCAAGCACACATGCATATTGTATAAAGGTGCAAAGCCCTTCTTTCGCACCCTGTGAAACATAAATGTGCAGAGATTTTTTAACAAACTGGGCAATGGCACGCCGCCTGCCTGTGACTCCCAAGCCTCCCCGATCTCCTTCCCCCTTCCCCCTTTGGTTTGACAGATCAGGGGAGGTTCGGGAGTCATGGGTGGGTGGCCGTTGCCCAGGAAGGGCCAGCCTGGTAGTGCAGTTGGCTCTGGCTGGCTTCAGGAGCTGCTCGCTGCCGTGGCGCAGGAAAAATGGTGCGCGCCACGGCAGCAGGCAGCTCCTGAAGCCAGCCAGAGCCAACTGCCGCTAACAGGCTGGCTCTGGGCTGCTGAGGCTGCCACTGCCATGTTTTCCAGAGACAGATTTACAAATTTGGGGTCATTCCGGGGACGGAATTTGCCCGGGGACAGATTTGCAAATCCGGGGACTGTCCCCAGGAACCGGAGACATCTGGGTAACCCTAATGTAGATCTCTGTGTAAAACTCCTTAGATCAAAGTGGGCAACCTTTTAGCCCCTAAGGGCTATATGGGCACACAGGCGGTGCATGCCAGTGGTGTGCTCTGGGCATGCACGCCCACACACACTCCACATATCTCACACAAACATTATTCCTCCACTCTTTCACAAACACCCTCCACACACCAGTGCGATTATACCTAGAATTCCAAGCCTAATTCTGCAGCTACCAAGCCCAAAGTCTCAAACACAACGATTTGTTTTGCTTTATCCGTATCAAGGAGTCTGGTTAATGGCTGTTTCAACTCCGCTATAGTCAAGCAGGAGGGGAAATGCCTTCAAAAGCAGGGGTCCCAATGGCAATAGCCTCCCAGGGCAGAGAAGGGCAGATTTCCCCTCCACCCCAGCACAGAACAAGATGTGTTCCTCCCAGCCTGTCAAACAGTTGTCTGGCAGGCTGAGAGGAGCATGATGTACATGTGCACCTTCTCAAGATTATATGTTGATGTCCTGTGCTCTTCCTTCCCCCCTTGCAATTGTACTCAGCTCAGCTTGGGCAACTGGCAGCACTCTTTACAGGGTGCTTGGGCCAGCTGCCTGGGAGGCCTGTGTTGGTCACATGAGACCTGCTGGTCACTGATTGATTTAGATCATGGGTAGGCAACCTAAGGCCCGGGGGCCGGATCCAGCCCAATAGCCTTCTAAATCCGGCCCGCGGATGGGTTCGAGAATCAGCGTGTTTTTACATGAGTAGAATGTGCCCTTTTATTTAAAATGCATCTCCAGGTTATTTGTGGGGCCTGCCTGGTGTTTTTACATGAGTAGAATGTGTGCTTTTATTTAAAATGAATCTCTGGGTCATTTGTGGGGCATATAAATTCGTTCATTTTTCTCTCTCTTCAAAATATAGTCCGCCCCCCCCCAAAAAGATCTGAGGGACAGTGGACCAGCCTCCTGCTGGAAAGTTTGCTGACCCCGATTTAGATCCTGGTTTTAAGATTTCCACAGACGTTAGAACAAAAAGGTGTCCAAGAATTATAGCAAAATAGCATTGAGAAAGAACTGTGTTGGAATGCCAAACATAGCAGACCTTCCCTAAATATTTTATTTCAATGGTCAACTCTCCTATTTTGACATACCATAGCTAAATACCAATTTTGGTCCCAGTTTATAATATTATTCCATGTGCTGCAAAAGCATTGCTGAAGTCGTGCTTCGGCAGTGGTGCCAAAGTATCAACTTTTTGCTTTTGCAATTATATCCAAATCTCTACCGTAAAGAATGTTAGGAAAATCCCACATTTCAGTCATCAATATGTTGCAGGGAATTAGGGCCTACGGAGAAAAGCACAACTTCCTGGCTGTTATGTTCCATCAACCCCCATTCTTCCTACACAGAAAGCAGCATTGCTGCCACCAAAAATATACAGTGGTGCCTCGCAAGACGAAATTAATTCATTCCGCAAGTTTTGTCGTCTTGCGATTTTTCCGTCTTGCGAAGCACGGTTTCCCATAGGAATGCATTGAAAATCAATTAATGCGTTCCTATGGAAACCGACTTCAGACCAGGTCCGGGGACACCTGTCCCCCGACCTCTTCTGAAGGCTGGGGGGGGGGACCAAGGGCTTTTCTTCCCACCCCCAGCATTTTAAAAAACCCCGGGACAGCGGGGGACTTCTCCGCTGTCCGGGGCGATCTTAAAATGCTGGCGGGCGGGAGCGAAGCCTCCGCTGCCGCCCGCCAGCATTTTAAAAAGCCCCGGGACAGCGGGGGACTTCTCCGCTGTCCGGGGTGATTTAAAAGCCCCGGAAGGCAGGCAGGGGGACAAAGACTTTTGAAGGCAGGCGGGGGAGCATAGACTTTCGCCCCCCGCCCGCCTTCAGAAGAGGTCCTGGACCTCTTCTGAAGGCCGGCGGGGGGCGAAAGTCTTTGCTCCCCCCTGCCTGCCTTCCCGGGAGAGCGGAGAAACGCAGCGTGTTTCTCCGCTGTCCCAGACGGCTTTTGAAGGCAGGCGGGGGGGGGAGCATAGACTTTTGCCCCCCGCCCGCCTTCAGAAGAGGTCCAGGACCTCTTCTGAAGGCCGGTGGGGGGCAAAAGTCTTTGCTCCCCCCCGCCTGCCTTCAAAAGCCGTCCGGGATAGCGGAGAAACGAAGGCTGGCGGCGGGAGGAGGTCTCTCCGCCCGCCGCCAGCCTTCAGAGGAGGTCCGAGGACAGTGGGGAAGACGCGCTGCGCTTCCCCGCTGTCCCGGAGATTTCCCTATGGGCTTTCGTCTTGTGAAGGAAGCCCATAGGGAAATTCGTTTTGCGAAGCGCCTCCAAAACGGAAAACCCTTTCGTCTAGCGGGTTTTCCGTCTTGCGAGGCGTTCGTCTTGCGGGGCACCACTGTACCAGACTGTCAAACCTATTTTTATTTCCCTTTGCAAAGAGAGAAGCTTTCGCATTTCTATTTGCAAGACACTCGTGTTTCTAATTGGAATCAATGAACAGAACCACTCTTTCATATGCAAAGGGAGCTTTATTTAACCTCTAGGCTCTTCTGTCTCTGAATCAGTTCCTGCTGTCTTCCTTGCCAGGTTCAAGCAAGTTATGGCAAGCTGAGTATGCAATGCCTTTTGGGTCCTCGATGGGAAGTCTTTCAAAAAATGCTCACCCTTCGCTTCATGCAGGCAGAGTAGAATATGCTGCCTTCAACAAATCCCTTTCACGATTTATTACTTAATCACTCGCAAACATACTTAACACTCATTGTCTAATTATTATCCCCAAATTGAGAGGAAATTGCAACCTGCCACATCTAGAGAATTTTTAGAGCCTCCATTTCCACATAGCTGACAAGCAGTTCTAAAGTGTAAGCTCTCAAGCAAGCTGCGATGACTAAAGCGTAGTTTGTGCAGATGGAGTGCTAAAACTTCCTTGGCTTGTACAACTTCAGATTGCAAAGGCAAGCGAGGCCACAGAGGCAACAGCACACCTTCATGCTCCTCTAGGTAAAGGGACCCCTGACCATTAGGTCCAGCCGTGGCCGACTCTGGGGTTGCGACACTCATCTCGCTTTATTGGTCGAGGGAGCCGGTGGTTGTCCACAGACAGCTTTCTGGGTCATGGTGACCACATGAATCTAAACCACTTCTGGTACAACGGAACACTGTGATGGAAACCAGAGCACACGGAAACGCCGTTTACCTTCCCTGCCACAGCGGTACCTATTTATCTACTTGCACAGGCGTACTTTCGAACTGCTAGGTTGGCAGGAGCTCGGACAGAGCAATGGGAGCTCATGCCATTGTGGGGATTCGAACCGCCGATCTCCTGATCAGCAAGCCCAAGAGGCTCAGTGGTTTAGATCACAGCGCCACCCACGTCCTGCCACATAAGATAGTTAACAAAGGATGCTGTAGTAACCTCACGTCATCTGCCATTCTAGGGTAGCCATAGGGGCTAAGCTTCAGTATCCTACAGGCCTAACTGCACCACTAACTGGAATGTGGGGGGGGGCGGGGGGTGCAGGGGGGGGAGCATTTAAATTTGGAGCAGATCCACACCACACATTTAAAGCACATTGCTTCCTCCAGGGAATCATGGGAACTGTAGTTTGTTAAGGATGCTTGTAGCTCTGTGAAGGGGGAAATCCCAGAATGCTTGGTGGGGAAGTCTTCTGCTTTAAATGTTTGTTGTGAGTAAACAAACAACCCCCTGTGTGTTGAACATGCTTTAAATCTATGGTGTGAATCTGCCCTTTGTCGCAGGGAATCGAAAGCGGAACTACTCACTGTTTCTTTCAAGATAAAGAAGAAACTAGGAGATTTCATCACAACTCTCCCATGGCACACCTGCTCTGGACCCAGGTAATCTCCCTTTCACAATACAGTCATACCTTGGGATAGATGTGCTTCAATTTAAGTATTTTTGGGTTGCACTCCGTGGTGACCCGGAAGTAATGGAGCATGTTAGTTCTGGGTTTCGCTGCGCACGCATGCGCAGTCAAAATGACGTCACACGCATGCGCAGAAGCAGCGAAACACGCAGACGGGGGTTGCGTTTGCTTCAGAATGCGAACGGGGCTCCGGAATGGATCCCGTTCGCATCCCGAGGTACCACTGTACATTTCCTTAAGCACAATTAAGCTTTGGCCACTCTCTGAACGTTTCTACGGTTTGACTTCCTTGTCGGTCCTGTGGCGTCAAGTGAAGCTGTAGCCTCGACAGAAACTTTCCCAGCAGTCTGAGCACCCAAGTTGTTTCTGTGTCGTCTCTCGTGGCTCATACAAGCTGAGTTCAGTTTAAAGCTTTTGCCACAGTCCGAGCACTTAAAAGGTTTCTCTCCTGTGTGGATTCTCTCATGTGAAATGAGATGTGCTTTCTGGCTAAAGCCCTGGCCACAGACAGAGCATTTGTACGGTTTGTCCTTTGTGTGGATCCTCTTGTGTACAATAAGATGAGACATCTGGCTGAAACCTTTCGGGCAGTCTGGACACTTATACGGCCTTTCTCCTGTGTGGATTCTTTCATGTTTAATAAGGCTAGAGCTCAAACCAAAGCTTTTCCCACAATGCAAACATTTATGTAATTTCTCTCCTGTGTGGGTTTTCTGGTGCCTCCTGAGGTCAGGCCCCCGACGAAAGCTCTTCTCACAACTTGAACATTTGTAAGGTTTGATTCCTGTGTGGATTCCCCGGTGTGAAGCAAGGTGGGAGCTCCGATGGAAAGCTTTCCCACAGTCCAAGCATTCATATGGTTTCTCTCTGCGGTGAGTTCTCCTATGTATATTAAGGTGGGAACGCTGGCTGAAGATTTTTCCACAGTCCAAACACTGATACGGCTTCATTCCCGTGTGGGTTCTCTTGTGCTTAAGAAGCAGTATACTCTGACTAAAAACTTTCCCACATTTAGGGCATGCTTTTTGCCTCCTGTCCTTGCAGATCTCCTTCTGGGCAGTGGTTTGACCAATGTCCCCACTGCCATCCTGAGGAGGAGTTGGTTTCTCCTGGCTGGTCTTTTGTGCAGCTTTCTGCTGCCTTTCTGATCTGTGCTGATGCCAAGTTGCATCTTTCCTATCATGACCCTGGGGCATTTTTTCTTTGCACATTCTGAAAGAGGTGTCTTCTTTAGAATTTTCTGGCACCAGATTCTCCCCCAGAACTTCTCCCTTAGAACGTCCAGTTTCCTTAGAATTTCTGGGAACTTGGTTTTTCTTCTGAACACCTCTCCTAGAATTCCCAATTTCCTTAGCATTTCTCAGCACTAGATTTTTCTTTGGAATGTCTCCCGTAGAATGCCCAATTTCCTTAGGATTTCCAGGAAATAGATTCTCTCTGAGAACATCTCCCCTAGAACACTCAATTTCCTTAGAATTTTCTGGCACCAGATTCTCCCTCAGAACATCCCCCCCAGAATTCCCAATTTCCTTAGAATTTCTCAACACTAGATTCTTCCTTTGAATATCTCTCCTAGAATAGTCAATTTCCTCAGAATTTCCAGGAACTTGATTTTTCCTCAGAACTTCTCCTCCAGAATGTCCAGTTTCCTTAGAATTTCTGGGGACTCGATTTTTCCTCAGAACGTCTCTCCTAGAATGTCCAATTTCCTTAGAATTTCTGGGAACTTGGTTTTTCCTCAGAACATCTCTCCTAGAATTCCCAATTTCCTTAGCATTTCTCAGCACTAGATTTTTCTTTGGAATGTCTCCCGAAAAATGCCCAATTTCCTTAGGATTTCCAGGAAATAGATTCTCTCTTAGAGCATCTCCCCTAGAACACTCAATTTCCTTAGAATTTTCTGGCACCAGATTCTCCCTCGGAACATCCCCCCTAGAATTCCCAATTTCCTTAGAATTTCTCAGCACTAGATTCTTCCTTTGAATATTTCTCCTAGAATGGACAATTTCCTTAGAATTTCCAGGGACTTGATTTTTCCTCAGAACTTTTCTAGAATGTCCAGTTTCCTTGGAATTTCTGGGGACTCGATTTTTCCTCAGAACATCTCCCCTAGAACACTCAATTTCCTTAGAATTTTCTGGCACCAGATTCTCCCTCGGAACATCCCCCCTAGAATTCCCAATTTCCTTAGCATTTCTCAGCACTAGATTCTTCCTTTGAATATCTCTCCTAGAATGGTCAATTTCCTTAGAATTTCTGGGAACTCGATTTTTCCTCAGAACTTCTCCTCTAGAACGTCCAGTTTCCTTAGAACTTCCAGGGACTTGATTTTTCCTCAGAACATCTCTCTCAGACTGCCCAATTTCCTTAGAACTTCCAGGGACTTGATTTTTCCTCCTAAGAATGTATTCCTTAGACTTTTCAACCACCTTAGGATTTCCTGGCACTACGTTCTTCCTTGCCTTTCTTACATTGCCTTTCTTAGGATTGTCATCTCCCTTAGCATTTTCCGCTGCTGGATTCTCCTCCTCCTTTTTCTCCTGCCCATCTTGCACTGCAATAAAGAGAGGGAAGACAGGTGAGTGAATACCTGAAGGACTGCAGCAGTTCCACATATGAACCTGCCTGGACCCTGAGACAGTCAGCTGAGTGCCACTCAGAGAGGGGTCTGGAGAGTGAGGACAACAGAACAGGTCTTCTCTATAGTAGCCACTAGTCTATGGAATGCTCTCTCCTGGGATCAACTCTGCCATAGTTTCTCTCAGCAGCTAGCCAATGGAAAGCCCGCAATCAGGACCTGGGTGCGAAAGCACTCTCTTTAGTTGCAATTCCTAGCATTCAGAATTATACAGTCACAAACGCTGGAGGCGTATCCTAGCCACCATTGCCAGTAGCCAATGACAGTGCTGGTCTGTCTTGGACTTCCTTTTCTCTCACCTGTTCTGGTGACTTCATGTTTGTTCCCTTTCTCAGAGCCCGGAGGGTGTAGACCCAGGGAGATCAACTCGTCCCCTTCCTCCACCCAGGAGTTTCGATCCGAATCGGTGAGGGAAAGAACTGGGGGCAAAAGTGAAATCAGAAAGAAGAAAAACTGTGCTGTTACTTCAACTTGAAGTTTTTTTCCTGAACCATCCTAATAAATTTAACACCACGCCTTTAGTTGTTATTCCTGCATCATTTCGCTTTATGACACTTTGACACGGCCAAATTGGATGGATTCCTCTATTCATGTCAGGATTTTCTAGAGGGTCAATAACTAAAATGATTTTGAAATTAGATGGTTGTTGGCTGATATACACACATTTGTTATTTATATGCACTGGCATTAAGAAGCTATAAGATACTTTTTTGAACCAAAACAGTGCTGAGACTCCCAATGTGATTTTTTTTTAAATTTAACGTAAATGAATTGGAGTAAATTTAGAAGACAAATGGTTGTGTTCAACGCCACACAAGTTGCTAACACAATGGGACTTCTCTTTTCCCCACAAGTCCCCAAAATCTGCTCCAGAGAGTCCTCCAACCCTCTGGAGAAGATTTTGAGGGTACACTAGGCTTGCTGCAGGTGAGAGGAGGGGGAAGTTTGGTTGTGCAAACAGAGTTTCATTGTGCAAGTGGAATGACAGTGTTGGATACAAAAAAATGTATATGTTTAACATATTCTTGTATTGTCTTGCTTGTTTTGTTATATTGGCAACTGGCTACAAATAAAGAAAATCTGAATCATAGACAATCAACATAGCCAAATCTAACCGAGCAGATTAATTTGACAATGCTAGGGGCCTGATCACATTTTTCTATACTATAATGTTATTAAGCCAAATCAGAGTAAAGGCAGGGCTTCCTGTCCTCGCTCTGATTTGGCTTCATAATGCCACTGTGTAGCCAGAATGAATTTGTTCTTCTGCTACCTGTGTGATTTCTGATTGGCTGTGATTGCCTTCCCATGAAGCCCTTGTTTTAAAAAAGAAAAACAGCATCAAAGCTGCAGATAGACAAAGAAGCAGCTGTGTGAATAGAGAGTGTGTGTGGGGGGGGAATCATTTGGAAAAGGTAAGCATGGTCTCAAGGTATGGTCTGAAGGCACTTGTAAATAAACAAAACCATGCAAACTTTCTTGAATCCCATAACACCAGGAGGGAATCCACTGGGTTCAATGATGCACACACTCCACACTCAAAATACAAGATAAAGGAATCTCCTTCTTTGGAGGTCTTTAAGCAGAGGCTTGACAACCGTATGTCAGGAGTGCTCTGATGGTGTTTCCTGCTTGGCAGGGGGTTGGACTCGATGGCCCTTGTGGTCTCTTCCAACTCTATGATTCTATGAATTCTTACCCAAAGAGGTCACGTTTTCATAGTTCTCCTGCATGACATCCCTGTATAAGGCTCTCTGAGGGGGGTCCAGGAGAGCCCATTCACCCTCCGTGAAATGCACAGCTATCTCCTCGAACGACACAGGTTCCTGAAACACAAAAGACAGTCAACAAGGATGAAGGAACACAGGGCCACTTCTGCCTTGCTTGTTGACACATGGCGCTCTTCCTTCCAATGACATGTGAAGCATCAAGGAAGACGGCACCTCTGAACAGATGCAGAGGCCTTTCAGCTTGTGGTCAAGCAGAACACTATGTATCACAATCATATCATGGTTGCACCAGCTCCCATTTCATTACTGGTCCAAGTTCAAGGTGATACTATTGATTCGTTGTTGTTGTTTAGTCTTCTCTTCTCATGAGGTGGCCAAAGTATTGGAGCCTCAGCTTCAGGATCTGTCCTTCCAGTGAGCACTCAGGGCTGATTTCCTTCAGAATGGAGAGGTTTGATTTTCTAGCAGTCCATGGGACTCTCAAGTCTCTCCTCCAGCACCATAATTCAAAAACATCAATTTTATAAACTATTGGTTTATAAAACCTTAATGGCTCAGAACTAGGTAACTTAAGGGATTACCTTGTCCACTATGTGCGGAGCCTGGGAGTCATTTTGGACTCTCAGCTGTCCATGGAGGTGCAGGTCAATTCTGTGTCTAGGGCAGCTGTGTACCAGCTCTATCTGGTATGCAGGCTGAGACCCTACATGTCCGTGGACTGTCGCACAAGAGTGGTGCATGCTCTGGTTATCACCTGCTTCGACTACTGCAATACGCTCTATGTGGGGCTACCTTTGAAGGTGACCCGGAAACTACAATTAATCCAGAATGCGGCAGCTAGACTGGTGACTGGGAGTGGCTGCCTAGACCACATAACACCGGTCCTGAAAGACCTACATTGGCTCCCGGTACGTTTCCAAGCACAATTCAAAGTGCTGATGGTGACCTTTAAAGCCCTAAACGGCCTTGGCCCAGTATACCTGAAGGAGCATCTCCACCCCCATTGTTCAGTCCGGACACTGAGGTCCAGCGCTGAGGGCCTTCTGGCAGTTCCCTCATTGCGAGAAGTGAGGTTACAGAGAACCAGGCAGAGGGCCTTCTCGGTAGTGGCACCTGCCCTGTGGAACCCCCTCCCATCAGATGTCAAGGAAATAAACAACTACTTGGCTTTTAGAAGACATCTGAAGGCAGCACTGTTTAGGGAAGTTTTTAATGTTTGATGTTTTATTGCTTTTAAATAATTATTATTAATAATGTTCTGTTGGGAGCCATCCAGGGTAGCTGGGAAAACCCAACCAGATGGGCCGGATATACATAAATAAAATTATTATTGTTATTATTGTTCCTTCCCCTGCTGCCATTCATGGAGGATAAGACAATCAGTGGCTACTAGCCATGATGGCGATCGTCTGCTTCCATGGTCAAAGGCAGTAGATTTCTGAACACCAGCTACTGGAAATTGCAGGAGAGCTACTGTGCTCAAGGCCTGCTTGGCGGCTTCCCATACTCAGCTGGTTGAGAACAGGACACGAGACCAGACATATTTGCAAATCCCTTTACCTGAACCAGCTCTATTTTTCCTCCACATCTTCTGTGAAGATGTAGAAATCTGGAGTAGAATGATGACCTTCCTTGGCACCCTGGGGAAAGAGAGGGTGACTTTTCAGATGTCTGTTGCACATCATTGTCTGTTCATTCATTTCTCTACTCAGCAATACACCCATTTCAATGGTCTCTCAAGGCAGCTTGCACAGACAGAGGAAAATGAAGCCCATTAAAACAGCAACGTGAAACAGTACAATTAAAACATCATGGGGCAGAGGAGTTAGGAGCCTTTTCTGAGCAATCTTCCAAGGGCCGGAGGCAAAAGTGGGTGGAGCAACAAATGCAAATTTTTACCTTTGTACACCAATGTGGTTTCCACACACACACAACTCTCTCTTTCTTCCATCTGAGCAAACAAGAAACATTGAAGGGCACATTCCAGCCAGGCAAGAACTCCCAAGGAGGGTGCAAAGCCAGGTCGGTTAGGGGTATGGCTAGGAAAGAGTTCCAAGGGCTGGACAGCAAAGCCTGGACTGTTATGTTTGGTCTCTGGGGCCTGAGGTTCCCTACTGCTGCCATTGGGCAGGAAGAACCTAAAGGTAAAGGTAAAGGTACCCCTGCCCGTTTGGGCCAGTCTTGACAGACTCTAGGGTTGTGCGCTCATCTCACTCTATAGGCCGGGAGCCAGTGCTGTCCGCAGACACTTCCGGGTCACGTGGCCAGCGTGACAAAGCTGCATCTGGTGAGCCAGCGCAGCACATGGAACGCCGTTTACCTTCCCGCTGGTAAGCGGTCCCTATTTATCTACTTGCACCCGGAGGTGCTTTCGAACTGCTAGGTTGGCAGGCGCTGGGACCGAACAACGGGAGCGCACCCCGCCGCGGGGATTCGAACCGCTGACTATGGATCAGCAAGTCCTAGGTGCTGAGATTTTACCCACAGCGCCACCCGCGTCCCTAGGAAGAACCTAGCCAGCAGGAAATCCAGTTCATGAAATAGCAGAAACAAGTATCAAAAGAAATCCTATGGAATGGAGCTCCCCAAGGAGGTACAGTCCCCTGTGACCATTTCCCCAGCCTTTTCCCTCAGATACTAACTTTCTGTGTGCAGGGAGATTTTTTGATATTACGGAGCATTCTAGCTTGTGATTTCCCACCACCAATACCTTTGTTTGCAACTTGCACAGTCTCCAAAAAGATGTTCTACATGCTCGTCATAGCAAATTTTAAGAATATAATCAATCCCCTCAATGAACAATAGTCAATCACAAGCCAATGCAGAGCCATTGGCTTAACCCCTTATTCACTGACCCTTGGCAGATGCAATTTGATGTCATTTTAAAATCAAATTTCATTATGCATAATTGTTCTAAAGTGGCTGATTTTATTTTTGATTGCTCAATTTAAAGCGATCAGAATCCTGCTTGATTAAAAATCAAATGTACATTCAATAGCAACTGCTCACACTCATCCATTCCTACCCTTATTTCTCCTTCTCCCACTGTACTTTTGTCCAACGCTGATTTTCTATTGTAGGCTCCTTGAGGGCAGAGACCAGCCCACATTTATTCATCTTATTTATTTCATACAATTTATACACCGCTGGATTGTAAAAAACACCCTAACAACTTCAAAGCAATTTGCAAAAAGATAAAATAGTTGAAAAATCCACAGCCATACTTTAAAACACACGAAGTTAAAAATAGTAAAACAGATTAAAATTACCTCAACCTTCTAAGCATCTGGGAAGACTTGTCTAAACAGAAATGTTTTAGTAGGTACCAAAAAGGTACCAGTTAAGGTACCTGCTTGATCTCAATAGGGAGCGAGTTCCGAAGAACAGTTGCTGCCACACTAAACAATCAAGCTATTACAAATGCAGAATGTGTATTATGAGGAACCTCTATTAGTGCCATTCCCCCTAATGAAGCAGTTGAGTTGGTGCATGTGGGATAATGCAATCTCGTAGGTAGACTGGCTAGGTAGTAAAGGTAAAGGGACCCCTGACCATTAGGTCCAGTCATGGCCGACTCTGGGGTTGCGGTGCTCATCTCGCTTTATTGGCCGAGGGAGCTGGCGTACAGCTTCCGGGTCATGTGGCCAGCATGACTAAGCCGCTTCTGGCAAACCAGAGCAGCGCACGGAAACGCCGTTTACCTTCCCGCCAGAGTGGTACCTATTTATCTACTTGCACTTTGATGTGCTTTTGAACTGCTAGGTTGGCAGGAGCAGGGACCGAGCAACGGGAGCTCACCCCGTCGCGGGGATTGGAACCGCCGACCTTCTGATCGGCAAGTCCTAGGCTCTGTGGTTTAACCCACAGCGCCACCCGCGTCCCTACTGGCTAGGTAGGTAAGGGCTTTATACGCTAACAGTAACATCTTGAACTTGGCTCAGTAGCAAATCAGCAACCAGGGCAGATCTCTGAGCGCAGGTGACAAGGCAATCCTGTCAGCAATCGTGCTGCTTCAGCATCCTGCACTAACTGCAGCTTCTGGCTAAAGTGTGAGGAAGGCCCCACAAAGAGCCTATTGCAGTAATCCAGTCCTGAAGTAACCAATGCTGGAACTACAGTGGCAAGGCTTTCCCGCTCCAGGAATGGCCGCAACTATCGAACCAGCCCCAGTAGCTAAATAATAATAATAATAATAATAATAATAATAATAATAATAATAATAATATTTATACCTCACCCTCCCTGGCCAGAACCAGGCTCAAGGCAGCTAACACCAACAAAATTACAATAAAACATAATAGGAAAGAAAAAGGAAAAAACAAACAGTTAATGAAAATAGGGGTTAAAATATAATTTAAAATGCAGCCTCATTTTAGTAAAGGTAAAGGTAAAGGTACCCCTGCCGGTACGGGCCAGTCTTGACAGACTCTAGGGTTGTGCGCCCATCTCACTCAAGAGGCCGGGGGCCAGCGCTGTCCGCAGACACTTCCGGGTCACGTGGCCAGCGTGACAAGCTGCATCTGGCGAGCCAGTGCAGCACACGGAACGCTATTTACCTTCCCGCTAGAAAGCGGTCCCTATTTATCTACTTGCACCCGGGGGTGCTTTCGAACTGCTAGGTTGGCAGGCGCTGGGACCGAACGACGGGAGCGCACCCCGCCACGGGGATTCGAACCGCCGACCTTTCAATCGGCAAGTCCTAGGCACTGAGGCTTTTACCCACAGCGCCACCCGCATCCCATATAAATCAAAACCATAAGGAGAGGGAAACATAAGGGTCAGACTGAGTCCAAACCAAAGGCCAGATGGTACAACTCTGTCTTGCAGGCCCTGCGGAAAGATGTCAAGTCCCACAGGGCCCTGGTCTCTTGTGACAGAGCGTTCCACCAAGTCGGGGCCAGTACTGAAAAGGCCCTAGCCCTAGTTGAGACCAATCTAACCACCTTGCGGCTCAGGACCTCCAAAGTGTTGTTATTTGTGGACCTGAAGGTCCTCTGCGGGGCATACCAGGAGAGGCGGTCCCGTAGGTACGAGGGTCCTAGGCAGCATAGGGTTTCAAAGGTCAAAACCAGCACCTTAAACCTGACCCTGTACTCCACCTGGAGCCAGTGCAGCTGGTAAAGCACTGAATGAATGTGATCCCGCGGCAAGGACCCCGTAAGGAGCCTCGCCATGGCATTCTGCACCAGCTGAAGTTTCTGGGTCAGCTTCAAGGGCATCCGCGCGTAGAGCGAGTTACAATAATCAAGCCTGTGGCCAGATCAGGGCGAGAAATGTAAGGGACCAACTGCTTGATGCGACGAAGGTGGAAAAATGGCACCTGTATTGGCATTTCTAGCGGCTAATGCTACCTGAGCCTCCAGTGGACAGAGCTGAATCCAGTTTGATTATAGAAGTCTGGAAGGTGCTATAAACACAGATAGCAGGCTGTTGGCATACATAACTATATATAGATTGGCTCTGAGGCTACTAAATTTATAATTTGAGGCTTAACATCCACCCAGGAATTTAAAAGCTGCCTCGTACAATCTCAAGACTAGATGGTCCTTCAAGCCTAGTACTGTCAAAATCTACAAGCCTTAGGCCATTTGGAGATATTTACGCTGCCTTACCAGATAAGAAAGATGGCTCTGCATCGTTCCCCAGCTCCAGCTGCAAAATCTCTGAGGAAAGAAAGAATGGGAAAGATAATAATCCCTTCCCCATGTTTGGTCCTAACCAATGGAACTTGCAACAAAATTTTGCAGGGTGGATTGCCCTTGTTTCGAGTTTCAGCTACGCCTTTTTCAGGATACTCCATTCCATTCCCCCTCCCCCAACAGCCAGCCAGCATTCAGAGGCCACTGAGCATGCTCTACAGTGGTACCTCAGGTTTCAAACACTTCGGATTACAGACTCCACTAACCCGGAAGTAGTATCTTGGGTTAAGAAAACTTTACTTCAAGATGAGAACAGAAATTGTGAAGCGGCAGCAGGAGGCCCCATTAGCTAAAGTGGTACCTCAGGTTAAGAACAGTTTCAGGTTAAGAATGGACCTCCAGAATGACTTAAGTTCTTAACCAGAGGCAGCACTGTATTTTCATTGGGCTGTTTTGGAAGATTCCGTCTTCCCCTTAGGGCTCTTTTTCTAATGGCAGCTTTACACTTCTACAAACCTTGGGGTCCCACAGATTGGCACTTAGAGAACTGCCAAAACCTTAAAGGGGGAGAGCAGGGAGACATATATTTACATAAGAGTCTGGCTAATTATTGTATGTGCAGTACTGGAGTGCATCTACACAGTGGGATCTCCTCTCAAATCCACATCGCTTAATCCAACATTAATGTCATTGTTCTTTACAGACGGTGCAATACAAATACTATTCTCAAGATGTTATATTCCGCTCATGCTTTCTGTAATTCTGAATCCTGTGACAGCCTTTCAGCAAGGCCATTCAAAAATCTGTAAACATTCGATTCCCTGTTTGCACAGCCATAAGCCTACAAAATGCACGATGCAGTACAAGCGTAAGCAAAATGCACCTGTGCAAAAATATTTGAGGGCTACAACTGCAAACATCAAAAGTATGATCTCATGAGCAAAATCAGCAAAAATCCAAAAGTAGAGGCAGAATTACTTTGAGCCAAAAATGTGAATTTCAAGACAGAATTCCACCTGAAGATTTCAGACTCTCCAAGTGACCCTATTTTCCAGGGACATCCCTGATTTAGAAAAGCCATGCTGGTTTCTGAATGTCCCACTTTTCCTTAGGATGTCCCTATTTTCATTGGAAAAATGTTGGAGGGTGTGTTTTATTATGGTTTTATATATGTTGGAAGCTGCCCAGGGTGCTGAGGAAACACAATAATATGTGTGAGGTATAAATAGTGAAATTATCGTTATGGAATGGGACGTCCCTATTTTCATTGGAGAAATATTGGAAGGTATGAGATTTCATAATCCTTTTCTTGAATTAATACCCTGTGTGGATATCAACTCTTTTAATTCAGACTCCAGCAGGCTGACCTCACCTTTAAATGCCAGTAGAACCTCTTGCAAGACCATCCTCTTCTCTGAAAAATGCCTTATCCTCTGTTCCAGTTCCAGAAAACCGCTTTCAAACTCAGGAAATGCCCCATTCTTCCTGATGAAGAGATAGTAAGTGAATAATCGATCCCACTTACTGTTGTTGCAAAAGTCCTCCTGATTTATTGTCATCTAGTAATTAGCAACTTCCTGGAGCTAAACCCCTAAACCCCTTAAACCCTATTTTTCCTATACTGCTTTCCCATACAATTTTGTCTCCCTGTGGCTGTTTTGATGTCATTTATTTCCTGCTTCGTTCTTCTTCAGTGATCCCAACCAATCAGAGACCCCATAAAATGTGATCCAGCACTTGGGGCTTACTAATTGTTTTGACAGGCAGCAGTGCTTCCTGGACTGGCTGTAGAAATATTTTGCAGTGAACCACCTCCCTCCTCAAAATCTCGAAAGGATGGGACCTTTTGATAATGATAAAGGAATTTAGGGAAACGGACACCTCACCCCCTGTTCTAGTTCCACTTCTATCTACAACATTGTCCAATGCAGTTCCAAAAGTAGTTTAACACATTGAAAGATAAATATTAGGCAAAACATACCTGTTTTCAGCTGTTCTGATGCTCTGCAGGAAAAAAGAGAAAGCGGGGAGAGAAGACATGAATCAGGCATCTGTATCATTCTGGTTAACCCCTTCCTGTAACTTTCCCCATTAAAATGAACATAGGTTTTTTTTTATTATTCTCTTACTTTGGTTTGCATCTATCTTCTAAAAACTTCAATAAAACAAAATATTTATTTTAAAATATTTATTTTTAAAAAATAAATAGATGGCTTTCAGTTTTAATTAAATACACAACAAATATTTCATCCTCTATTCCAGTTTTAATTAAATACACAACAAATAGTTCATCCTCTATTATTTTTTCTATAGAGAGGAAGAGAGAATAAAGGGGGTGGGTGTCAACACTGAGCCAATTAATCCAATATGGCTGCAACCCTATGCTCACTTACTTGGGTGTAAGCCCCATTGAATTCAATGGTGCTTACATCTGAGAAGACACATAAAGAATTGCACTGTTTAAAACTTTTGACTTGTCCTTGGCACAGTGTGGCATAGTGGTTAGGGTGCCTGGGAGACAAAGGCTCAATCCCCAATTGGCCATGAAGCTTGTTGGGTGACCTAAAGCCAGTTGCCATCTCTCAGCCTAAACCACGTCAGAGGGTTGTTGGGAGGCTAAAATGAGGGGAGAACCACGTGCGCCACCTTGACTTCGAGGAAAGGCAGAATACAAATGTAATGATGATAAATAAGACAGGGATTCCCCACCTTCACAAGTGGGTGCTGGTTGCTTTCTCTGTTTTCGTGAAATGTTGCTTGCTCAGAACCTTCCAAAACACTCTCATCTCTCCTTCTAACAATGTCATTGTCCAGCTTTTGCAGCCTCCTCAACACGAGTTTTTCTTGGTCTTCGACAAACCTTCGCAGCTCTTCCCACTCCCGGATTATGTTCTTCCTCTCAGCTTCTGTCTCCCTCTGCAATTCATAGGGGAAAGATCATTGTGGCGTCACACTCTCCCTATTGGGGTTGACCAATTTGGGGCTATCAGTGTACTCACTAATACCACCTAAAGCACCTAAATATCTTCTCAAAAACTCCACAATACTGCTCGGTTTGTGCTTCACTGGCTTGGCCTCCACTACATTGAACACACTCCCTTAAATGTGACCCTGCTTCAATGGTTGCCAAGACTTGGACACTCTCTTCCAACAAAGAAGTCCCTGTGACAAAGCACAACCTTAGCTGCTATAGGTTCCTCTCTTTTCCCCAAAAATTTGTGGGATGGGGAGAAGAAATGCCATGCCATTTTGTGTTCCTGCCCTTTCCCCCCTGTTCTTTTAGATGTGTTGGCCATTTTGTGCCATGCAGCAGCCATTTTGTGACAGGCACCTCCAGCACTTTCTCAAAATCCCAAATGTGCCCATTGGCCCAGAAAGGTTGGCAATTCCTGTTCCACAGATTAGTCAAGCAAGCAAACCACCAAAAGCTTAGCCCAGCCTTATTGAGAGGAGGGGGTGATATTTTAATTTTATGAATTTTTTTTCCAGGAACCAAAGAAAGGGAACCTCCCTCCCCCTTTTGTTCTTCAATGAGGACTTCTGCAAAACCGAGGAGAGTGCTAAAATTCATTGAACCTCTTGAAGTTCCTGTGTCTGTAGGCGGTTGGACTAGATGATCCTTGGGATTCCTTCCAACTCTAAATTTCTGTGATTCTAAATTACATGAGGCTGGCAATGGCCAATTGGGGTTTCAAAAATCCAAAATGGCGGCCATGAGCCTGACAGAGGTCCAAAAAGTCATCGTCGTCCCCCGAAATGTGCTGCCACAAAGGGTGGAAATTGCCCCCTCCTATGTGATGTTTCTTTGACCATACTCACGCCATACTCTGAAAGCACTGTGATACCACTTTAAACCGTCATGGCTTCCCACAAAGAATTATAGGAGCCAACGTCTTTTAAAGGTGCTGAGAGTTGTTCTCACTGGCCTACAATTCTCAGAGCGGTTTAACAATCAATCCCCTTTCACAGGAAACTCTAAGAATTGTAGCACTGTGAGGGGAAAAGTTGCTGTGCATATCACAGAGGGGTTGGGGATGTCTTCAGCTGATGCCCCTTGCCTGATTTCAGGTTTCCCTGCCCTAAACTCCAGTTCACTGAAGCGGCCACCTGCACATGCTCAATGGCTGCCTGAACTGTGCACACCTCAGCTTAACTACAGCTGGACAGAAGCTGGTTTGAGGGAAAGCTCACCATAACAAAGGTATTTCTCACAGTAGCTACCAGATACCTACAGATGGTGGCCAATGTCACATGTACTTAGCTTCAAACACCTGCAGCGGGAGTGTGCCAGAGTGAGCGGCACAGTCAGTTGGCTCAGTTTTGCTGCGTGTGGCCAATCTCTGAGCATAGCTGTCAACTTTCAGATTTGAAAATAAGGGGTCAGCAGCCACGAAAAAAAGGGATCAGCAGCCTTGAAAATAAGGGATCTGCAGCCTCACCTGTCCCGGGATATCTAACAATCCGGGATAGCAGCGGGAAACGGCGCAGGAATAAGGGAATACCCGCAAAAAAAGGGAAGGTTGACAGCTATGTCTCTGAGTGGTGAGAGGTTTAAGGGGTACCACGGCATACCTCGGACCGGTTTCCTTGGAACGAAGGCTATTGGAAACTGTGGTGTCTTTGGCTACGTACACACCACACTTTTAAAGCAGATTCTCCACACCCTTCCCCAAACAATCAACCCTAGAAACTGTAGCTTGTTAAGGCTGCTGGGAAAGGCAGCTCTGTGTGGGGCAAACTACAGTTCCCAGGATTCTTTGGGAGCAGCCGTTTGCTTTAAATGTATGGTGTGTATGCAGCCTTTGTGTTATATGGTTTTATTTACACACACAGATGGAACATATGATGGAAGGGCTCGTGACATTAGCACCACAAAAGATGCCCGCCCCCCACCCTGCATTAGGTTTCCTGGCTCATCCCCTATTGTTCTTCTACCCCATGGCCTCTAGTGCGGGAGGGAAGGCCTGCGCACTCCTCCTGAAAAGCATCCTTAGCTAGCCGTTTCTATGGCAACACACCTGTACCAGGCCAACTCTTTAATCCCCTTTAACAAAAAATGCTGTTCAAGGCTTCCCTAAGGCCATTAACTTAACAAAGAGACTGGTTTAACACAAAGAGACTGGTTTGACCACTTCAGTGATTGTGAAGAGGGGCTCTGCATACCAGTGTTAAGCCTTCCAGGCCTCTCCATCCTACATTAGGGCTCAAGGGCACATTCCAGCCACACAAAATTAGTAGAGGAAGGGGCAAAACAGAGCCCTAAATGGATGTAGCCACAGGACTGAGAGACCTGGAAGACAGCATTGTTCCCCACCCACAGCACTGAGGTTTCCCCATACCTGTACTCTATTCTGAACTTAAAAATGGAAAGCGAAATGCCAGTGGACAACAAAAGAGGTTTAAAGACTCTCTCAAGGCAAATCTATAAAAATGTAGTATAACAACTGGGAAACACTGGCCTGCGAGGGCTCCAGTTGGAGAACAGCCTTTACCAAAGGTGTCATGGACTTTGAAGATGCTCAAACTCAGGACGAAAGGGAGAAACGTGCTAAGAGGAAGGCATGTTTGGCAAACCCTCCCCATGATCAACTCCTGCCCGGAAACCTATGTCCCCACTGTGGAAGGACGTGTGGATCCAGAACTGGCCTCCACATTCACTTACAGACACACCTTTAAGACCATGCTCATGGAAGACAATCTTACTCGACTACAAGTGATTGCCAAAGAAAAAGAAGACTTCAGGATCCCATCTCACAGATATAAAACCCCAGGCTTGGAGAAGACACAAAAATCTCATCCATAAAACACACACACACACACAATCCCTTAATTTGAGGGTGGGGAAACCCTAACACCTTCTGCAAGTGCCAAACTACAACTCCCACCAAGCCTAACAAGCCTGGCAAACAGCCAGGTATCATGGGAGCTGTATTCTGCCAAGCTGTTACAACTGTTTTGCTTGCTCAACGTCATCCTGGCACCCTCTGTTTTTCCGCCACATGTTCCAAATGCCCTGGAATGACGCCATGCCAGGACAGTGTCAATTCTGAGGGGCGCTGAACTAGGCCACAGCAGTGGCACAAAAGTATATGGCAGTTAAGAAGTCACCATGGAAGTAATAATCTGCCTCCCCTTTGCCCAATTTTCAGCACTTTTCAGCTCACTCCCTCCAAACTGGATTCAGGCAAAGGGATTAGCAAATTTCTGGGCATCAGTTTTAAAATTTTCATCCTCATATGCTTACCAGCAAATCCTCACTTTTTCTTCGACGTTGTGCTTTGATTTCTTCTCTCTTGTCATTCACTCTGTCCTGCAGCACCTAAAGGTCCGGGGGCGGAGGGGGGGAGGCAATGATAATTTTAATTAAGGAACATTCCCACATATATCCCAATAGAAGTATAGGGTTTTTTCAAAAATTAAGTTTTGTTTATTTATTTACCGATTTGCAAGCTACACTTTCATAAGAAATGTAATAACAAGGCAGAATGCAAAATATAAAAACAAAATCAACAAATATATCCACAAAAGTCATCATCATTAAAGCATCAACATAACTGATTGGATTACAAAGAAAATTGATCTTGCAAAGGGCAGCCTAAATAGGAAAGTCTTCAAGAGATATCTGAAAGAAGGGAGTAATGGTTTTCATATGAAATAACACAGATAATCCAAACTAGGGCACACATAAAGGTCTTGTACCTTCACAGTTTCCTTAAAATCTTTTAATCTTTATTATTATTATTATTATTATTATTATTATTATTTTATTCCAAGGACCACAAACAATATATTGTGGAGGTTGGCAGGGAGAGGTCCATGTAAACAGAAGCAAGCGCTCAAACCAGCTCATTGAGCAGCTCTCAAATTCTACTAGGAAGCTGAAAATACCTTTGGATATTTGCAATGAATTCTAGAAGAATTGCCTTAGCAAATGAGAGAATATTTAGCTGCTTCTTCTTTAAAGGGTCAGTATGCCACTGACGGGACGCGGGTGGCGCTGTGGGTAAAACCTCAGTGCCTAGGACTTGCCGATCGCATGGTCGGCGGTGTGAATCCCCGCGGCGGGGTGCGCTCCCGTCATTCGGTCCCAGCACCTGCCAACCTAGCAGTTCGAAAGCACCTCTGGGTGCAAGTAGATAAATAGGGACCGCTTACCAGCGGGAAGGTAAACGGCGTACCGTGTGCTGCGCTGGCTCGCCAGATGCAGCTTGTCACGCTGGCCACGTGACCCAGAAGTGTCTGCGGACAGCGCTGGCTCCCGGCCTATAGAGTGAGATGAGCGCACAACCCTAGAGTCTGGCAAGACTGGCCCGTACGGGCAGGGGTACCTTTACCTTTATGCCACTGACCACCATGTGCTGTGCTGTGGGGGTAAAGGGCTATTCCTCTGTGTCCCACTAGTGGGTTTCCTGAGATCATCTATTTTTCTTCTTCTCTGGGAATCACTCGTAGCAGAGTAAGATTGTCTTCCATGAACACAGTCTTAACAGTGAGACCGTAAGTGACTGTGGAGGCCAGTTCTGGATCCACACATCCTTCCACAGTGGGGACGTAGGTTTCCAGGCAGGAGTTAATCACGGCAAGGGTTTGCCAAACATGCCTTCTTCTTAGCATGTTTCTCCCTTTCATCCTGAGTTCAAGTGTCTTCAAAGCCCATGACATCTTTCGTAAAGGCTGTTCTCCAATTGGAGCTCCCACAGGCCAGTGTTTCCCATAACAAAAACTACCACAGAGATATCTAAATTTTCAAAAGTAGGGAGTCCATGAAAAACAGGAGGCCCACAGTACTTAGCTAATTGGGAACCACTCTTCTATGGCTCTTAAATGTGTTTGTGGGAGGGCAGTAATTGGTTTGCTTTTGTTTTATTAGGATTTTGTGTTCTCATTTTTTATTTTTATGTGGACTTTCATGTGGTCTTTGGATAAAGAGCGGCATACAAATTTAATTCATAATAATACTAATAGGTAACTTCTCCTACAAATCACTTCCTTGCTCAGCCTGGCTTCCTCTCAGCAGTGAGACTGATCCTTTCTGTCTGAAAGAGACAGAGTGAAAGGAGAAGCATCCTTTCCTTGAGAGGCAGAAAAACCATGCGCCAGCTGCGCTTTCCTCAGTCCTTTCTTCTTTGAACGGACAAAAACAAGTGTTTTAACCTTCGCCTCTGAGACATGCAAGACTTGCATCAGCAGGAGCAGCTGGCTGAGGCTTCCCGCCTCCCTGGTCATTTGTTGACAGGCAGAATAAAACTGGAATTCTCAGGCCGCAACCACACATTTAAAGTGCATGATTCCCCCCAAAGGATCCTGGGAACTTTAACTTGTTAAGGGTGCTGGGAATTGTAGCTCTGTTAGGGGTAAAGTGCCCTTCCCAGGATTCTTTTTTAATTTATTTGTTACATTTATATCCCATCTTTTATACATTTATTATATCCCTTACATACAGTGGTACCTCGGGTTAAGTACTTAATTCATTCTGGAGGTCTGTTCTTAACCTGAAACTGTTCTTAACCTGAAGTACCACTTTAGCTAATGGGGCCTCCTGCTGCCGTCGCGCTGCCAGAGCACAATTTCTGTTCTCATCCTGAAGAAAAGTTCTTAACCCGAGGTAATATTTCTGAGTTAGCGGAGTCTGTAACCTGAAGCGTATGTAACCCGAGGTACCACTGTATAGCCATGCTGGCTAGGAATGATGGGAGTTGTAGTCCAACAGCATTGTGGGACCCAAGGCTGAGAAACGCCGGGTTAGAATGTCGGACTAGGACCTGAGAGACCAGAATTAAAATCCCTGCACCGCTCACTGGGTGATCTTGAGCCCGTCACTGCCTCTCAGCCAAAACATACCTCACAGGGTCATCGTGGGGATTAAATAGCGGGTGACAGGGGAAGAACTGTGTATGCAGCTGCTTCGGGGGGAAAGTGAGATATAATAAATAGGTAGATAAATAAATAAATTGGTTGCCTGCTCATTTTAATGCTCTCTTACCCAAGTTGCATCACTTTCCATCTTGCTGCAAAAGTCAACAGGATCTCTGGGGAGAAATATGGACCAGATGCCTCAGCCTGTCCGGAAGAAAGAAGAACAGAGAAGGAATTTAAAAACAAAGCTTGGGGAGTGCCAAATAATAAAGCAATTAGGGAAAATGCCTACCCTACAGGCAGATCCCTGGGACATTTTGGATGAAAATTGTGTGGTGTGCCACTGAAGTAAAGCCTGTACCCCTTTATATTGTTATTGATTAAACTTATTACTGTAGTTTTGTGGGGGGTTTTATACCAAAGTAACTCAAAGCAACTTAAAACAATAAATAACACGTATCTTAAAAAACAGCAAAGCAACATCTAAAACAGGGGTCTGCAACCCATGGCTCCGGAGCCGCATGTGGCTCTTTTACACCTTTGCTGCGGCTCCGGGGCGGATACTAGTGAGGGGAGGAGGCGCATTGTGCGCCCCGACACTCCCCACTGTGGCGGGCGCTGTACTGGCTGTGACGTCGCATGGGGGCGGTGCGTGCATTAGGCACGCACCATCCCGACTTCACCTTCCCGGTTTTGCGGCTCCCAGTTTGTTTTTTTCTTCGGAAACGGGTCCAAGTGGCTCTTTTTGTCTTAAAGGTTGCAGACCCCTGATCTAAAACCTAAATGATTCCATATTAGGGCTCGGGAGTACCAGCTTGGCCCCACAACTGTGGGTGCCCGGGGCCATGGGTGCCATGCAGCGTGCATGGTCCTGGCACTGAAATTTGTGGTTGCCTGGCCCCTTCATGGGGAATTATGTGGGTGCTTTGGCACACAGGGCTCCAGGGAGTTGGCACCTACGGTAGGACTATCCAACGTGGTGCCTTCCATGTGTTGTCGAACAACAACTCTCACCAGCCCTAGCCATAAGCCTTACAGGCAGAAAGAAAGAGGGAAAAAGAACCCTAATTTCAACTCTTATCAATTCTGTTTCTCCACTGACTCTGCTGAAAGACTTAACAAGTTTTGGCTCCTCCCCACCAATCCCTCCATTCCGGCTGGCCATTGCAACAACTCCATAACTAAGACCTAGTGCCTGAGTTGTGGTTTTTCCTCTTCCCTCCCAGTCCTGTTTTTCCTTTTGTGTTGTGTCTGTTGGATTTGTAAGCCTGATGACAAGAGCTGACTTAATTTCTATTTGCAAGCTGCTGGAGAAGCTTTTTTATTATTATGTTATTATTTTTTGCTTACGAGTAGGATAATTTGTTCACACGCTTCAAATAAGTAAATGAAATTTAAACCCAATAAATAAATAAATAAATAAATAAGAGAAAGTAGCTAACAATTTGATAATTAATTGCGCGATGCCTTGCAGTATGTACATATCAACATATGTACACACAAAGATAAGTTGTATCCAATGCCCAATCTTGAGATTAATTTTACGGAGACCCTGGGCCTAGGAAGGCAGTTCCATCTGCAATCCTATGAAAGCTTACCTGTGAGTAAGTCCAAATGAACATAGTGAGACTGACCTCTGAGTAAGCATGCATAGGTTTCTGCTGTGAATCCTAAAGGCTGAGTGACATGAAGCAACTTTTACAATGGATAGTACAGTAATAGTTTAATATTTGAACAGCATCCTCAACAGGGGTGGGTGGGGGGAGTATTATTAGTCGGTTTCTCTCCAGGAAAGACAGAAGGCTTGTGCCATTTAGGTTTAAAATCAAAATTCAGTTATTGTGAAACATGTTCGCAGAACTTCCTTTTTCCTTGAAGGAGAAACCAAATCTTAACAGCAGGATTACTAAATGTTTTTATCACTTTTGGAGTATTTCGTAAGCCACAGAGCCTTTTCATTTCGGATTAAGCCTCTTAAAATTAGACTGCCTCTCTTGTTCCAGCAGGCTTTTGGGGAAACTGACTTGTTTTAAGGAAAGGGCTGGTGCTGTGATGTTTTTATTGCAATGATCGGTATGTTTTAATAGATCAGATAGAGAGATAGAAAGATATTCTGTTAGTGATGAATTGCTTTCAAATGCTTGTTTCCCTTCCCCCCAAATCTTTTTCGCTCTTTCTATTTTAGCTGTAAGCCCCCTTACATCTGCCAGGGGAAAAGACATTATTATTATTATTGTTGTTGTTGTTGTTGATGATGATGATGATGATAAACTGCAAGAATGATCGGGCACATACCAGAAAGTACGTCCTATTGAACTCGGTAGGAATTACTTCTGGGTAAAAATGCAAAGAACTGCATTGCAAGCTGCACTAAACAATAGGCTGCGGTGAGTGAGCACCATGGTCTGCCCGTTCAGCGTAACAAATCAGATCTTCAGATCTTTGCTTTTCTCCCCTCCACACTTACCCTTCCCAGACTTTTCCAACGCCTTTCTGCCGCAGCGGGGAAATTCAGCACCCGGGTCCTTCCTCCGTGGGCTCCCTGTTGCTGATGGAGAGAAGATGCCGCCGCCGCCGCAACGCCTCGCTCCTCAATTGCCCGGGTGCCGGGAAGGGGGGCTGCCGGGCGGGTGGGCGCGGATGCCGGATGCCGCTTCAAAACAAAGTTCTGGGGAAAGCCGCGTTCATCTCAGCCGAAATCAGAGACGGAGAGAGGAGCAAGCAAGCGACCAGCTCCCTCGCCTGGCGAGGATTTTAGACAGCCCTCTGCTGGCCGCAGGGAAGGCTCAGCATGGTCCAAATTTCAAACTGAGAGGTTGCAGCCTCTCCGCCCAACCTACCTCGCAGGGCTGTTGTGGTTTGGGGAAGAGCTCTGTACCCCCACACCTTGAGCTCCTTGGAGGAAAGGTGCAATAATAAATGAGCCATAATAATAATAATAATAATAATAATTTATTATTTGTACCCTGCCCATCTGGCTGGGTTCCCCAGCCACTCTGGGCGGCTTCCATAGAAACCAAAGATACAGTAAAATATCACAGATTAAAAACTTCCCTGAACAGGGCGGCCTTCAGATGTCTTCTGAATGTCAGGTAGTTGTTTATCGCTTTGACATCTGATGGGAGGGCGTTCCACAGGGCGGGCGCCACTACCGAGAAGGCCCTCTGCCTGGTTCCCTGTAACCTTACTTCTCGCAATGAGGGAACCGCCAGAAGGCCCTCGGCGCTGGACCTCAGCGTCCGGGCAGAACGATGGGGGTGGAGACGCTCCTTCAGGTATACTGGGCCAAGGCCGTTTAGGGCTTTAAAGGTCAACACCAACACTTTGAATTGTGCTCGGAAACGTACTGGGAGCCAATGTAGGTCTTTCAAGACCGGTGTTATGTGGTCTTGGCGGCTGCTCCCAGTCACCAGTCTAGCTGCCGCATTCTGGATTAGTTGTAGTTTCCGGGTCACCTTCAAAGGTAGTCCCACGTAGAGCGCATTGCAGTAGTCCAAGCGGGAGATAACTAGAGCATGCACCACTCTGGCGAGACAGTCCGCGGGCAGGTATAGTCTCAGCCTGCGTACCAGGTGGAGTTGGTAATAATGGATACAATCAAATAGGCAGATTGGCTAAATGAATTGTTGGGTAGCTGCAAAGAGGTAACGTTTTTGTTGTTGTTTAGTCGTTTAGTCGTGTCCGACTCTTTGTAACCCCTGGACCAGAGCATGCCAGGCACTCCTGTCTTCCACTTCCTCCCGCAGTTTGGTCAAACTCATGCTGGTAGCTTCGAGGACACTGTCCAACCATCTCGTCCTCTGTCGTCCCCTTCTCCTTGTGCCCTCCATCTTTCCCAACATCAGGGTCTTTTCCAGGGAGTCTTGTCTTCTCATTAGGTGGCCAAAGTCTTGGAGCCTCAGCTTCAGGATCTGTCCTTCCAGTGAGCACTAAGGGCTGATTTCCTTCAGAATGGAGAGGTTTGATCTTCTTGCAAGAATATTCTCTGGCAACTCCATAAACCATTGGAGGAGGAGGAGATGAAGCATCCATGAATCAGGCCAAAGAACCCGTCCAGTCCAACACCCTGACATAAGGATAGAAGCTTCTAGAATTCACAGGAATCTTTGTGGGAAGGGGAGCCATGACTGTCTTAAGTGACATGATATTGCTTTCAATTTATAGTGCAGGGCCCAGGACAGGATGGCTAAGAATATGTTGTTGTCCAGGGATGATGGCAGCTGGAGTTCAATATTTGGAGGACAAAATGTTGGCTGCTCCTGGTACAAGGACATTTTAAGAAACTGTGTGTGGGCTCTCCCTCAAATTCCTTCCCCCATCCACTGATCCCAGCACCTCATAGGTTCAGAGAAGATTGCTGCCCAATAGGAGGAGCTAGCGAAATTGAATTCAGACCTCACCTGCGGCCAGTGCTGTGTAAACCCTGCAATAAAGAAAAGATGAAAAGAACAGTTTATGGAGGCCCCACAAATCACCCAGAAATGCATTTTAAATAAAAGCACACATTCTACTCATGTAAAAACATGCTGATTCCCGGACTGTCCGCGGGTCGGATTTAGAAGGCGATTGGGCCGCATCCGGCTCCCGGGCCTTAGGTTGCCTACCCATGCTCAAGACAGATGGATGCCAGCCAAACCATGTAAGTGGGAAATCGCCAGCACAGCCACATTTGACTTCAAAAGAGGGAACTTTCCTCCCGAATGAGGAGAGTAGTAAAAAGGGAGTTGAAAGGCCAAGCCAAGATGGTCAAATCTTTTCCAGAGGCTTGGAAGTTCTTTAAAACTGTGATATTGGAAGTTGATTGAATGTAGACCAGGAAAAGTACTACCAGGGCTAAGAGGATGCCAACATGGCTGATGATCAGAGTCAAGGCAGCTTTTAGAGGCAGGAAGGCTTCCTTCAGAAAATGGAAGTCTCGTTCAAATGAGGAGGACAAAGCTTAAGCAAAAGAAAGCAGACAGAAAGGGATATAAAGAATTCATTCATTTTGCCATTTGTTATAGGAGCATATTGATTAAAAAAAAAAAGTTAAAACCAACCAAAGCAATTCTGCAACCACATCAAAAGCTGGAAACAGACTAGGAAGGCCATTGGAGAACAAGGTAATTGCAAGCGTGCTGGAGGAGACTAAAGAGGAGCTGAATGAATTCTTCCTGCTCCTTTGTTCATGAACATAAAAAGGAGACTGCAAGGTGATTAAGGATTAAATTGGGGTGGTTCACACCTGCATCCCAGTTTGGTTATTTTTACTCTTGGCTTGATTATTAGCTTGAACTGCCTGTACTCTGATGTGATTTGATTTTTAAAGGGTTTTTTGCTTTATATTAGTGGAAATTCACTGTATCGTAAAAAAAAAAAAGTATAAATATCTGCCAACTGAGGGCAGCACCTTACACAGTGCCGCCATAAGAATGCAATCCTTGGCTTACCTTCTCAGTTCGGCACCAGCAAATCAGGCAAAGAGAGCTCAGAGTCCCTTGCCTTTGCCTCCATCCAGGCCTTGGAGCAGATTTCAGTGGGGCTGGGGAAGCTGGGGCATCAAGAGGCTGTTGTGGAAGGGGGTCTAGATTTAACCCACAACACTTATGTGGATCCCCAGAGTGTTGTGACACATCCAGACAATGTGAGGGCCCTGGTGTGAGCATTCTCTGCCTTGGAAGCCTCACTACAATCAATTCTAGCTACTGAGCAGAGACACACTTTGCACAAGCTCAGAGGCGCCTTTGGTGTCGTTCATCAGTGCACACATTCCAAGTCTGAGCAGGGCAGAAATTGAAAGCAGTTGCCAGGGAGCTCATCCCCTGAAAGCCTCCCATCAAATTTAAGGCGTCAGTTGGTTTGGAAAGGGCTGCGGGCCAGTGACAGGGAAACTGCTTTGCATGCAGAAGGCCCCAGGTCCAATCCCTGCGATCACTAAGTATGGCTGGGGAAAACAGCTGCCTGAAACCCTGGAGAGCTGCTACTGCCAGTCAGTGCCTGTCAGTACTTTGCTAGATGGGCCAATGGTCTAGCATTGAGTAAGGCAGCTTTGCAAATCTGCTTAAAGATATGAAGAGATTTAGAACAGGGGTAGGCAAACTAAGGGACGCGGGTGGCGCTGTGGGTTAAACCACAGAGCCTAGGACTTGCCAATCAGAAGGTCGGCGGTTCGAATCCCCGCGACGGGGTGAGCTCCCGTTGCTCGGTCCCTGCTCCTGCCCACCTAGCAGTTTGAAAGCACGTCAAAGTGCAAGTAGATAAATAGGTACCGCTCCGGCGGGAAGGTAAACGGCATTTCCGTGTGCTGCTCTAGTTCGCCAGAAGCGGCTTAGTCATGCTGGCCACATGACCTGGAAGCTGTACGCCTGCTCCCTCGGCCAATAAAGTGAGATGAGCGCCGCAACCCCAAAGTTGGCCATGACTGGACCTAATGGTCAGGGGTCCCTTTACTAGGCAAACTAAGGCCCGTGGGCTGGATGCGGCCCAATCACCCTCTCAATCCGGCCCACAGACGGTCCAGGAATCAGCGTGCTTTACATGAGTAGAATGTGTCCTTTTATTTAAAATGCATCTCTGGGTTATTTGTGGGGCATAGGAATTCGTTCATTTTTATTTTTTTCAAAATATAGTCCGGCCCACGGCATGGTCTGAGGGAAGGTGGACCACGGCTGAAAAAGACTGCTGACCCCTGATTTAGAACAAAGCTCCACACTGGCTCACAAAGGGTTATGCTGATAGATATACACAATTACGCCTAGATCGACCAGGCAATTTGAGAAGCTGGTGAAGCCACTTCCTTTCCCCACCTTGCCCTTTCATGGGGAAAAAATGGGGGTTGCAGCTCCCAGCTTGCAGGGAGAGGTGAGCTACAGGGGAATTTAGGAGGGAGGGGCCATTTGCAGGAAAGTTGGGAGAAAATGATAGGCAATCCCAGAAGATCAAGGGTGTCAGTGGCTGCAAAAAGGACATAGGAAGCTCCTTTGTACTGAGTCAGCTCAGTACAGCCAATTTAATTTCTTTTTTTTATGCAGAGAAAATAAACAGTTTGAGGAGAAGGTGAATGAATTCTTTTCTCTGCTTTGTTCATGAACTTCAAAGGGAGGCTGCAAGGTGACTGAGGATTAAATTGGGTTGGCTTATTTTTACACGTAGCTTGGGCTGCCTGTATTTTGGTATGATCCAGTTTTTTGTTCTGTAGTAGTGGAGACACGCTATATAGCAAGCAAATGTACAAATATCTGCCAGTCGAGGTTAGCACCTTATGCAGTGATGCAGAGTCAGCGGGGGCCAGAGTAAAAAGGAGCTTGTCAATGTTTGGGGAAGCTTTTAATGTTTGATGCATTACTGTATTTTAATATTTTGTTCGAAGCTGCCCAGAGTGGCTGGGGAAGCCCAGCCAGATGGGCGGGGTATAAATAAATTATTATTATTATTATTATTATTATTATTATTATTATTATTATTGTTATTGTTATTGTTATTGTTATCATCATCATCATTATTAATGCAACTCTCTGGGATTTGCAGGTGGGGTGAGAGAACAGGGTGCTAAGATTGCTGGAATGGTAACAGCAGCTCCCTTGCATGCAGAAAGTCCCGACATTCCCTGCCTGACATCTTCCTTATGTTCTTCTGTAAACTCCAATATCAAATATTTTTGTTTCTGCTCTGCTCAGAAAATGCACTGGCCCATCTGAATTTACTCCTCTGCCAGCTGCTTTGCCTTGCTGCAGATTCCGGTCATAGTTTGGTCTGGATCCAACCCTTGAAGGAGAATGGCTGAAGCACAGGTAGGGACCCACAGATACTCACTCCCCCCTCTCATTTTGTTCCAGCAGTGGTGGCTGGTGCCCCCTAGGACAGGTAGTGCGGGAGGCAGGGAGCTGAAGAAGAGGTGGTTACACAGAGCCAAATGACAGGCAGAGCCAACTAATCTAGGTTTATCCCTGTCCTCCTCCTCCTCCTCCCTGATATGAAGGCAAAACTGAGAGGGAGGAGGAGGAACAAGCAGTGCACCCCCTGGCCTCATTTTTAAGAAGGCAAGCAGGCAGGGAGCAGCAGGTTGAGGACAAACTGAGGTAGATGGGGCAGTCCTTTCATTACCCTAATCATGGACCAGCCTCCCCTGCTTTCTCAGTGTGGCAATCACACAGGGTCCCCGGGCGTTTCACTGTCTATTGATCCCTGTGCCACCACTTATTTCTCGCTGCCACCACCCAGGCCCTACCTGGTACAATACAGAGTCCAGTCAGGGTTAAATTGGAACATAAACTTCTGTTTATTTATTGTAGTTTGACAAGCCTGTGGTTTCATAAACGGTATCGGTCAATTACAATCATGGGGTGCCTATCCAGACCTATAACTTCCGCTACCTGCTCTGACTCACTAAACCACCTCTCAGATATTTACTTGTCTTCCTAGCCCCTAACTGTTCCTGACTCAGTTTATTTTGCTACACTAACTCAACCTACCCACAGACTCTATCCCAATTCACTCCCACTCCAACCAACCTCCCAACAAACTCCCCTTCGCCCCTCACAGAGCTGGTTTTATAGTCCCTCTGACTCCACCCCCCTGGGTTCTGATTGGGTAATTTGTTTAACTATTTCACCTCCAGCACTCTCATATGTTAACGTCACACTCGGAGTATACCGGAAATTGTAATTTATTAAAATTGTCTGATGGGTCATCCGACAAATCTAGCAGAGCTCTTCTTACATTCTCATGACATAGCATATGAGGAAAAAGGACTGGGAGGGAGGAGGGGAAACCAAGCTCCGCTGAAACGTCTTTCACTCGCCAAAAACCGTGCTCAGAAATGAGAACTCAAGTCTTTCCCCAGTGGACTAGCTAGTTGAGGCTATTTTAATCAAGAGAGGTTTTAATGTTTCAAAATGTGCCCCCTTTCACCCCTTTTGTTGCAGGATCATCCGGTTTGCCCGACAAAAGAGGGAGACATCAAAACTGAGGATCAGCAGAGTAGTGAAGACCTGCCGGTAGGCATCCTTAATCCACTCACTTAAGTAAAACGATGGAAGGAACTTGAGGAGAGCCAGGGAGAGCCAGTGTGGTGTAGTGGTTAAGAGCGGTGGACTCGTAATCTGGTGAACTGGGTTCGCGTCTCCGCTCCTCCACCTGCAGCTGCTGGGTGACCTTGGGCCAGTCACACTTCTCTGAAGTCTCTCAGCCCCACTCACCTCACAGAGTGTTTGTTGTGGGGGAGGAAGGGAAAGGAGAATGTTAGCCGCTTTGAGACTCCTTTGGGTAGTGATAAAGCGGGATATCAAATCCAAACTCTTTCTTTCTCTTTCTTTCTTCACCCAGTGCATCATTAATGCATGGAACTACCCGCCACACGGTGTCCTGACGGCCACAGGCTTGAGTGGATTTAAGAGTGGATAACACCCGTTCATAGGGACATAGGAAACTGCCATATAACAAGTCAAACCAAACTGGTCCTGCTAGCTCAGTATTTTCTACACTGAATAGGAGCAGCTGACCAGGGCTTCAGGCGATAATTTTTTACCAGCCATGCCTGGAGATCCTGGGGGTTAAACCTGGAACATTCTATAGGTTGTCTGAGTCTTTTTGGAGGGGCAATGTGGGATACCAATTAGTTAAACAAACAAAAAATGTGAAGTAAGAACTCAACATCCTGAGAATCTCAGCTTCTTTCTTTTTATTTGTGATGTAAAATGCACACTGCTAGCACTGCTGTCAAGATACGACTGAGAAGGCATGGGCAGAGACCACGTGAGCAGGCAGTTCTTCTTCCTCTCTCATAATACGAGAACCCAGGACCATTCAACGAACATTGGGAGATGCAGGGCAGACAAACCAAAGGATTTCTTCACACAGTTGAACTATGGCATTCACTCCCACCAGAGGCAGTGAAGGCTACCAACTGAGATGGCTTTAAAAGAGAATTAGCATCTTTCAGAGATGCCCTGACAAATTTATGAAAGATAAGGCTACCAATGGTTGCTAGCTATGATGGCTGTTCTCTACCTTCACATCTGAGGCAGTATTTGTTAAGGATAACGGTTTAATTGGCTGAAATGGGAATGTTTGCTTCTGTTGAATTGATGTGTATTTTTAGCATAGGTTCTTTTTTCCTTTGGCGGTAGCTCTCTCATGATTGGCTGACTGTGAGTCACATGAGAGAGGCATTCCATTCTGTTGTGACTGTTATTCAAGTAACTGTCGTTTTTAACTGGCTTTCTGCTTCTGTGTGTGTGTGAAGGGGAATGGCTGCTGAGAGAGGTTTCTCAGGATCTGCTAAGGACAGTGTGTGTTAGTGTCATCTTTCTGAAGTGAATCAGACAGAGGAGATTCCCTAAATGTTAATAGGGAGAAACCTGAGCATGATATTGTAAATATATTCTTCTAAGTTATATGTTTATGAAAGTCAAGGGTTATTTGCTGTTGTGCTCAGGTGCTGCTTAGGGGCCTCTTGACTGAGGCATCTGGTTGGCCACTGTGAGAACAGTCTGGTGGACTAGATGGGCCATTTGGCCTCATCCAGCAGGACTATTTTTATGGCAGTTCCTAGTCATAGCTCATAGACCTATGGATTCTCTGATCTATGGGATTTTCTCCCAGGCTCACCACCCACTTCTTAAATCTTGCCTTCCGGCAGAGAGAAATGGAAGCTGAGAGGATGAAGATTGTCCAGGAGTGGAAGGAGATGCACCAGATTCTCGATGAGCAGCAGCAGCTCCTGCTGAGGTGGCTACAGAACATGGAGGGTGACGTTCTCCGCAGAAAGAAGGAGGTTCTCCGAATCACCAGGGAGACTTCCCTCCCCCGTGAACTGGAAAAGGAGAAGAAGCCACAGCAGCCATTACTGGTAGGAAGAGTGGGATCTTGGAAAGTCAGTGGCAAACTGGGAACCTGTGGGCTTCTGACTGTTGCTGGACTACAACTCCCATCATGCTGCCTGGGGCCAATGGGAGCTAAAACATAATTAAATTAAATTAGTTAAATGTATTTTCATTGATTAATCAGTTACAGTGGTACCTCGGGTTAAGTACTTAATCCGTTCCGGAGGTCTGTTCTTAACCTGAAACTGTTCTTAACCTGAAGCACCACTTTAGCGAATGGGGCCTCCTGCTGCTGCCACATAGCCCAATTTCTGTTCTTATCCTGAAGCAAAGTTCTTAACCTGAAGCACTATTTCTGGGTTAGCGGAGTCTGTAACCTGAAGCGTATGTAACCCGAGGTACCACTGTACTTGATTGCTTTAAAAGTGCAGATGAAAATGGTTCTGATGAAACCATTGCAGCTTGCAGCTTTTAGTATAGTAAAAATAATGTTACATTGCCCAACAATGCTCCTATTATTGATTAAAAGGCTTTTTCAATGATTATAGCAGGGGTGGGGAAATGCGTTCAGATCCTGACCTCCCCTAAGGGGCCATTTCTGACAAGTGGACATAGTTATCATGACATCAGATGAAGCATTTTCTTTTGCCCATACAGTTTGTAACCAAACCACCTGGCAAGGTTGAAGGTCAGCTGTGTCCTTACTTGCCTCACACCTGGTGTCATATGGGGTAGGTGGGTGTGGCTTGAATAAAACAGCCTCGGGGGCCAAATTAGGACCTCTTCAACTGACAATTGAATCTGCCATGAACATTTGGGCTGTAATATGCATATTATTGTTATTGTTGTTGTTATTATTATTATTATTATTATTATTATTATTATTATTATTATTTCTGATTGTTCTAGGCTGCATACCCTCTACATTTTAAAAGCATGTTTCCCCTCTCAATGATTTCTGGCGCTATAGTTAACACCGCACAGAGTTACAATTACCAGGTACCCTTAACAAACTACAGTGTCTATCATTCTTTGAAAGAAGTAGCTTCAAATGGCCTTGCCTGTCTTGCACAACATAGCAAGAATATTCTCTGGCAACTCCGTAAACTGTTCTTTTCATCTTTTCTTTATTGCAGGGTTTACACAGCACTGGCCGCAGGTAAGGTCTGAATTCAATTTTGCCAGCTCCTCCTATTGGGCAGATAGTTCATCTTCTCTGAACTATGAGGTGCTGGGATCAGTGGGTGGGGGAAGGAATTTGAGGGAGAGCCCACACACAGTTTCTTTAAAAGTCCTTGTACCAGGAGCAGCCAACATTTTGTCCTCCGAATATTGAACTCCAGCTGCCATCATCCCTGGAAAACAGTATATTCTTAGCCATCCCTGTCCTGGGTCCTGCACTATAAATTGAAAGCAATATCATGTCACTTAAGAAAGTCATGGCTCCCCTTCCCACAACGATTCCTGTGAATTCTAGAAGCTTCTATCATGTCAGGGTGTTTGACTAGAGAGGCTCTTTGGCCTGATCCAAGAGTTCATGGATGTTTCGCCTCCTCCTCCTCCAACAGAGACACTTAACTCTCTCTCTCTCTCTCTCTCTCTCTCTCTCTCTCTCTCTCTCTCTCTTTTGCAGAGACGATACATTCTTCCCGAAACCACAGCCGGATTTGGGGGAGCTGGAGAAGAGGCTGAGCGATTTCTCCCACAAAAGGGCTGCTTTGCTGGAAACGCTGCTGGCATTCAAAGGTGAAGAAGGGTTTTTATTTGCTAGGATCTTTCGAAAAGCCACAATGACATATAGGTAAAGTGAAAACAAAAAATGCACAGTTGTGTCTAATGTTAGTCCTATGCAAAGTGGACCCATTGGAATTCATGCAGAGGACTATGGCCTCATCTGCAATTAAATATACAGTCAAACCTCAGTTGTCAAATGTAATCTGTTTTGGAAGCCCATTCGGCTTCCGAAATGTTCAACAACCAAGGTGCACTCAAGTGGAAGCCACATTGGATGTTCAGCTTCCGAAAAACATTCGAAAACTGGAGTAGTTACTTCCGGGTTTTTGGTATTCAGGAGCCAAAATATTCCAAAACAGAGCCGTTTGGGAACCAAGGTTTGACTGTACATTTAAAGTAGTAGCATTCTGTCTTAAACAAGAATGGCTTCCCTCAAAGAATTCTGGGAAGTGTAGTTTGTTAAGGGTGCTGAGAGTTGCTGGGATAGCAAAGCTACAGGGAACCAGGCAGAGGGCCTTCTCGGTAGTGGCGCCCGCCCTGTGGAACGCCCTCCCATCAGATGTCAACAAGATAAACAACTACCTGACATTCAGAAGACATCTTAAGGCAACCCTGTTCAGGGAAGTTTTTAATGTGTGACATCTTAGTGTATTTTTTGTCTTTGTGGAAGCCGCCCAGAGTGGCTGGGGAAACCCAGCCAGATGGGCGGGGTACAAATAATATATTATTATTATTATTATTATTATTATTATTATTATTATTATTACTACTACCCCATTCTCCTCAGAGTTCCTTGCAATGAGGGATTGTTTGTTAAGCCACGCTGAAGACTCTTGTCTACTGTTTGTGACATTGGTGTCACCATGCCACAAACGTATGGAGAGGCAGGGCTTCTCCATAAGTCTCTTAAAATTGTGCATGCGTGATGATTTGGGCTCATGATGACATTGGGGAGGTTGTCCCTTCTTTCAATACTGTTTCAGCCTGCAAACGTTTTAGGGCGGACCTACTGATAAGTTTCCAGTCAGAGCATGTTCCCCAACTTCCTTCTGGACTCCTGTCACTTTATACACCACACATGTTCCAGTTTATTTATTGGACCTGCTTTTGTGGTGCTGTAAACCCAGGAGTGTCGCTCCAGATGATAATATTGCGGTAATGTTGTGAAAGCATCACAGGGCTACAAGTAAAGGAAAATGACCTCTGGTTGGTCCAGTATGAATACAGCATGAATCGGCTAATTAGCGTTTTAATTGCCAGAAAGTCCGCCAGCAGTTGGAAGGGGCCCTGAGAGAGAAAGAGAAAAAGGACAAAATTGTGAAGGATGTTAATTTTTTCCCCTTTCTTTCTGCAGGAAATCTGCATCTGGAGTTGAAGAGGAATGGAGGTACATACACACTTTAACTTTAAAAGTAAAATAAAATTACATACTAGAGACCAACACGCTTTGCTGCCTGAATGAAGGATGATAATATATAAGTATTTTTATAGCTCAACATTTCTAACCTTGCAAGGTTTAAATTTCTTTTTATATTATTATTATTATTATTATTATTATTATTATTATTATTACAGTATTATTATTATTATGACAAAGTAATAATCATAAATAAACAAGAATAAAAATGTGCACCGCACCCCCGAGACCATTCCACTGTAACTATCCAAACTCCCAAAATTTCAACAACTCTCGCCATGGTTTGACCCCTTTCTGTTTTAACAGTACAAATTCTACAAACACCTTCCATATCTCCTCACAATCATTTATCCTGCATATTCCCTGTCTTACCTTAATGGCACATGTTCATTTATCGTTAATAGCTATATCCCACACCTCTTTATACCATTCTTCCATTTTATATTCTGCTTGCCCCTTCCACTTCCTAGTTATAATAATTCGTGTGACTGTCAATAAATTTGTGAGCAAGTCCTTCATGGCCTGCGAACCTTCCATCCCATCGTAAATGTTTAATAATGCTACCTCTGCACTTTTGGTCAGCTGTAACCCAGTGATTTCTGTTATCTCCTTAAACACCCTTTGCCAAAAAAATGTTCTTATTTACACCCCCACCACATGTGAACATAATTCCTGGTTTCCTGGCATCCCCTCCAACATAACACCGAATATTCATTGATTATTTGTGTAGTGGTTCTAGGGGTTGCTCGTGCGTAAGCCGGTGCAAACACCTGGCTGGGTTGCCTGAGTGAACCTTTTCTGTCCGGACAGCCACTCTCCCGTGGCTGTCTCAATCGCTGGCAGAATCCGTCAGTGGGCGTTTCTTAAACTTCTTCCAGCAAAGAAGCTCTTTGACGCCTAGTCTCCTCCTACTCTCTCTGCGCGAAAGCCTTCTGTGCAAGGAGGGCGTAGGCAGCGGAGGACCTCTACTCTCCCTGCTGGTCCCCGGCAAGGAGTCCTGGGACCGCCTCGCCGCTTCCCCCATCTGCCCCCCTTCTCCACTGGTGCTACGCTGATTCTCTTCCCCAGAAGATGGGCTGCCTCTCCCAATCCCGGGACACTCTCAGGAATCCCTCTGGATTTTGCTCTCTCCCTCCGGCACTGATGGCAGTTCCCTGACAATTTGATTTAATCTGACTGGCGTTAAATACCATCTCCAAACTAATTTATAATAATTTTCTTTTATTCTTAAATAAATTTCATGAAGATAGGAACACAGGAAACTGCTTTATCCTGACTCAAAACCATTGGCCCATCTGGCTCAGTATTGTCTACTTTGACTGGCAGTGGCTTATAAGTGCCTGAACCTGGGACCTTATATGCAAAGCAGATGCTCTGCTACTTAGCTAAAAACCCCTTCCCACAATGATTGAAATCATAGAATTTATCAGATTTTTCTGCATTAATATAACAGTATCCAACTTGCTTATTTCTAGCAGGAGAAGGCCAGGTGAGCAACATGGAGGATGAGAAACCTCTGATGGATCATACTGAGCAACAGGAACGGAATGATAGGACAGCAGAAGGAGCAGCAGAGAAAATGTCTGTGTGCCCTGAACCGAAGGCCACTTCTGAGGATGAACATGGCTCAAAAAGAGAGCAGAGGAAATGTCTGGACAAAGGGGACGAGGACAAATCTATTCCCTGCAAAGGAAACAACTGTGACCTTGATGGGCACAAAGTTCTGCCAAGGACTCAACAGATCAAGAAGCAAAGGGTGTGTGCCGAGTGCGGGAAATGCTTCAGTCAGAAGTCAAACCTTATTACACATCAGAGAATCCACACCGGTGAGAAGCCGTACGAGTGTGCCGACTGCGGGAAGAGCTTCTGCCAGAGATCGGGCCTCATTTCGCACCAGAGAACCCACACGGGTGAGAGGCCGCACAAATGCTCGCACTGCCAGAAGAGCTTCCGGTTCCACTCCAACCTCATCATGCACGAGAGGACTCACACGGAGGAGAAGCCGTACAAGTGCTCGCGTTGCGGGAAGCGCTTCAACCAGCGGTCGAACCTCGTCAGTCATGAAGGGACCCACCGGCAGGAGAAGCCGTGCAAGTGTTCCGAGTGCGGGAAAAGCTTCCGCCGGAGCTCAGAGCTCACTGTCCACATGATGACCCACACAGGGGAAAAGCCATACAAGTGCCTCCAATGCGAAAAGGGGTTCAGGAGGAGGGCAGACCTCATTGTGCATGAGAGGACCCACACGGGAGAGAAGCCATACGGCTGCCCCCATTGCGGGAAAAGCTTTAGCCAGAGGTCAGGTTTAATTGCACATGAGCGGACGCACTCAGCAGAGAAGCCGCATGAGTGCGTGGTGTGCGACAAGGGCTCCAGCCACACTGCACACCTTGCCTCGCACGAGAAGCCAGACCTCACCACGCACCACCAGAACCGCACTGGCGAGAAGCCTTACGAATGCGCAGACTGTGGGAAGAGCTTCTGCCAGAGATCGAAACTCGCCGTCCACCAGAAAACCCACGTGCGCGAGAAGCCGTACAAATGCTCTCACTGCAAGAAGAGCTTTGGCTTCCGGTCCTACCTCATCGCACATGAGAGAATCCACACAGGGGAGAAGCCATTCAAATGCGCGCGTTGTGGGAAGGGCTTCAGCCAGCGGTCGGCCCTCAGAGGTCACGAAGGGACTCACGAGGAAGAGAAGCCTTACAAGTGCTCCGAGTGCGGGAAAAGCTTCTGCCGGAGCTCAGAGCTCCTCGTCCACCTGATGACCCACACGGGGGAGAAGCCGTACAAGTGCCCTCAGTGCGGGAAGCGCTTCAGGAGGAAGCCGGAGCTCATCATCCACGAGAGGATTCACACGGGCGAGAAGCCGTACAAGTGCACAGACTGCGGGAAAAGCTTCAGCCAGATGTCGGGCCTCCTCAGTCACGGACGTACCCACCGGGAAGAGAAGCCGTACAAGTGCTCCGAGTGCGGAAGGGGTTTCAGGAGGAAGCCAGACCTCACCGTGCACGAGAGGACCCACAAGGGGGAAAAACCGTACAAGTGCGTGGAGTGCGGGAAGGGGTTCAGGAGGAGGACGGATCTCATTGTGCACGAGAGGACCCACACAGGGGAAAAACCGTACAAGTGCCCTCACTGCGAGAAAAGCTTCAGGCAGAAGCCAGGCCTGAACGTGCACCAGAGGACCCACACAGAGGAAAAGCCGTAGAAATGTGTGGTTTGCGACAAGAGCCATGCTTCACACCTTTCTGTGCACGAGATGACCCACATGGAAAAGCGGCCATTCAAGTGCCTGGACTGTGGGAAAAGCTTTGACTGGAAACTGGATCTCACTTTGCCCTGCCAGAACCACACAGCAGAGAAGCTGTACGAATGTGTGGACTGTGGAAATTCAGCCAGAGGCCAAGCCTGTGTACGCATGAGAGGACCCACATGGGCAAGAGGCTCTACCTGTGTGTCAAGTGCAAGAAGAGCTTCCAGAACATCTCCAACCTGAAGTCACACTGAAGTGCCCATTCCAAAGTGCCCATTCCAAAGTGCTTGCAGGTGCTCGGAGTGTGGGAAAAGCTTCCTGGGGAGTTTGGATCTTAGCAGACATCAGAGATTCCACACAGGAGAGAGCTCACGAGCAGCCCAATTATTTGGAAAACTTATTTTAAATAAACAGTGGTTTTGCACAGTGCTGGCTTTGTTCACTGTTGGCTGTTGACTGGCGTATGTGGGTGTTGGTGCATGGCATTATGGGACGCCATCATTATAAAACGGTGCTGTAGCTCTAGGTTCAAGCAAGAGGGCTGAAACGAAAGGTTTGGCTGATAGGTCCACTCTCCTTGCCTCTACAGCTTCCAGTGTTCTTCTCTCACACTCATTTCACCCCCCTTCTCAGACAATTCTTTCTTGGTTTCCTCTGGACCAAGGATGGGGAACCTGCAGCCCTGCATACATTGTTTTATTATTATTATTATGGAACATAATATACCGTATTTTTCGCTCTATAGGACGCACCGGACAATAGGATGCACCTTGTTTTAGAGGGGGGAAAACAAGAGGAAAAAATTCTCCCCCTCTCTGCCCAGCGCCCCTTCAGCGAAGCGGCAGGAGGCGCTGCGCAGAGAGGGGGAGAATTTTCCTCCTCTTGTTTTCCCCCTCTAAAACAAGGTGCCGTTTAAGGTGCGTTCAGTTGCCTTCAGGCGGCTACCTTGGAAGCCTGGAGAGCGAGAGGGGTCGGTGCACACTGACCCCTCTCGCTCTCCAGGCTTCAGGTTCCTTTCGACCTGCTCTTTGGGGCTGGCAGGGGGAAGCCCACCACCAGCCCCAAAGAGCAGGTCGGGGAGCAGGGAAAGGCGCGCAGCGGAGAGGCTCCTGCCATAGTCGCGCGTCACCTCTCCAGCTGGGAGAGGGTCGCGGGGCTATGGCTTCTTTAGCCCCGCGCTCGCTCTCCCGGCTGGAGAGGTGGCGCGCAGCGGAGAGGCTCCTGCCATAGCCGCGCGTCACCTCTCCAGCCGGGAGAGGGTCGCGGGGGGCTGCTTTAGCCGTGCGCTCGCTCTCCCAGCTGAAGAGGTGTCGCGCAGCGGAGAGGCTCCTGCCATAGCCGCGTGTCACCTCTCCAGCCGGGAGAGGGTCGCGGGGGGCTGCTTTAGCCGTGTGCGCGCTCTCCCGGCTGGAGAGGTGGTGCACGGCTATAGAGGCTCCTGCCATAGTCGCGCGTCACCTCTCCAGCTGGGAGAGGGTCACGGGGGGCTGCTTTAGCCCCACGCACGCTCTCCCGGCTGGAGAGGTGGTGCACGGCTATAGAGGCTCCTGCCATAGCCCCACGTCACCTCTCCAGCCGGGAGAGGGTCGCGGGGCAATGGCTTCTTCGCTGCATAGGATGCACACACATTTCCCCTTCATTTTTGAAGGGGAAAAAGTGCGTCCTATAGAGTGAAAAATACGGTATTTATATCACACCCTTTTCTTCAGGGATATCAAGCTAGCATACATGGTTCCCCCTCCCCTGCTCATTTAAAACCTGCATATCGTTGCTAACAGATGGACTGTGATTCTTTTTTCTAATGAAACAAAGTTTTCTTCTTTTTAAAACATTTGGAACCGTTCCCCCCCCCTTTACTTTTACTCCCAACGGATGGAGACTTGTTTACTGTAACAGCCAAAACTCTGAAAGTGAGATATTCCCTTATTTGAAAGTAAAACATTACCCTTATTTACAAAGCTAAGTGTCTGTGATTTATTCTAAGTATTTTCATGGGCAACGTTTAAAGGCGGATGAGGGCAGATGTAAAATCTCATCCAAGTTGTAATGTACTTGGAGCAATCAGCCATTGTGCCAACTCTGCTACGAGAGAGTAATTATCTTTCTCAAACCTCTTTCTCCAACAGTTAGGAGACCCTGCCTAGTGCCCTCTCAGAACTGCCATTCCAAAGTTGCTTAACATCACTCCCACTTCTCAGGGAACTGCAGGGCTTCACCTACATATGTTTTTTACAGGAAGCAAAATATTAGTGAAATATTAGCAAAATATTGCAAAACTTCTGCTTGTTTGTGTGACAGAGATCTTACAAAATATCTGCCCTTGTGTGCCCATACACCGGGCCAGGCTCGGGTGGCACTGTGGTCTAAACCACTGAGCCTCTTGGGTTTGCCGATCAGAAGGTTGGCAGTTCAAATCCCTGCGATGGAGTGAGCTCCCGTTGCTCTTCTGCCAACCTAGCAGTTCAAAAGCATGCCAGTACAAGTAGATAAATAGGTACCGCTGCGGCGGGAAGGTAAATGGTGTTTCCATGCACTCTGACACTCATCGCGGTCCTCCGTGCGTCAGTAGTGGTTTAGTCATGCTGGCCACATGACCCGGAAAGCTGTCTGCAGACAAACATCGGCTCCCTCAGCCTGAAAGCGAGATGAGCGCCGCATCCCCATAGCTGGATTTGACTGGACTTAACCATCTAGGGGTCCTTTACCTTTTACCTTACACAGGACCAGCTATATTCCAAGATCTCTCTCTGTCTCTCTCACACACAAACATGGGCAGATATTTTGCAACATCATGTGTGGTGTGCACACACGTTAAAACCTTGCTGTTAAAATCTAGAAGACAGTTTCTAGGAAGGGATGGGAAAGATCTGAATGCCCACCGGCTGCATTCTGAGACTGTCCCTTTCAGGGCAGAAAGCGAGTCCAATGTTTTAATTCCAGGAGCTGGGGCGAAGGGGAGAGAGGTTCAAGGGGGCACATTTGGGCCTCAAGCCTGAGGTTCCTACCCCTGATTTAAAATCCCTAGATGGACAGAAAGCTGTGTGTTTTAAGAATGGCAGAACAGGCAAAAAGTTAATTGTTCATACAGGCACAAGTCAGGAAAAATGAAATATGTTCCCATGGTGGTGTGGCCAAAGGGAAAATGGGCAGAGCAAGAAATGCAATTATTACCGTTGCACAATAAGGGAGTTCAATTATCATCATCATCAAAAATTATTATTTATGTTGCCCACCTGATAAGGTTACCCCAGCTACTCTGGGCAGCAGCTTCCAATAAATTAAAACATTCTATTTGTTCCAACCTGCACTGGCAAAGCCGGGAGAAGGTCAGGTTGATGATGCTGGTAATGATGATATAAAATGAAAATGAATAGTTGTGTAGCCTTATGAGGCTTTGCCCTCGGGTGGGAAAAATATTGCGCCTGGGAAAGGGAGTCAACAGACACTCAAGGAATAGTTTCGGAGAAAAGGCTTTTATTTCTACCATCCATGAACTGGTAGAAGGAGCAAGTGTGATAGTTCACAAAAAGCATGCACGAGTTCACAATCATGTGCACAAGCATATATAAAGGTACCCCTGCCCGTACGGGCCAGTCTTGACAGACTCTAGGGTTGTGCGCCCATCTCACTCAAGAGGCCGGGGGCCAGCGCTGTCCGGAGACACTTCCGGGTCACGTGGCCAGCATGACATCGCTGCTCTGGCGAGCCAGAGCCGCACACGGAAACGCCGTTTACCTTCCTGCTAGTAAGCGGTCCCTATTTATCTACTTGCACCCGGGGGTGCTTTCGAATTGCTAGGTTGGCAGGCGCTGGGACTGAACAACGGGAGCGCACCCCGCCGCGGGGATTCGAACCGCCAACCTTTTGATCAGCAAGCCCTAGGTGCTGAGGCTTTTACCCACAGCGCCACCCGCGTCCCTACAAGCATATATACCCCTTTCTAATTCCCTCCCCCTTTCTCCTCCCTCAGGAGTCCTGCCCCATGTTGAGGTTCCTCTGAGCATGAACAGAAAGCTGTCTTGGGACTATTGTGGACTCTTGGCACCCTTCCCAGGAAAGGGGAATGAGAACGGTTCAACATGTCCAAAGGTGTTGCAACTGAATGAGATAAGATTCGTTTCTCAGGCCTGAGTATTCTTGGCAATGACAGAGTCTATTCATTAGCCTTTAAAAGTAACATTTTGCCTTTTGCCACAGCATCTTGTGATAGAGCAGAGGAGAGCAGAGAAAAGCTGTTTTGGATTTTTTAGAAGACAAAAGGAATTCTGGACAGTTTTGAGGCCTGGGGTGATTTCACAGACAGGATTTGGGTATCCTGTCCCTTCAGTTGAACAGTTGGATTATTTACAGGTAGGTAGCCGTGTTGGTCTGCCGTAGTTGAAACAAAATTTAAAAAAATCCTTCTAGTAGCACCTTAGAGACCAACTAAGTTTGAGCTTTCGTGTGCATGCACACTTCTTCAAATACACTGAAACAGAAGTCACCAGACCCTTATATGTAGTGAAAGGGTGGGGAGGGGTATTACTCAGAAGGGTGGTGGGAATGGGTGATTGGCTGATAGGTGTGGTAAACCTGTTGACGACTGTTAACGACTGCAATTGGTCTTAACAGGAAAAAGCAAGGGGTGAGATGGCTAAAAATAGCTTTATCATGTATAATGGAGATAAGAATCCAGTGTCTTTATTCAGACCAGGTCTCTCCATGGTTTTAAGTTTGGTAATAAGTTGCAATTCAGCAACTTCTCTTTCCAGTCTATTTCCGAAATTCCTTTGTAATAAGTCAGCGACTTTGAGATCTTGTATAGAATGTCCTGGGAGACTGAAGTGTCCTCCTACTGGTTTCTCTGTCTTGTGATTCCTGATGTCAGATTTATGACCATTTATCCTTTGGCGTAGGGTTTGGCCTGTTTGTCCAATATAAACCCTTGTTGTTAGCCGCCCTGAGCCCAGCTTCGGCTGGGGAGGGCGGGATATTAATAAAATTTATTATTATTATTATTATTATTATTATAGAGAGCTGAAGGGCACTGTTGGCATTTGATGGATTATTGGCCTGATCCAGCGGGTTCTTATTCCCTGAATAAAAAGGATGTCTGAGAGGGCCTCCTGTTTAAAAATTTATACAAAACAGCCGCTAGAGGGCTCTTTTTGTATTTTCTCCTTTCCTAAAATCCAGAGGCGTTTTGTGCTGCTCCTGAAATTGCCTCTCTGTGTTGTGAAATGCAACACCAAGAGGGGCTGGGCTTCCCATGAAGATGCTGCATCCGGTGAGAGAAATACAGGGAGGGAGAGGGAAGAGGAAAATCCAGGGGGAAAATGCACCGGAGATCAGGCAGGGATTGCTCAGAGTCCCTTTGCCGTTGCCTTCATCCAGGCCTTGGAGCAGATTTCAGGAGGGTTGGGGAGCATCGAGAGGCCACGATGGGAGATTTAAATTATTAGATGCTCTTGCTGATCTGGTTCTGACGCACAAATGCCTCAGTGGATCCCCCTCTGACGTAAAACCACAGAGCGTCGTGACACCTTCCAGACAATGTGAGCATTCTCCGCCTCTAATCCGTTACAGCTACTGAGCGGAGAAACACTTTGCACAAGCTCAGAGGCACCCTTGGTGTCGATCATCAAGGCACGCCTTCCAGGGCTGAGCAGGGGGGAACTTGAAAGCAGTTGCCAGGGAGCTCATCCCCTGAAAGCCTCTATCAAATTTAAGGCATTGTCCAGAAAATTTGTGCCTGGGGGATATAGGAAGCCCTGAACACATATTTTTTAGATGTCCCTTATATGATGAGGCACGTAGAGAAACCATTGACCCCCTGCTGGTGAGGCTTGCTGACATCCCGGTAAAGCAAAAATTCGATCTTCCCCTGTTAGGCAAAGACCACGAGACGACCCAGATTGTCGCCAGATCCTGCGCACAGATCTGTAGGCGCAGACCATCCCCCGATTCAATCTAGTTTGTTAAGAAAATTCCCAAACCCGGATCCACGGGTGGCTTTGGGTCATTTCTCTAAGGTAGCCTATTTTAAAGTTTTTATGTGTTTATATGCCTATCACACTTTTAAACTTAAAATCCATTGTTGTATATTGTTTTAAATGTTTGTTTTGCTATTGGGATTGTAGTTCCATTTGTGTTTCTCAAGCTGGGCTCTGACCATAATAAATTTCATGTCATGTCAAGGCATTGTCTGTTTTCGGAAGGGCTGTGGATCGGTGGCAGAGAACCTGCCTTGCATGCAGAAGGTTCCAGGTTCAGTCCCTGCGATTTCATGTTCCTCTCTCGCTCCCAATACCATATACTTCTGTTTCTCCTCTGCTCAGAAAATGCACTGCCATCTCTGCCCCTTCTGAATTCGCCAGCTGCTTCTCTTTGCTGCAGATCCGGGTTGTCCACCTTAGTTCACTCTGGAACTCCAACCCTGAAAGGAGAATGACTGACACAGAGGAAGCGCAGGTAGGGACCCACCAAACGCCTCCTCTTTCCTTCCCAGCAGTGGTGGCTAGTGCCCCTTGGGACAGGTAGGGCGGAAGAGCAGGAGCCCAACAGTAGGTGGTGCCAGAGAGCCAGTGACCAGCAGAGCCAACTTAATTCTAATGGTTTGTCCCCATCTTCCTCCTCTCTGCTAGAGGGCAAAACAGAGGACCAGCCTCCCTTAGTTCCTAGGAGTACATCTGAGATTATAATTTATTATATTTGTCAATCGCTTTTCTCACAGTGTGACTCAAAGCAGCTCACGTTAATTTTTCTAAAAAAAATGTTTAGGGGTACAGTGGTACCTTGGGTTAAGAACTTAATTCGTTCCGGAGGTCCGTTCTTAACCTGAAACTGTTCTTAACCTGAAGCACTACTTTAGCTAATGGGGCCTCCTGCTGCTGCCGCTGCTGGAGCACAATTTCTGTTCTCATCCTGAAGCAAAGTTCTTAACCTGAGGTATTATTTCTCGGTTAGTGGAGTCTGCAACCTGAAGCATCTGTAACCTGAAGTGTCTGTAACCCGAGGGACCACTGTACTCTCATTTTGACTCAAGAAAACCACCATTTTATAGTTCAGCTCGGGGGAAATAAATACAGTAAATGAACAAAAGTACAAAGATTCACAAAATATAAACAAAGGAAGAGTACAGCTCTAGTCTAAGATCCGTATAGTTAAAGCCATGGTTTTCCCAGTAGTGATGTATGGAGGTGAGAGCTGGACCATAAAGAAGGCTAATCGCCGAAGAATTGATGCTTTTGAATTATGGTGCTGGAGAAGACTCTTGAGAGTCCCATGGACTGCAAGAAGATCAAACGCATCCATTCTTAAGCCCTGAGTGCTCACTGGAAGGACAGATCGTGAAGCTGAGGCTCCAGTACTTTGGCCACCTCATGAGAAGAGAAGACTCCCTGGAGAAGACACTGATGCTGGGAGGGCACAAGGAGAAGGGGACGACAGAGGATGAGATGGTTGGATTGTGTTTTTGAGGTTACCAGCATGAGTCTGACCAAACTGCGGGAGGCAGTGGAAGACAGGAGTGCCTGGCGTGCTCTGGTCCATGGGGTCATGAAGAGTCGGACACGACTAAACGACTAAACAACAACAACAACCGCTCTAGTCTATAATTAAAAGGCAGGACTGAGAGTGAGTGACCGGCCCACATGGGGTTTCGAACCCTGTTCTCCCAGGCTTTAGTGTGATGCTCTAACCACTACTCTCTGGTTAAAGATAAAAGGTTTTGCTGGTGCTTAAAGATAACTGAAGATGGCACCAAGCATACCTCCCTGTGAAGAACATACCACAGGCTGGGGGTGGGGGCTCACCCATAGCTGTCAACGTTTCCACTTTTTTAAGGGAAATTCGCTTATTCCGAATAGGATTCCTTGCAAGAAAAGGGAAAAGTTGACAGCTATGGGCTCACCACTGAAAAGGCCTGTTCTTGCCACTCTCCAGACCTCTCATGGAAGGGGGCACAAGGAGGTCCTGAGATGGCGATCTTTTCAACACACATCTAGAAATGTAATGTGTGAAAGCAACATGCTTGTGTATCGCAGCAGCACCAAACCTGCCTTTACACCCACCCACACCCTGTGTGCTTAATTTCTAAAAATGAAAGATTGATTTGATTTTTCCATTCTGCTTTTCCCAGCAACAAATGTTGAGCTCAAAGCAGCTCACGATAATCACAAAAGCACCGCAGAACAGCAAAACATTGCAATCTCTGCACTATTTCAATCGTGGCAGTTTTAAGGTTTCAAAACGTGCCTCCTTTCACCCCTCTTGTTACAGGATCATCTGGTTTTCCTGACAGGAGAGGGAGACGTCAAAATCAAGGAAGAAAAGAGCGGTGAAGAGCTACAGGTATGTGTCCCTTAGCCACCTGCTCGAGTGAGGAAAGAAAGGAACTTCTCCACACAGTGCATCATTAATGCGTCAAACTCCCCACCACATGGTGAGGTAACGGTTGCAGGCGTAAAGAGCTTTAGGAGCGGGTTCTGACAGTTTAGAGCTCTTTGTATGTTTTCATGACACAGCATATGAGGAAAAAGGGCTGGGAGGGAGGAGGAGAAACCAAGATCCGCCAAAAGGTCTTTCACCAGCCATAAACCCTGCTGAGAAGTAAAAGCTAGAGTCTTTTCCCAGTGGACTATTTTAATCAGAGTGGTTTTAACGTTTCAAAAGGTGCCCGCTTTCATTCCTTTTGTTACAGGATCGCCTGGCAAGAGAAGGAGACATCGAAATCGAGGAGCAAAAGAGAAGCGAAGATCTGCTGGTAGGTATCTGTGAACCTCCCACTTGAGTGGGAAAGAAAGAAATCATTAATGCATGGAACTGCCCGCCACATGATGTGGTGATGGTCACAGACTTGAGTGGGTTTAAGAGCAGATAACACGAGTTCATGGTGACATAGGAAGCTGCCTTATAGTGAGTCTGGCTGTCTGTCATGGATGCTTTAGGTGAGATTCCTGCATTATGGGGGGTGGACTAGATGACCCTTGGGGTCCCTTCCAACTTTACAATTCTATGATTCTGTCAGTCAAACCAAATTGGTCTGGCTGCAGTGACTGGCAGCATTTCTCCAGGGCTCCAAGCAAGGAGTTCATTCCCAGCCCTTTCTGGAGGTGCAAGGATTTGAACCCGGGACCTTCTGTGTGCAGAACAGATGCTCTGCTACTGAGCTACAGCCCTTTTGGCGACTGGCTAGGTGGGCAGCCCCAGCCACCTGTCAAAATGTCCTGTGGAGGGTCAGGCTCTGAGCCCCTGCCTGGATCCTGTTCCCGTAAAGGTAAAGGGACCCCTGACCATTAGGTCCAGTCGTGGTTGACTCTGGGGTTGTGGTGCTCATCTCGCTTTATTGGCCGAGGGAGCCGGTGCACAGCTTCTGGGTCATGTGGCCAGCATGACTAAGCCGCTTCTGGTGAACCAGAGAAGTGCACGGAAACGGCGTTTACCTTCCCGCTGGAGGGGTACCTATTTATCTACTTGCACTTTGACGTGCTTTCAAACTGCTAGGTTGGCAGGAGCAGGGACCGAGCAACGGGAGCTCACCCCGTCCCGGGGATTCGAACCACCGACCTTCTGATTTGCAAGTCCTAGGCTCTGTGGTTTAACCCACAGCGCTACCTGCTTCCTTATCAAACTGTGTTTATTTAAGCATGGTTTGTTTCATCATCCGAAGCATGAATAAAAACCATTGGTTATAGTTTGCCTTAGTCACGCCTGCGAATCTGCAGTTCCCTGAAAACAGAGCGCTTTCAACAGCCCGTCAGGATGCTATCCCACCTTGAGGTTCCTGCCAGCTGTTGAACAGATCCTTCTGGCTTCACCTTCCAGTGGCTCCAGTAGAAGCAGAGGCAGCTGCCTTGTAGTCCACTGGTCCACCCAGCTCAGTATTGTCTACACGCACTGGCAGCAGCTCTGGTTGGCCACTGTGAGAACAGGATGCTGGACTAGATGGGTCTTTGGCCTGATCCTTTCTCTGCCTAGGCATTCTCTGATCTGTGGGATCTCCTCCTAAGCTCACCGTCCCCTTTTCTATAATTGTTAAGTTGTGATAAGGCGTTAGTTACAATCGTAATGGTTTCCTTATATACAGCACTACACGTAATGGTTCAATTAGGCCCAAAAGCATATTGGTTACATTTCACATACTTCCATTAGACCAACAGTATTACATGTCCAACAACATAGTCCTTTAAATAAGTTGGGCGCTTGGAAACACTGCCAGACTTCCGGGGAGTGGTACCCAGGTCTGGGGGGCCGCCCGATTCTTGCTGAGGCTGTGGCGCGACCCTAGGTGACGTTGAAACCAAGTCCCCTAATTCCGCTGCTGTGGGTGGAACATCTGCAAGTGGAGTTGGCGGAATGTCATTGTGCTTTGCACGCGTGGGTTCGTATCCCATCCTCGTCGCCAGTGTTAAGTTGTGGGTGAACATACCAGACGACACAGCGATTCTTCAAACAGAACTGAACTGAAGGGTTCAGCCAACCTGCTTATATGTACAGAGCTCAGCTACAAAGCAACAGTAACCACTTTCTGTAACTATCCAATCACTGAATGTCACTTTTGATCCCTTATTTGCATATGTGGACCTGAACTATCTACAGTATCCCCCTGCTGGCCCAGGGTGAGAACTTCAGTACATAACAATAATCTTCTCTTCTGGCAGAGAGAGATCGAAGCGGAGAGGATGACGATTGTCAAGGAGTGGAAGGAGATGCATCAGGTTCTTGACGAACAGCAGCAGGTCCTGCTGAGCTGGCTAAAGAACGAGGTTCTCCAAGTCTCCAGGGAGACTTCCCCCCACAGTGAACCAGGAAGGGAAAAGGCACAGCAGCCGTTGCCGGTAGGAAGAGTGTTGCAAAAATAAGGTTGTAGTAAAAATAATGTTACATTGCCCAACAATGCTCCTGCTGTTGATTAACAGCATACCTGTGCTGGTCCCGGGGGGAAGCTTACTGTTACTGTAGTCAAAGTTCAGTCCTGAGTCACTAGCCTGGTAATAGTCCACAAGGTGCGAGGCGAGGTCCGAAGCAGGGAGCCGGGCGGGGACAGGGACACTCGAAGATCAGAAGCAGGAAGCCGGGCGGGGAACAGGAACACAGGACTGGATGCTGGCCGAAACAGCTCTTCAATGACGACGTTGCTCCCGCAACCTGGGACCGGGCTGACTGGCCTTTATCTTGTCTGAGGCCAGAGGCGGTCCCGGCCCCCAGGAGCCCCGCCTCTCCTGGCCTTAAGGCGAGCACTCCTCCTGGGAGAAACCAGTTCCCTTCGCCTCTCTGCCCTGAGCCTCTGCAGTTCAGGAGAGGCTGAAGGGTTACTGGGCCCAGGGGGAGACTCACCTGTAGGCACTGAGTCCTCAACCACCTCTGGAGCCAGAATGGATTCACCTGGTGCCTGCTCCTGAGGATCCGGCACAGGTGCAGGCTCCTCAGAATCAAGGCCCTACCCTAGTTCAGCCGGCCCTGGAGGCGGGGACTCCTGTGCAGGCTGGAATTCCTCCGGTTCACTCTCTCAATCGGATTCCTAGGCCATCACAATACCTGAGGCCCAGTATACCTGAAGGGCCTTCTGGCAGTTCCCTCCCTGCAAGAAGCGAGGTTACAGGGAACCAGGCAGAGGGCCTTGTCGGTAGTTGCGCCTGCCCTGTGGACACCCTCCCATCAGATGTCAAGGAAATAAACAACTACAGTGGTACCTTGGGTTAGCGGAGTCTGTAACCTGAAGCGTCTGTAACCCGAGGTACCACTGTACCTGTCATTCTTTGAGAGAAAGAATTGGCTTCAATTGGCTCAGCCTGTCATGCACAGCAGAACAAGAATATTCTCTGGCAATTCCATAAACTGTTCTTTTCATTTTTTCTTTATTGCAGGGTTTACACAGCACTGGCCACAGGTGAGCTCTGAATTCAATTTCACTAGCTCCTCCAATTGGGCAGCAATCTTCTCTGAACTATGAGGTGCTGGGTTGCAGTGGGTGGGGGAAGGAATTTGAGGGAGAGCCCACACTCAGCTTTGTTGAGGTTCTTATGCCGGGGGCAGCCAACATGGTTTCCTTCAAATGCTGTGGCACTCCAGCTCCCACCATCCCTGACCATTGCTTGTTCTGATTGTGGGCTCATGGGAGTTGGAGTACAATGGCATCTTCCTGACTACCACCTGTACTATAAATTGAAAGCCGTATCATCACACTTTAAGCAGTAATGGCTCCGCCTTCCCAAAGCATCCTGGGAATTCTAGAAGCCTCAATCTTTTGTGCAAATCGTTTGGCCTGAGACAACATGGCAGTTCATTGATGTTTAGCCTTCTCTTCCTCCAACAGCAACATCTATTCCTTCTTTCTTTTTCACAGAGACGATACATTCTTCCCGAAACCACAGCCGGATTTGGGGGAACTGGAGCAGAAGCTGAGCGATTTCTCCCACAAAAGGGCTGCTTTGCTGAAAACGCTTCTGGCATTCAAAGGTGAAGAAGGGTTTTGATTTGGTTGCCCCCTTGCATGTGTTCCCTAACCCCCCAACAGTAAAGTTGAGCTCAAAGCAGCTCATGATAATAAGAAGGCTTTAAAACCTAGCAAACGGCATTCTCATCCAAGTAATAGCATCTTTTAAAAAATGACATATAAGTAAAGTGAAAAGAAACAGTTCACAGTTGTATCCCGTGTCAGCAAAGAAGAGCCATTGGAATTAATGCAAAGGGCTAAGTCCCCTTCTGCACCATATATTTAAAGTTGTATCATACCACTTGAAGTAAGCATGGCTTTCCCCAAAGATGATGGTGATGATGATGATGATGATGATGATGATGATGATAATAATAATAATAATAATAATAATAATAATAATTTATACCCTGCCCATCTGGCTGAGTTTCCCCAGCCACTCTGGGCAGCTACCAATCAAGTGTTAAAAACAATACAGCATTAAATATTAAAAACTTCCCTAAACAGGGCTGCCTTCAGATGTCTTTTAAAGAGAAGATAGCTGCTTACTTCCTTCACATCTGAAGGGAGGGTGTTCCACAGGGCGGGTGCCACTACCGAGAAGGCCCTCTGTCTGGTTCCGTGTAACCTCACTTCTCGCAATGAGGGAACAGCCAGAAGGCCCTCGGCGCTGGATCTCAGATCCTTGGGAAATGTAGTTTCTAATGTTGCTAAGGGTTCTGAGAGTTGTTGGGGCACCCCTGTTTACCTCAGAGTTACAACTCCCAGAGTTCTCTGGGAAGAGAGATTGATTGTTAAATCACCCTGTCTGCTGTTTGTCTGTCACCATGCCACAGATGGCGAAGGGTGTGGAGAGGTTCTTCTCCTTTATGTCCTTCAGGGCAGTTATCCTCGACTGCTTTCAATACTGTTTGTGCCTGAAAAGGTTTTAAGACAGACCTACTGACCTGTTTCCAATCTGAGCGTGTTCCCTAACTTCCTGTTAAAATCTTGTAACTGTTTATACAGCACATGATCCGATTTAAATTTTTTGTCCATCTTTCGTTGCCCCCCAAAACCCCCACCAGCAAGTCTGAAGGGGTCCCGAGAGAGAAAGAGGGGAAACTGCAAAATGGTGCAGGCTGTTAATTGTCTAATTTCCTTCCCTAGAAAATCTGCATCTGGAGTTGAAGAAGAATGGAGGTACATGCCCACTTTAACATATAAATTTAATATAATTTTAATTTTTAATTTTTAAATATGGATACTAGATGCCCTCAGTTATATTTTACTGCCTGAAGGATTATAGTATATAAGCACATTTATAGTTCAACATCTAAAATCTTGCAAAGTTTCATGAAGATAGGAACACAGGAAATTGCCTTATACAGTGGTGCCCCGCAAGACGAATGCCTAGCAAGACGAAAAACTCGCTAGACGAAAGGGTTTTCCGTTTTTTGAGTCGTTCCACAAGACGAATTTCCCTATGGGCTTGCTTCGCAAGTTTGTTTCCTTTTTCTTAAAGCCGCTATGCCACTAAGCCGTTAATAGCCGCTAAGCCGCTAATAGCCGCTAAGCTGCTAATAGCCGTGCTTCGCAAGACGAAAAAACCGCAAGACGAAGAGACTCGCGGAACGGATTAATTTCGTCTTGCGAGGCACCACTGTACTGAATCAGACTGTTAGTCCGTCTAACTCAGTATTTTCGACACTGATTGGCAGTGGCTCTCCTGGGTTTCAGACAGTGAGTCTTGAAGTATAAGTGGGTTCCCATGAGGCAAGACACAGTGATCACAGCAAGAACCTTTATTGAACTATATTATCAGATAACAGGGGCAAAGCAACTGCTTATATACATTAGTGAAGGCCTGGGCCACTCCCACTCCCAACGTGATTGGCTGTCTAAACTTCCAAGCTGCAAATCATGAAACAGAGTTTAAGGGCCAATGGCAGAGGCCAAAATCCAGAATTGTTCCGTGATTGGATATCATGTATCAAATCAGGAGCTCAGAATCCTTAGTCCAGACTCAAGCTGAGGCAAACACAGACCACTGAATACATAACAAGTTTCTCTCAGCCCAACTTGGGAATGCCCTTGGGGACTGAAATTGGGACCTTGTGCATTCAAAGTAGTTGGTCTGCTGCTTAGCTACAGCCTTTTGCTATAATGACTTCAATCACAGAATCAATCAGATTTTGCTGCATAACAGTATCCAACTTGCTTTTCTCTCTAGCAGGAGAAGGGCAGGTGAGCAAAATGGAGGATGAGAAACTTCCTGAATCAGAAGCAGCTTCTGAGGGTGAACATGGCTCAGAAAGAGAGCAGAGGAAGTGTCTGGACAAAGGGGAGGCGGGGAAATCTGTTCCCTGTGAAGAAAACAACTGTGACCTTGATGGGCACAAAATTCAGCCAAGGACACAACAGGTCAAGAAGCAGAAGATGTGTGGCATGTACAGGAAGAGCTTCAGCCAGAAGTCAAACCTTATCACACACCAGAGAACCCACACGGGCGAGAAGCCATACAAGTGCGCAGATTGCGGGAAGACCTTCCGCTTCCGCTCCAACCTCATTACGCACAAGAGGATCCACACAGGGGAGAAGCCCTTCAAGTGCCCGCTTTGCGGGAAGGGCTTCAGCAACCAGTCGGGCCTCTTCAGCCACAAAGGGACTCATCGGGAAGAGAAGCCGTACAAGTGTGCCGAGTGCGGCAAGGGCTTCAGCAGGAGACCGAGCCTCATTGTCCATGAGAGAATCCACACAGGGGACAAGCCGTACAAGTGCCCCGACTGCGGAAGAAACTTCAGCCAGATTTCGGGCCTGATTGCGCACGAGCGGAGCCACACGAAGGAGAAGCCGTTCAGATGCGTGGTTTGCGACGGGTGCTTCAGCCATGCCTCTCACCTCGCTCTGCATGAGATGACCCACATGGAACAGAAGGCATTTGAGTGCCTGGACTGCGGGGAAAGCTTTGGCCGGAAACTGGACCTCACTGCGCACCGCCGGAACCACACGGGGGAGACATCGTACGAGTGTGCGTACTGCAGGAAGCGCTTCAGCCAGCGGCCTAGCCTGCGTGCCCATGAAAGGACCCACTTGAAGAAGCTCTACCCATGTGTTGAATGCGGGAAGAGCTTCCGGAGCAGCTCCAACCTCAAGTCCCACAAAAGGACCCACGTCGGAGACAAGCCCTACAAGTGCTCAGCGTGTGGGAAAAGCTTCAAGTGGAGCTCCAACCTCATTGCCCACGAAAGGGCCCACACTGGAGCAAAGCCTTACAGGTGCTCGGACTGTGGGAAAAGCTTCAAAGGGAGCTCAGATCTTAGCAGACATCAGAGAATCCACACAGGAGAGAACTTGTGAGCAGCCCAATTATTAGGAAAAGTTCTTTTAAATAAATAGTGGTTTTGCACAGTGCTGTCTTTGTTCACTGTTGGCTGTTGACTGGCGTATGTGGGTGTTGGTGCATGGCATTATGGGACGCCATCATTATAAAATGGTGCTGTAGCTCTAGGTTCAAGCAAGAGGGCTGAAAGGAAAGGTTTGGCTGATTATTTAAAATGGAATAGGTCCACTCTCCTTGCTTCCAGTGTTCTTCTCTCACACTCATTTCACTCCCCATCTCAGACAATTCCTTCTTGGTTTCCTCTGGACCAAGGATGGGGAACCTGCAGCCCTGCATACGTTGTTTTATTATTATGGAACATAATATATTTAAATCACACCTTTTTCTTCAGGGAGCTCAAGCTGCCATACATGGTTCCCCCCCCCTCCCCTGCTCATTTAAATCCTGCATATCTTTGCTAACAGATGGACTGTTTGATTCTTTTTAAATTATTTGGAACCATCCCCCTCCCTTTACTTTTACTCCCAACGGGTGGAGACTTGTTTACTGTAACAGCCAAAACTCTGAAAGTGAGATATTCCCTTATTTGAAAGTAAAACATTCCCTTATTTGCAAAACTAAGTATCTGTGATTTATTCTAATCTAAGTATTTTCATGGGAAACGTTTAAGGGCGAATGAGAGCAGATGTAAAATCTCACCCAAGTTTTAATGTACTTAGCGGTTTTGCATAGCACTCTTTGTTCCCTGTTTGAGGGGTTTGTTGTTGTTGTTGCTGCTGCTGCTGCTGCTGCTGCTGCTGACAGACATATGTGGGTGTTGGTGCATGGCATTATGGGACGCCATCATTATAAAATGGTGCTGTAGCTCTAGGTTCGAGCAAGAGGGCTGAAACGAAAGGTCTGGCTGATTATTTAAAATGGATTATGTGCTGACATTGACAATGGTGTCTTCAGAATCTTACATAGCAGGAGATAAACATACAGATACAAACCAAGGTGCAGATTAAGTTTTGTTCCCACCCAGGGGACACAGTTTACACAAAGGGAAAAGTCGTTCCAATTTCCAGGTGGCACGTTAAATGCATTTGTTACATACAGAGAGAAGCAATTTAATTTATGCAGTCTTGAAACATTGGAATAAAGGCATTTTTTCACATTTGTGCAGCATGAATGGATTGTTTCCTTTATTTGACAGCATTTAATACGAAGTTATGGGATGCGGGTGGCCCTGTGGGTTAAACCACAGAGCCTAGGACTTGCCGATCAAAAGGTCGGTGGTTCGAATCCCTGTGACGGGGTGAGCTCCTGCTCCTGCCAACCTAGCAGTTTGAAAGCACGTCAAAGTGCAAGCAGATAAATAGGTACCACTCTGGCGGGCAGGTAAATGGCGTTTCCATGCGTTGCTCTGGTTCGCCAGAAGCGACTTAGTCATGCTGGCCACATGACGCTGTACACCGGCTCCCTCGGCCAGTAAAACGAGATGAGCACCGCAACCCCAGAGTCGGTCATGACTGGACCTAATGGTCAGGGGTCCCTTTACCTTTACCTAATATGAAGTTACCAGGCAGCTCCAACTCTAGGGGCCCAGGCCGCCCCACCCCCCATATTGAGGGGGCCTGGTCAACGTCAACGCATGAAGCTGCATTGGCCTGCAGAGCATCTTCTGATGCTTCGGGAACTGGCAGGGGCTAGCAGAAGGATGGACTGGGCGAAATGTGTATGACATTGTGCACTGTGCGCCACTCCCCCTTCCCCCAACCTTGGGGGCAACCCAGAGCCACTGGAAGTTAGCAACCGCAATTGGAACCCTGCAGGTTTGAGGGTAGATGCTGCTTATTAAACTGTTTCCCTGCGTTCTATGGCAGCTCCAGGCAGGCTCTGCAAAAGAGGCTGAGCAGGAACTTGACAGCTAGGAGGCAGGGTTCTATCCTAGGAAGGGCAGGGAAGGAGTTGAGGTATCATCAGGCATTTATTTACATGCCCTGGAGTGGGCGAAATGGCAGGCAGGTGTCAAATAAAATTCTTATAACACTCGTAAGAATTAAGCTGCAGCGCTGCATTTGTGCAGGCTTGAACACTGAGTACAAAAGCATTCCAAACAAACACATGCACAGAGATACCCAGGTTTCTAGTCCATAAGGCTGAGCGGGTTGGCTTGAAAGTAGGTTAATGAAATCTCCAGAGCCAGCTGACCTGAGCTCTGATCTTAAATTTTCAGTCACTCAGAAAACATATAAAGAGCAGCAATAAGATGGTGTGTGGTGTGTGTTCTAAACCTGTGCATGCTTACTCAGAAGTAAGCCCCAACCATAAAGTTTGATACAACCCATTCCCATGTGATTTTCCCCCAATAGACTTATGGCTGCATGAATTGTTAACTTATTTGCCTGATCTGTCACAATTCAAGCAAGCAGCATCTACTCTTTTTTCTTCTTTTTAAAAGGTGGCAGCCAAGGTTGCCAACTGATAGAATGGAAAGCATCTTGAACCACAGCATCTGCTGCTGAAAGCAGCCTCTGTAGCACGGTGCGTGAAGGGTTACGCTGATAGAGATCTGCAGGCACAATGCCTAGATCGGCAAGGCCATTTGAGAAGCTGGTGAAGCCACTTCCTGTCCCCACCTTGCCCTTTCCTTGGGGGAAAGTGGGGGTTGCTGCTCTCAGCTTGCAGGGAGAGGTGAGCTAAAGGGGAATTTAGGAGGGAGGGGCCATTTGCAGAAAAGTTGGGAGAAACTGATAGAAAATCCCAGGAGACCGAGGGCATCAGTGGCTGCAAAAAGGACATAGGAAGCGCCTTTGTACCAAGTTAGACCAACAAGTCTGGTAATTGCTTTCCAGAATTTGGGGATAGGGGGGTAGTTAGGAGGGAGGGCAATGCAAAAGTATGGAAGAGGAAGTGTTGGATCCTGTAGTCCAAATCAGCCCTCTCATTTCTGAGCTAAGTTTCAATATACTGTTGCATACTGTTGTTTAATGCATAGAGCACTCTTCGTGCTTTTGAAACCGCTGCATGGCATGTGGAGGGGAATTCAACAGGTGCGGCCTTCTTAATTGCCTCTCTAAGTTTGGGATCTCTTCCTGTTGAATTTATGCCTGTCTGGAAATGTTGAATACATGGGGCGCTTTTCAGTTGCTGTTGTTGTTTTTCAGTTGGCAAACTCATTGGCAGATCATAGCAGACTTCAGGTTTAGACAAGGGCATCTTTGAGTAAATGCAGAGTGGCAGAAGAGACTGTGGCAACCTTTGAAAGCTAACAACAGTGTACACACGGGCAAAATGCGAAAAGTACTGCCTGTGACAATTGAAAAGTTTTAAATATATGCAATTAAAGATGAAATGACAGTTAATTCTTCACAACAACTGTAATTGTTGATAATGCAGGCGTTGTAAGTATTGTTATTAACATTGGAAGTGGGACAGAAAACCACTGGGTTGTTGCTAGCTAAGTCTACAAGTTCACTATATACAAGTATTTAAAGCCGTATCATCCCACTTTAAACAGTCATGGCTTCCACCAAAGAATCCTGGGAATTGTAGTATAACTGCAAAGTGTTATACGTAGAGCTGCCTCTGAAGATGGTTTGGAAACTTCAGTTGGCGCAGAATTGAGCGGCCAGGTTGCTCACCAGAATCAGTTAGTTTCTGGGCCCAATTCAAAGGGCTGCTTTTGACCTATAAAGCCTTAAATGGCTCAGGACCGCAACACCTCAAGGACCGCCTCTTCCCATATGGACCTACCTGGACCCTGAGATCATCTTCTGAGGCCCTTTTTCATGTGCCTCCTCCTCCAGAGGTTCGGAGGGTGGCAACACGAGGGCAGGGCCTTCTCTGCAGTGGCTCCCCATTTGTGGAATGGTCTCCCCAGGGAAGTTCACCTGGCACCTTCATTATACACTTTTAGGTGCCAGGCAAAAACGTTTCTTTTTTACCAGGCCTTTGGTTGACCTGCTCAACATCCTATACCCTTTTAAAATGTGGTTTTTTTGGTGGGGGGGTATTATTGGGAAATTTTTATTTTTATTTTATATATTGTGATCTTTTTTGTGACCTGCCTTGAGACCTACGGGTATAGGGTAGTATATCAATTCAATAAATAAATAATAGTTTCTTAAGAGTGCTGAGAGTAGTTAGGAAAGTCCCCTTTCCAGAGTGCTTTAACAATCAATCCATCATCCCAGGGAGCTCTGTAAAATGGAATTCTGTGAGTGGAATAGGGGCCTCCTAACATCTCAGCACTATGAAAGAACTGCATTTCCCAAGATTCTTTGCAGGAAGACACGGCTATTTAAAGTGACACGATACTGCTTTAAATGTATAGTGTAGATGTGGACTTAAGTTATATTCGGAGTAAAGGTAAAGGGACTCCTGACCATTAGGTCCAGTCGCGGACAATTGGCCGAGAGAGCCGGCGTACAGCTTCCGGGTCATGTGGCCAGCATGACTAAGCCGCTTCTGGTGAACCAGAGCAGCGCACGGAAACGCCGTTTACCTTCCCGCCGGAGCAGTACCTATTTATCTACTTGCACTTTGATGTGCTTTCGAACTGCTAGGTTGGCAGGAGCAGGGACCGAGCAACGGGAGCTCACCCCGCCGTGGGGATTCGAACCGCCGACCTTGTGATCGGCAAGTCCTAACCCACAGCGCCACCCGCGTCCCTTACTATATTCAGAGTAGGCCCTTTGAAATGAATAAACCTAAGTTTGTCCTTTTGATTAATGTCAATGGGTCTACTCTTGAGTAGCACTAACACCACTGACAGATTTGCGCTCTTTTTGTGTCCAGATCCTCGGTCTAATCCGTCTGTGCTTCACCTCGCTGAAGGAAATGGCCGAAGGGGAGAGGATAGCCAATCTGAAAACAGAGGAACAGGATCCGGCAGGCCCCAGGTTATGGGATGGCATGGAGGAAGGCACAAGCGAAGGCCCACAAGTTAAAAATTTGGTCGGCGGAGCCAAGTTGGTTTTGATGCAGGAAGCGTCGCAGCGGGTTAAGCAGGAACCAAGCGAGGGCGTGCTCCAGCAGTGCTGGGAAGGCCAGTGGCAGGCCTTCCTGAAGGCTGTGCGGTCCCCTTGCTTGGGAGGGATCCACCTGCAGGTGCCCCGGGCTGCACCGAGGGAAGACATCAATGAATGTCAGGTCACTTCTGAGGGAGTGTTCAAAGCTGGCCAGCGGCCCCGAAGAGAAAGCGGCGATGAGATTCTGGACTCCTCCGGAGAACAGGTCAAAGTAGAGGTTCTGGACAAGGCCCCCATTGACTTGGAGGTGCAACGCCGGCATTTCAGGCAGTTCCGCTATGAGAAAGCCAAGGGCCCCCGAGAAGTCTTGAGCCGACTCCGGGAGCTTTGTCGCCGGTGGCTGAAGCCGGAGAGACACACCAAGGAGCAGATCCTGGAGCTGGTGGTTCTGGAGCAGTTCCTGGCCGTCCTGCCCCAGGGGATACAGGGCCAAGTCAGGGAGCAGGACCCGGAGACCTGCACCCAGGTGGTGGCCCTCGTGGAGGATTTCCTGATGAGGCAGGAAGTCCAAGATGCCAGGAGTTTGGATCAGCAGGTAAGGTCTGTACGCTGCCAACAGCATCTTGAGAGCACCATGTTGGCTTCCCCGGGCTTAGATGTTTTGTGTACAATCTAGCGGTAGACGCGTTTTGTTAAATAAAAGTGGAACAACGGGACTCCCGTGGCTGTTTCAGGTGCTGAGGCCTTCTGGAGAAACGGCTGCGAATTCCTGTGAGGCAAGACAGGTTCCTCCCAACTTTTGGAAAGGGCAACTCTGCAGAGCGGCTGGTCAGGTAGAGGACAAAGCTGCAGACTTGACAGGTAAGGAATCTCCACACATGGAATATACTTGATGCTTTTCAACCCCTGGGGAATTTCCCCCTTCAGGAATTTCCTCGTCTCTCTTGTTTCTTAATCCCAGCTCTTGCTCAGCCAGCCTGCCTGCATCAGTTCAGAACATGTGTAAGACAAAATAAAAAAAGAGGAAATGGCTTCCTTTTAAAAAATGTGTTTTCATTTATTTACAATATTTCTTTATTTATTAGATTCCATTTCTGAATCTGTTCCCCCAAAAATATTTATGCAATGTTACAGTAAAAGTATTAACCTAAAACAATTCCATACATAAAAACAATATTTAAGACTACCGGGGTGGGGAGAGGGGAATACCCCAAAACTTAAACGTAACATACCTCATAATTTAATTACTACTTCTATTGTGTTCATAAGTCACTTTAAGTCATTTTTATGAATAAAACAATTAGTAATTATTCATAATAATAATAATAAATGATATATTCACAATAGCTTTTAATAGTTTTATTGTATGATCCAGCAGTATACAACTATATTTTATAAATAAAAAATAAACAGGGAGTTATATTACATGTCTAATTAGAGACATAATGGTTATCAATGCTGTCCAGTAAACAACACTGTAATATATTAAGACAATACCAACTTAAGTTCTAAACATTATTCTTTGAAAGCATTATATTTAGATCATTCCTTTCTGGTAATGTCTTAATTTTTTTTTACTGTGATCAATGACTTTCCCCGTCTTGTCACAAAACTATCACTCCTCTGTTTCCTTCCCTCCCCCCATCCTTAACTAATGAGTCAGTTTAGCTATTGTAGCTGTGTAAAAATGGACACAATATGGGAATTTCTCATTTGACCATTGTTTACTGCTGCAGGTGACCGGCAAGTGCATGAGAAGGAGGGGATTGACCTTCAAAAGGAACGTTCTGAGCAAGTAGAACCAAATGACGCAACGTTGAGAAGAGAAAAGGGTTTCAGGAAGTACAGGAAGGGAATAACATTTGGGAGTCAGCAGGAAGTGGAAAGAGAACCAAAGAGAACTCTAGAGAAAACTGTTTCCTGTCTGGAGGAGAACAAGGATGGGGAAGAAAACAGGGTCCAGCCTCATGACAGGCAAACAACCTGTGTGGATCCCATGAGAAGCTTCAGGCCCACTCTTAACCATCAGAGAATCCCCGGTGGAGAGAAACCCTATAAGTGTTCTTTCTGCGGGAATAGCTTCACTCGGACGTGGGACCTCCTGGTACACACGAGGATCCACACCGGGGAGGCCCCATATAAGTGCTCCTACTGTGGGAAAAGCTTCAGCCGCGGTTCACTCTTCAGGGAACACGTGAGAACCCACACGGGTGAGAGGCCCTACAAGTGTTCGCACTGCGGGAAGAGCTTCAACCGGAGACGCTACCTTATCACTCACGAGAGAATCCACACGGGGGAGAACCCGCCTCTGTGCCTTTATTGTGGGAAAAGCTTCTCTCAGAGGGCCAGCCTCATTGCCCACGAGCGGAGCCACACGGGGGAAATCCCGTACAAATGCAGTCACTGCGACAAAAGTTTCTCCCAGAAGTCCAAGCTCGTCATACATGAGAGGACCCACACGGGAGAGACTCCCTTCAAGTGCCCTGAGTGTGGGAAAAGCTTCAGCCAAAAGGGGAACCTTAGGACACACATGAGAATCCACACCGGAGAGAAGCCTTTCAAGTGCCTGCTTTGCATGAAAAGCTTCTCTCAGAGGGCCAAACTCCTTGTACACGAAAAAATGCATACCGAAGCGATCAACGTATAAGTGCAGGCGATTGGTACAAGGGAGGGGACTACGTAGGTTTTGTAGGAGAATTGAGGTTAAGACAAATTTGTGAGAGGATAAACTGCATGACTCTGAATGCCAGTGGTTGGGGAATGATTTCGGGGAGCTGTTGTTGCTTTGTCCTCCTTTTGGGCTTCTCATTGGGTCATCTGCTTGGCCATTGTGAGGAACAAGATTCTCACGAAGATGGGCCTTTGCTCTGATCCTACAGGATTCCTCTTGTGTCAATTTTGAGCTGGAAATTTCCCCCATGAAAATTTCACCTCCTCCTCCTGGGTGGCAATAGGTAGAGCACAGGCTGCTCTGGGTGTTTGCTGAAGCACAGCTCCCATCGTCCCTGGCCATTGGCTGTGCTGGGTGTTGCTGATGGGAGCTGGCATCCCAACAACCCGTGGAAGCTCCTCGCCCAGTCTCCTCGATCCCCAGCCCCTGATCTGTTCAACCAAACTGGACTTGATGGGAGTATATTGTGCTCCAGGAGGCTTGGTTTGGTGAGAATCGAGTGCACACTTCCAGAGTTGACACTGGCTGCCCCAAAGCATCCTGGGAACTGTCATTTTAGGACATTGACATCTTCTATGAACCCCCTCACAGAACTACCATGCCCATAGTTTTCTGCCAAGAGGGACTGAGTGTTTAAAATACTCAGGGGATTGTAGGTCTGCAAACGGGAGGGAATACCCACACTACACAGTACGACATTTTGTGGCAGGTGCCACGTCTGGTTTAGCCTCTTATGGGTATAGTAGTGTGGTGTGGCTTGTGGGTGTGAGGGGCTGGTAGTCCTCCAGATGATATTTGGACTTCCAGGGCTGGCTCGCCCGGGGTATTCTGCCGCTGAGGCAAAACAGGTGTGCTGCTGCACCCTCAACGAGTCCTGCCCCACACACCTGCTGAGGGTGACTCCCTGTGTCCCTCACAGAAGACACTGCCATCTCCAATGCTGCCATTCCCCCCCCCCAAGACAAAGGGAAGAAAATGGGGACTGAAAAGGCTGTGGCGGAGGGGGCACAACGGAGCAGGCCGCAACAGTGGCAGATCAGAATGACAAACGCTGCTTTTTCCCCAGTCCAGACACCTCAAACTCTAATAGCTTTTCTTTCCATTAACCTGACCACTGGTATAGTGTAAGTCAGGGATGGGAAACCCCTGGCGCCCCAGATGTTGCTGGACTCCAGCTCCCATCCTCCTTGATCATTGGCCATGGTGGCTGCAGGGGCTGATGGGAGTTGGAGTCCCAGCACCATCTTGGGGGCCAAAAGGTTCCGCAGACCCTGATCTAAAGTGATTTGGGCTCTGGAAATGTCAAAGTAAAGCTTCTGCTTCTTAGCGTTCTGCCTCGTTTCTCTATCCACGAGATCTAAGGAAGCTGAACGTAGAAAGATTCGGGGCATGTAAACGAAAGCACTTGGTCACACACCATTGGCAAGGGCCGTGTTACCTCATAAATTGGCACTCGGGTGGTGCACAGCAAAGAGTTTAAAGCAAAGTTGTTCAACGAATCACATTCATCAAATAAATGTGCATAGAAGAAAAAGAAATATTCTAAAGGGAGGAAAGACAATCTTTGTTCTGAGATTATTCATATATAAGAGGCATTTCAGGAATGCCTCTCAAAAGATGGCGCTTGCTGTCTTCCATTTTTATATGCATGCATTGAGCATAATAAAAGCATTTATCTAAACTGGCCTTACTATTAGCTCAGCATTTCTTTTAAGCTTCCAGTCCTATAGATTTTTCTCCCCATTGCTGGCTTCTGCCTCTTAGGGAAAACCCAACGCTCGCATCACCCAATGTCGTAATGTTGTCAGGTGATTGACACCTGCCAAAAGTCCTTTGCACAGCTCTTCCCAAATGCTCAACATCCAGTTGGGTTCGGGGCAGAGCTGGGCAACAGAGCTTTGGAAAACCCCTTTAGGTCATTCCCAGCTACCCACCCTCTTACCTGTTCCATGGTAGACATCCGCTGTAGGACAGCTGGGTGGGGCTCCAAAGACCCGGCAGGCTAAACAAAGAAACCTGGGCAGCTGTATTAGACCTGAGGTCCAGATGTTCCCCAACCCCTGGTTGCTGGATGCATCCAAAATAATGCTCCACACACAGAATAGCGGAGGGGGAAATGCTGTATTTTTATTATGAAAACAAACCCCTTACCAATAGGATCAACGACAATTTTTAAAGCTCCCTGCCGGAAGTTACGTTTCCCAGTACGTTTCCAAGCACAATTCAAAGTGTTGGTGCTGACTTTTAAAGCCCTAAATGGCCTTGGCCCAGTATACCTGAAGGAGCATCTCCACCCCCATTGTTTAGCCCAGACACCGAGATCCAGCGGCGAGGGCTCTGGCAGTTCCCTCATTGCAGGAAGTGAGGTTACAGGGAACCAGGCAGAGGGCCTTCTCAGTAGTGGCACCCACCCTGTGATGTGAAGGAAATAATCAGCTATCTTATCTTTAAAAGACATCTGAAGGCAGCCCTGTTTAGGGAAGTTTTAATGCTGTATTGTTTTAACACTCAACTGGGAGCCACCCAGAGTGGCTGGGGAAACTCAGCCAGATGGGCAGGGTATAAATAATAAATTATTTATTATTTATTATTATTATTATTATTATTTTGAGATTTGTGACATGAATGAAGCCCTGGTCAGGTCTACCTCAGGGCTGTGAGGTGCCCACAGAGGTATAAAATGTATAAATCCCTTCTGGAGCACACCTTGCCATAGTTTTTCTTCCAAGAGCAAAGACGCAGGTAACTCTGGAAACTCGCAAGCAAGGCTTCCAGGTGGAAGCTCTCCCTTGTCTAGGCCTCTCCACCTGCTGCTCTGAACACTCTCTCAACACACCCCTGACCCTCCCTGCTCCACACCCTCCTTGAGTGTTTATGCCTGGCTGGAATGTGTCCTTGAACTCTGACAATGTCGCTTGCTTCTCTGGAAGGAGGCTAGAGTGGGGTGCAAGTCTTACAATCATAGAATTGTAGAGTTAGAAGGGACCCTGTGGATCATCGAGTCAAACCTCCGGCGATGCAGGAATATGCAGTTGTCCCTGACGGGGATTGAACCTGCAACCTTGGCATTATCAGCACCTCGCTCTAACCAGCTGTAGAAACTAGCCTACCCCCCCCCCACACACTACTTTTACGTCTGGCCCCACTCACCCCTGGCATGCGACTTCCTGATAAATTTACTCAGAAGGGAATTCAACCCTCCAGCCGGAGAGAATTCCCGCCCTCTTGGGCTACAACCAATCAGCAGAGGTACACTGCCTTGGAATATGGGTGCTCCACTTTTCTGAAGTTTTTTTCTGCTTTGGACTCTTTCTGCCAATCAGTTCCTTTGCACGGTCCTGGAATCTAGGGCAGGGGTCAGCAAACTTTTTCAGCAGGGGGCCGGTCCACTGTCCTTCAGAGCTTGTGGAGGGCCAGATTATATTTTGGGGAAAAAATATATGAATGAATTCCTACGCCCCACAAATAACCCAGAGATGTATTTTAAATAAAAGGACACATTCTACTCATGTAAAAACATGCTGATTCCCGGACCGTCCGCGCTGGATTTAGAAGGCGATTGGGCCTGATCTGGCCCCCCAGGCCTTAGTTTGCCTACCCACGATCTAGGGCTTAGAAAGGGAATACTAGAAAACTGCAACGTGGAGCTTGCCCAGATATTGATTCCATAAAAGCAGATGTGTTAATCCACCAACACAAGAAAAACAAAGAGGCAAACAAATTTTATTGCAATGTGAGCAAACTTTTGAGAGTTAAGCTTTATAACACTGAGGTTTTTTTCCCTTTCTTTGTTGTGCCCTTTCCCAATTAAGTAAAACGTTGCTCATTTTTAAAGCATCTTCCTGGGGTTTTATTATTCCCTCCCCCAGTGTCCCATTTTGCTTTTTTGGTGCCCGTTCCCTCTTTGCAGCCATTGGCTGAGCCCCTGTGAGGTCACAGAGGGGGACTGACCAGCCACAGAACGTTGGCAATAAGCAAACTTCTGCTGAGATGATGAACAGGATGTCGGCTGGGCTGTAAGAAAATTATAGCTTGGGGCCAAGGGAACAGGAATGGTGTGAAGCTCTGGGGGGAAAGTGAGTTTTGGAGGCTGGGAAGGCAAAGCACAGAGGACAGTCTAATCTGTTCAGTGTGTCAGTCTTCTTCAACCAGGCACCTTTGAGATGTTCTGGACTACAGCTGGGGCTGATGAGAGATGGACAGCCTCAAGCTGGTGAATGTTGTGACGCATTAATCGCATGGAACCCTCTCATGGTCTGCATAGATTGTTTTTGTAATTATTTGGTACGTATAACTACAATCCGAAAACACTGGATTCTAGAAGGTGGTTCTTTAAAAAAGCCAAACAATTTCCCACTAACCTTTTGAAGCTGTGCTCTGGCTTTTAATTTTTTTATCAAAAACGAAAATCATTTTGAATGCAACACAAACAAATGGTCTGCGCCGGTTGCACCATGGAGGCAACCTAGAGAATAATTGTGTGGGGTGCCTAAAGATTCCAAGGGTGCCCTCGACTACGTTAATGCCTTGCAGAAAACATAGCAGCTGGCTTGCGGAAGAATACGATGGTACCTTGGTTCCTGAACAGCTTTGCTCCCGAACAAATCGGCTCCCAAACACCGCAAGCCCGGAAGTTTGTGAAAGTTTTTCGTGAGCTGAACATCCAATGTGGCTTCCGCTTGAGTGCAGGAAGCTCCTGCAGCCAATTGGAAACTGTGCCTTGGTTTTCAAACGGTTTCAGCAGTCGAATGGACTCCCGGAATGGATTAAGTTCAAGAACCAAAGTACCTCTGTATCCCCTACCCAGAGCCTACTGATGCTGAATCAAGACCCTCAGGGCCATAAACTACAACTGTCAACTTTTGAAGCAGCCTGTTGGTGTGCCTTTAAGACATGCTGTTCTGCAGCAAAGTCCACAGGACCACCGAGTTTAGCTGCCCATCTCCACCCACGTAAACCCTGGTCAGACCTGGGCTCCTCCAGGCAACCTGTTTCTTCAGCATTCATTCCATTTTGCTTGCAGAACGCTTACACGGAGGTCAGACTACGTCTGGCCTTTACTGAGCATTGGTTCTGCAGATGAATGCCCTACCTGGAGAGGCCGGAGATCGAGCCTTAGACCTTCTGCATGTAAAAACAGATGCTCTACCTCTGAGTTTTGGTCTATTAAAGACTAAGTGAGATCCCAGTCCTTCTAAACGAGAGCTGCTTCAACAAAGGACGCTGCCTCATTCTGTGGCAGACCACTGGTCCATCGAGCTTAGCATCGTTGACACTAACTGGAGATGTCAGAAATTGAACGCACATGCTCTACCACTGAGATGCAGCCCTTCCCATATAGCCCAGAATACTTTTCATAGGATTGTAGAGTCAGAAAGGACCACATGGGTCATTTAGTCCAACCCCTGGCAATGCAAGAACCCTTTGCCCAACAAGCAGTTCGAACCTACAATTAAGAGTCTCGTGCCACACAGCCTGCCGTTTGATGAGCTGCGAGTGATAGTTCTGTCCCAGTGTCATTCAGTCACAGCATTTACAGAACTTCTTCTCAATCCTACGCGTCTGCAGCCTGTTTCTATCACAGTTGGGAATTCTAAGGGTTTCCTCCTTCCTTTCCTTTTCCCCGGACAAAGAATGATTTCGAGCTCTGCACGGAGCTTCCCGCCCAACTCCTAAGCTTCTACAGGGCTCCCCTCTTGCCCAGATTCACTGAGGTTTAGGAAAATCAGATACCCCAAGGTGGCTTTCCCTACGCTGTTGATTTTTATGTGGCTCTTCCTGTGCGAGGTGAGGCCCGCCCTCTGGCTGAAGCGCTTCCCGCACTCGGCGCACTTGTAGGGCTTCTCCCCCGTGTGGATCCTCACGTGGGTCATAAGGTTACCCTTCTGGCTGAATGTTTTCCCGCAGTCCGAGCACTTGTACGGGTTCTCCCCCGAGTGGATCCTCTTGTGAGCAATGAGGTTCCACTTCCGGTTGAAGCTCCTCCCGCAGTCTGAGCATTTGTATGGGGTCTCCCCTCGGTGGATTCTCCGGTGCCCCGCCAGGTACCGCTTCTGGTTGAAACTCTTCCCACACTCAGAGCATTTATATCGCCTGTCCCCCACGTGGCTCCTCTCGTGGGGGACGAGGAGGTCTGGGCTCGGAGGAAAGGCCGAGGACTTGAACAGTTTCTCGTCCCTGGAGACTGCTTCCTGCTTAAGGACGCCTTGGCTTGGCCGGAAGCTTCCGTTGGTGTTGCTGTGCGGTTTCGCCTCCACACAATTTTGGGCTTTGGGTTCCTTCCCGCGGAAGCCGCCTTCCCAACAGGCTACAGCTCCACCCGTTCTACTTTCGGGGTCCTGTTTGCCTGCCAGCGCCTTCTGACCCAACAACACAGTTCCCTCCTCGTAATTCTGGAAGACCAAGCCGATTCTCATGGATGCATCGTGCGGCTCCACCTGGTCGGAGCCTTCCTGGCGATGAAGGTTATCTCCCACCTGCTCGTTGGCTGCAGAGATAAGAAGAGCTTATTATACTGAGGCAAAATGCTCAGGACTGCAATACCTCAAGGACCACCTCTTCCCATATGAACCGTCCCGGAGCCTGTGATTGTCAATCGAGGCCCTTATTTGTGTGCCTCCTCCACAAGAGGTCTGGAGGGTGGCAACATCTTGACATCTTTCCGCAGGGCCTGCAAGACAGAGCTGTTCCACCAGGCCTTTGGTTAGGGCACAGCCTGACTCCCTCCTTTGGCAATCTTTACAATACTTTAGTTTATGGTTGCCATCAATTTTGATTTTAATTAATTCTTATGATGTTTTATAATGTTGCACTATTTTAGTGTTGTTAGCCGCCCTGAGCCCGGCTTCGGCTGGGGAGGGCGGGATATAAATAAAATTTATTATTATTATTATTATTAACATGATAAGGGGCCTTTTCTGTGGTGGCTCCCTGTTTGTGGTGTGCTCTCCCTAGGGAGGTTCACCTGGTGCCTTCATTATGCATATTTAGGCACCAGGTAAAAACGTTCCTCTTCAGCCAGGCCTTTGGCTGATTGACATCCGATGCCCTTTTAAATGTGTTATGGGAGCGGGGATTACATACCTACATACATACATAATTTTATTGCGGTCAAAGACCAGCTCAAAAAGCACAACTGGGACAGGTTTCACAAGAATAAAAAAACCACACATTTAAAACACTGTACAACAACATCTTAAAGATTAAAATCTGAGATAAAAGCAGGGATTATTGGTTTGTTTTGTTGTTCTTTTTATTATATATTTTGTGTTTTTATGTATCGTAATTTTACGTTGTGAACCGCCCTGAGATCTACAGATGAAGGGGTGTCTAATAATAATAATAATAATAATAATAATAATAATAATAATAATAATACACTTCTTTTGCCACTGGCACCACCCACCCCTGGCATGCGGGTCTCAGGAGGTTGCCCAGGAGAGATTTCAAACCCCCAGGCTGGAAGTTTTCCCACCCCCTGATCAGACCCTCCATGTTCACCATTACTGAGTTGGTTTTCCTCCTTGTTCTGATCCTGCTTGGCTATTCTGCAGAGCTGCCTGTTCCAAGTGTCGGACAGGATCTGGTCCACTTTGGAGGAATTCACAGCCACCTCTGCAAAAGGTGCTGGCAGCTGAAAGAGAGCGGGGAGGCGGATGGACAGACATTAAGAACATACATTAAAAACCTAAGAACGCAGCTAGAAACCAGGTCAGTGGCCCATCCAAGCCCAGCATCCTGTTCTCACAGAGGCCAACCAGATGCCTGTGGGAAACCAGCAAGGAGGATTCGAACACAAGAGCCCTCTGCCTCTCCTCCTTACAACCGGCGGTATGTGAATAATCACGAAATGATATTTAGAATTGTCACACCTTTGCTCCTTCGGCTGCACTGGTGTTTGCGGACACTGTTGAGGCCACATTTGGGAAAGCAAATATTTTATGTGTGGCGCTTTCACCACCACAGCCATTATTTGCCTGCCCACCCCCACTCCCTGGTGGCCATCAGGCTGTTAATAAATGAGATGGGGAACCAGATGATGATGCTAACCTACATTTTGCCTGTTATGTGTGAGTGTTACTATAATAGTAATAATGGCAACACTAGAAGAGGGCCTTTTCTGTGGTGGCTCCCCGCTTGTGGAATGCTCTCCCCAGGGAGGCTCACCTGGTGCCTTCCTTACATATCTTTAGGTGGCAGCAGGGGTGCCAACTTGAATAAAATATTGGTGGGGGGTGCCAGGTAAGCCTTGCTCTGCATAATCGATCACAAGACATCACACACACACCATTTGAATGGCAATGCCCATCAACTTTGGGGGGGTCCGGACCCCTGAAATATTTTACAGGGGGGGGGGGCAAAAAAACCTTGGCTCCTAGAGGTTGGTTCCTATGGGCACCAGACAAAAACATTTATCTCTCCCCAGGCCTTTGACTTTTCACTGTCTATGGCCTTTATGCATGGGAGGGATGTTTCGTTGTATTGCTTAAAATGCTGTAAGCTACTTTTGAGTTTCTACGGCAAAAAAGCAACCGATCAATTTAATAAATAATAAGATAAGCAAAATCAAGCAACACACAAAGTGGATCGCCTCCAAACCCAACCCACACTCCTTCTTGCGATCTGCCCGCCATCGAGGCCTCTCACCTGCTGCCCGCATCTCTTGCCGTTTTGCCGCCCCATCAGGAAGCCTTCTGCCAGGGCCACTGCCTGGGCGCAGCTCTCTGGCTCGCTCTCGCGTACCCAGCTCTGCATCTCCAGGGGCAGGATGATCAGGAACTGCTCCAGGATCAGCAGCTCCAGGATCTGCTCCTTGGTCTGCCTCTCCGGTTTCAGCCACTGGCAGCACAGCTCCCGGAGCCTTTGGCAAACCTCGCGGGGCCCTTTGGCCTCCTGGTAGCAGAAGTGGCGGAAGCGCTGGCGCCGTGTCTCTGGCCGCAGGGCCCCCTCGCTCGCGGCCTCTTCCTTCACCTTCACAAAGGAGTCCAGGCTTCGGTAGACCTTCTGGGCTTCCCTGCCGAGGCCCGGCACAGCCTGGGTGACCCAGCCACCCCTCGGCCACTGCGCGGCATTGGTGACACCTTGGAATGAGGCCTGGATCTCCTTGGCCTCCTCCCCAGAGACAGGATGAGGCTGCGACCTGGAGTCTGGGGCCTGCACGCTCTGCAAGAACTGCTGCCACTGGGTCTCCCAGTGCTGCTGCTGCAGCCCCTCCTCTGGCTCCCGCTTGATCTGTGGTGGGAGATCCTTGCTCACGAAGGTCCCGATGCTCCCCACATGGACCACTTGCGGGACTCTCTTTCCTTCCCCCTGCATCCCCTGCCACAATTTGGAGCCGGCCATGTCCTGCTCCTCCATTTTCAGAGGCTCAGGGGTGCCTGCAGCTAGCTGCGTCCCCCTGCTTGTCTTTCAAACTATTCCAGTCTCCCGCTTCCAACGCGGGACAGCCTCCGATGTCTTAACCCTCTCGAGATAAGGGGCTTCTCTTGGAGTCACAATCAAGGGTCTCCCGTCCGGTTCTCAAGTAGGAAGATGGGCTTGTCCTAAACAGGAAGAGAGACAAAGCCAGGGTGTGTGTGTGTGAGAGAGAGAGGGAGAATAAGAATGGTAAATAGTAAGCCCCACAGGGCAGTGATAGCTGCAGAGCAAAAGAACATAAGAAGTGCATTTGTAAAGACTTTGTTTTTCTGGCTAAAGTGTTTGTAAAAGCCGAAAATCAAAAATTAAAATTAAAAAAGGAAAGAGAGTCCTGCTCTGGTTTACAACACATTAAAACACCAAATAAACCAATCCAGAGCAGGCATAGGCAAACTCCGGCCCTCCAGATGTTTGGGACTACAATTCCCATCATCCCTGACTGCTGATCCTGTTAGCTAGGAGTGATGGGAATTGTAGTCCCAAATATCTGGAGGGCCGGAGTTTGCCTATGCCTGATCCAGAGTAAAACAAATCCAAGCTTCAAGGAAAGTATTTCAGATCCTTCTCTAAATGACATTTTGTTCTGCCTATATTTATTTACCAACTTACCGGTAATTTATAGATCTGCCCCATAGCAGAAGTTCTCCAGGAAGCCAGGCTGTTGTTGTGGTTAGAGCAGTGTTTCCCAAACTTAGGTTTCCAGCTGCTTTCGAACTACAGTTCCCATCGTCCCTGACCACTGGTCTTGCCAGCTAGGGATGATGGGAGTTGTAGTCCAAAAACAGCTGGAGACCAAAATTTGGGAGATGCTGGGTTAGAGTGTCGGAAAAGGACCTGGGAGATCAGCTTTCGAATCCCCACTCAGTCATGAAGCTCACTGGGTGACCTTGGGCCAGTCGCAGCCTCTTTACCTACCTCACAGAGTCATTGTGAGGATCAACTGAGGGTGTGTGTGTGAACCATGTACTCCTTGGATAAAAAGGCAGGATATAAATGCAATAAACAAGATCTTCTCCTAAAGAAAGCTGGGGGGGGGCAGTCAGATGGAGATGTCAGTAGTCAGCCTGGCACCCAGAGATCTCCACATGGTCATGACTGGACCTACGCCAGTAGCAAACCGCGCCGGGCAGCTGGCTAATTTCTAACACTGCTCACAACGCCTGCAGGTTTCAAGCAAGACCCTCTCCTCCATGAATTTGTCTAATCATCTGTTGAAGCCATCCAAGTGTCACTATCTCCTAGACTCCATCTCCCTATCCCACTGGTTTTCAAGGGGGGCAAAATCTTGCCTTTGCAGGTTTCCACCATCAAAAAAACGAAGATCATGGCCACTGGGCCCATCACCTCCTGGCAAATAGAAGGGGAAGAAATGGAGGCAGTGAGAAATTTTACTTTCTTGGGCTCCATGAGCAGATGGTGACAGCAGTCACGAAATTAAAAGACGTCTGCTTCTTGGGAGAAAAGCAATGACAAACCTAGACAGCATCTTAAAAAGTAGAGACATCACCTTGCCGACAAAGGTCCGTATAGTTAAAGCTATGGTTTTCCCAGTCGTGATGTATGGAAGTGGACCATAAAGAAGGCTGATCGCTGAAGAATTGATGCTTTTGAATTATGGTGCTGGAGGAGACCTTTGAGAGTCCTATGGACTGCAAGAAGATCAAACATGTCCATTCTTAAGGAAATCAGCCCTGAGTGCTCACTGGAAGGACAGATCGTGAAGTTGAGGCTCCAATACTTTGGCCACCTCATGAGGAGAGAAGACTCCCTGGAGAAGACCCTGATGTTGGGAAAGATGGAGGGCACAAGGAGAAGGGGACGACAGAGGACGAGATGGTTGGACAGTGTTCTCGAAGCTACCAGCATGAGTTTGACCAAACTGCGGGAGGCAGTGGAAGACAGGAGTGCCTGGCATGCTCTAGTCCATGGGGTCTCGAAGAGTCGGACACGACTAAACGACTAAACAACAACAACAACAACCCTTACTAGCAAGAAGCCACAGATTTGGAGGTCAGACCCAAACGAAATTGAAGTGTCAGGGTTTTGTGTTCCTCTCCCCCCCACCCCTATTGTTGCATCTCTCAGCAGGCTGTTCTCCTCTCTCCTCCTCTCCCCTTGCAAAAGTTGTTTCGCCCCTTTGCAGCCAGGGTTCCTTGCAGCACTGCTGCTGTTCCTTTGTGTCCCCCTGGAAATTATTTCTCAGCTTTCAATGCCCACCGCCCCCCACTTTTTGCACTCACCTCTCCTTGGCTGGCTTAGCAATGCATCTGCGCTGTGCATGGCCCATGAATAAGAGCACTTCTGATCCAGACTCACTCTCAGCAGCCTGAGAAATTATATTCTTATATTTTATTTCATTTTTTTTAAAAAAGCCAGTTTCCCACCAGGGCTCTCTTAGAAAGTGGGGTTTGTGGAGAGGGGGGGGAGGAAGTGGCTTCGCAATTCCTGATACTTCCCTCCTGACATTGCCCGGCGTTGCTAGGAATCGCGGTTGCACTCGGTAGATTTAACCTTTTCCAAACAGGCCTGGGCTGCTCTTCTGTGAGCTTTTTCGGGCAAGAACAGGGCTGGGGAATCCTGCGGGTCGTCAGATGTTGCTTGGACTACAGCTCCCAGGATTCCTGGCCATTGGGCCACGCCTGCTGGGGGATGATGGGAGTTGTAGTTCATTAACACCTGGAGAGCCACTGGAAAGAGCTGTTCTTGGGCTTCTATCCCTCCCTGCATCTGTATCGGATTCGAAATTGTTTTTGGAGATGAAAGCGTTTTTTACATATATATTTTTAATCATTGTCAAATCAAATCAATCTTTACTACGGTCCAGAGACCCAACAATTAATCATTGTAATGGTCTGAATATAAAATTGTGCCATTGTTTTTATTGCTGCTTCTTATTATTATTACAGTGGTACCTCAAGTTACATACGCTTCAGGTTACAGACTCCGCTAACCCAGAAATAGTGCTTCAGGTTAAGAACTTTGCTTCAGGATGAGAACAGAAATCGTGCTCCGGCGGCGTAGTGGCAGCAGGAGGCCCCATTAGCTAAAGTTTCAGGTTAAGAACGGATGTCTGGAACGAATTAAGTACTTAACCCAAGGTACCACTGTGTTATTATTTCCCAACTTCATTTGAATGAATTTAAACCTGCTGCCACCCTGCAAAAGGAGTATGTCCAAACTCCTGAGAAGACTATTCTGACAGAGCTACAATTCTCAAGGCTTCCTGTGAAGAGATATTGACCGTTACACCACTCTGCAGTTGTAGCTCTGTGATGGGACTAGGACATCTCCTGACAATTCCCAGCACCCTTAACAACTCCCAGGATTATTTGGGGGAAGACATGGCTGTTCCAAGTGACATCACAGTGCTTTAAACGTATGGTGTGAATGTGGCCTGTATCTTCTCTGCTACTGTTGTAAATAAAAAATGCCCTTTTCCCTTATGGGGTATCCAAGAGCCCATATAGAGTCCTTACATAGGTTCCCTATTGGTAGGAGAAAATAACAGAGGCCAACCAGAGAATATTGAGAAGCAAAGCAGCTAGTAAGCTTGATCTTTATTGATCTGTTGCAACAGGGTACTCCCTCACACGCAGGAGAGGAGGACCCAGAAAGATGGTGTGCAAGACCTTATAAAGACTTTTGAAATTCCCATTCTCTAGCTCAAGACCACCCTCAGAAACATTATGCATACATCACAGAAGGGGTGTATCCTAAGACCACCCCTCAGATACATCCCACCTACATCACAGAAATTTAAATGTTGTTTTTCTCCTGTTACAGTTTATCTCCTGTCTGGCAAGTTACTTGATTGGATTTCCTGGGGAGCCTGGCCATTCTTTTGTAGTGGTAAAATACTTATTTCCTGGGCCAGGTCACAGGCTCACACCTTATTCATATCTTAAATGTGTCCTTAAGACAGGATTTGTGAGGAAAGAGACAATGGGGAGACTCTTCCAGTTTGACTTTGCAGAGAAAACATTTGGTCAGTTTAGGAATCAAAATGGTTCCAGGTTGGTCTTCCTGTGACTATAAAATTCCTATCACACTACCCAGCATCTTAAATCATGACTTAAGTCATCAACTTTGCCTTCCCACGAGAGCACTTACACACCACGTTTCCTTCTGTGTGGGATCATTCTTGTGGGGTGAGGCTCTAGCTTTGCTGAATTCATTCCCTTCTTCCTATCCCCCCATGCTGCCTGAGTTTGGGCGGGTGGTTGAGAAAGACGGGGTCTTTTTGAGTGTGGCACCATTCGCTGTGGAATGCCCTCCCAAGAGAAACAGATGTGGCTATGCCACTGCTCACTGCCCATCACACAGGCTTTTTCAGAACATTTTGGGGATGGGTGATGGCATTCACTGCTTTTGCTCACCGATGTGGAGGGGTTGACTGCTGCATAGTTATTTCTGTAAGACTAGTTTTATTTTAAAAGCTTTAATTGTTGAAAATTACTTCTTTTAGTTGCCTTGATTTCCACACTCTCCACCCCCAAGGAAAGGCATTTCTTTCTATATCCTAAATATATAAAATAAAATTTACTGACGCTTTCAAGGCACAAGCTGCGCAACCAGTGTTATAACCTTTTTCCAGTCCTGTGTGGATTTTTTTTTTTGGGGGGGGGAAGAATTTTTATTTGATTTTACAAATTCATTCACATTCAAAATCACAGATAATAAAAAATACACAAGATTATTCCGAACCTCAAGATCTCCCTGCTCCCCTCTGTGGGTTCTTTAGATAACTTTTTCAACTGCATACTAGAAGTCCTCCTAAGTTTCAGCCCTGTGTCCAAAGTCTATATAACATTACAAGAGTTATTTAAGACCTGCCAAAGTGTTCAAGTGTTTACAGTGGTCTGTCAAGTATAGTATAATTTTCTCCCATTCTTTGTTGAAGTTTCGATCCTCCTGGTTTCTGATTTCCCCCGTCATTTTTGCCATCTCTGCATAAGCCAATATTTTGCTCTGCCAGTCCACTCTGGTAGGGACCTTGCTTTCTTTCCAACCTTGGGCGAGCAGCATTCTTGCCGCTGTTGTAGCATACATAAACAGTGTTTTCGGTATCTCTGCACTTACAATTCCTAACAAAAAGGCTTCTGGTTTTTTAAACAAACACTATTTTAAACATTTTTTTCAGGTTGTTGTATATCATTTCCCAGAATTCCTTTATTACTTTACAATTCCACTACATACGGTAAAAGGTGCTTTCCTTTTCTTTACATTTCTAGCAAATATTTGAGCTTGTCCTATACATTGTTGCTAATTTAAAGGTAAAGGGACCCCTGGCCATTAGGTCCAGTCGTGACCGATTCTGGGGTTGCAGCGCTCATCTCACTTTATTGGCCGAGGGAGCCGGCGTACAGCTTCCGGGTCATGTGGCCAGCATGACTAAGCCGTTTCTGGCGAACCAGAGCAGAGCACGGAAACACCGTTTACCTTCCCACCGGAGTGGCACCTATTTATCTACTTGCACTTTGATGTGCTGATTGGACAGTGTTCTCAAAGCTACCAATATGAGTTTGACCAAACTGCGGGAGGCAGTAGAAGACTGGAGTGCCTGGCGTGCTCTGGTCCACGGGGTCACGCAGAGTCAGACATGACTAAACAACAACAACTTTGATGTGCTTTCGAACTGCTAGGTTGGCAGGAGCAGGGACCAAGTAACGGGAGCTCATCCCATCGTGGGGATTCAAACCGCCGACATTCTCATCGGCAAGTCCTAGGCTCTGTGGTTTAACCCACAGCGCCACCCGTGTCCCTAATTTTGCTAATTTACTCAGCGTTAAATACCAGTGGTACATCATTTTCATATAGTTTTCTTTTAATGTATAACACGCTGTAAATTTCTAATCTTCTCTACATAGTTTTTCCCATCCTGAAAGCTGTATGTTGTATCCAAAATCCCTTGCCCATTGTATCATAACCAGTTTAACTTCTTCATCTTTAGTAAACCATTCCAATAATAATTTATACATTTTAGAGAGTAATTTCACATTATTCTCCAACCATTCTCAGACCTCAATATCTCATTAGAAAATCCCTTTCTTTTATCTGTTTTAAAAACATCTCTAACTGGTGATACTGTAACCAATCCGTTAAAAGATCTCGTATACCCTCAATTTTTTTCAATTTCAACTGGTGCTCTTCTTCTACTAATAATTCCTTATATGTTGCCCAACCCTTTCTCATATTCAATTTTTTCACATAAATCGCTTCTAGTGGGGAGAGCCACCATGGTGTTTTCTGCTCCAAGAGATTTTGTATTTTTCTCATACGACATATAGTGACTTTCTTAATAAGTGGTTCAGGAAATCTCTGTGTACTTTTGACTTTTTCATACCATAAATATGAATGCAACCAAATCTATTATCGTGACCCTCCAAATCTAAAGTATCTGTATTTTGTAATGTTATCCATTCTCAGGGACAGGAAAAGCAGGACACCTCATAATATAACCTTAAATCTGGCAGGGAAAAGCCGCCTCTATCCTTAGAATCTATTAATAATTTGTGTTTTATTCTTGGCTTCTCCCCTGCCAGATAAATTTTGAAATATCTACTGTACTGTGTGGATTTTCTCATGTGCACAAAGGTCTGTCTTCCGAACAAATGTTTTCCCACAGAGGGCGCACTTGTATGGCTTCTCCCTCATGTGTATTATCTCGTGTTTTACAAGTTTGGACTTTATAGGGAAGCTTTTCCCGCATTGTAGGCACTCATACGGCTTCTCCCCTCTGTGCTTCCTCACGTGGTTGTTCAGGTAACGCTTTTTGTCGAAGCTCTTCCCACAGTCTGAGCACTTGTACGGTGTCTCCAGTGTGTGCAGCCTGACGTGTTCCTGTAAGACTGAACAATTGTCAAAGTTTTTGCCGCAGTGAGAGCACGTGTACAGAGATTCTCCTGTGTGGATTCTCATGTGCTGCATGGAGCCTGAACTGCAACTGAAGTTTTTCCCACCATTAGGGTAATTATACAGGTTCCATAATCCTGTGTGGGTTCTCTCATGTGCAAGAAGGCCCTGCGTCTGAATGAAACTGTTTCCACAATAGAATGACAGGTACGGCTTCTCTCTGATGTGAATGCTCTGCTGTACCATAAGGTCTGAGCTCCGTTCAAAGTTTCTTTGACAGTCAGTTGATGCTTTTTGTACCTCAGTACACTCTGTTCTTTGTGATTCAGCGGATTCTCTCTCTCTCTGCTAACGTCTGCATAGAAAGTGGATTTTTCCACCAGACCACTCTCATAGCTTCTCTCATCATTCAACAGCCCTGGCTGATTCTCAAACATTATTTGCTTTTGATGGTCATGGAATTCATCCTCTCTTCCCAGACAGGCATTGTTTGCTTCTCTTGCACAGAACCTTCCTGGTGGAGTGTATTTGTCTCATCCTCCAATACCTGCTCATTACCTGTAGGAATAAAAAACCCCCAGAGAATCTTATCTGTTCTGGAGTAATTATTCCAAACAGAAAATCAACAGAGTTTAGTATCAGAGCTGTTGCAGGCAGAATATGTGAGAATATTCTCTTTCCCCCTCATAATACGAGAATTAAAGTCTTTGGCTGAAATTGTGTAGTTGTAGCTTCAGCGCAGACAATAGAAAGCACTTCTAATTAAATTTTAAAACTACTAGACAAGGCAATGGCTGCTGCCTTAGTTTATGGGAGTCTTCTGGTTTTTTTTAAGGATTAGAGAAATTCATGGAAAACAGGTCGGTCGTGTTGTACTGGATTTCTCTAGTCAAAAATTGTCCAGCTCTGAATATCAGATGCTAGAGTAAAAATAACAAAACCCAGAAAATAGAGGGCTGAGGCCTATAAACCCAGCTTGAGGAAAGGTTACAGCTTTTAGGACTTTTTAGTTAAGAAGAAAGAGGAGTAAGGGAAGGGATGTGATTGTGATATGGAGAAAGTGAACAGAGACATTTTCCACCTTATCTCATAATACTAGAATCTGGAGACATCGAATGAAATTGAACAAGGGCTTGTGGCAGTGAGGGGGTTGAGTGACAAGGGAAGCATCGTGGTGAGGGAGAACTGTGGACAGGGGTGCCAACTTTAATAAAATATTGGGGAGGAGGGTCAGGTAAGCCCCACCCCACATAATAGATGCAGTGCACTTACTCCATTTGAATGGCAACACCCGTCAACTTGGGGGAGGGACTCCCCTCAAATTCGCCTTAAGGGTGAAGTCAACCTGTCGGAAGTTGCAGCGCCTGCTGTGGCTGTAGGGACCAATGCGGGATAATGATAATAATAACAATGACAGACAAGTGCATATTTGCCAGAGGGGGGGGGAAGGAGTGAGAGGAGAAACCGCCTCATGAAAACCTGAGCATGGTGAATCCTTACTCGGCAATCTCGTCACTTCACTCTGCCTGTCCGCGGCTTCTCTGATGACCTGCCTAGCCCAGGTGTCCCGTGGCAGAAGCTGGCCCGTCTCAGAAGGATCCGCAGCCATCACCGCAAAAGGCACAGGTACCTGAAACAGCAGTGAGGAAGATCATGAACAGAAAAGGCCCTGTGGCTTCCGCCAGCCTGAAGTTGGATAACAAGTAAAGTGGTACCTCGGGTTAAGAACTTAATTCGTTCTGGAGGTCCGTTCTTAACCTGAAGCACCACTTTAGCTAATGGGGCCTCCTGCTACTGCCGCCACACGATCTCTGTTCTCATCCTGAAGCAAAGTTCTTAACCCGAGGTACTATTTCTGGGTTAGCAGAGTCTGTAACCTGAAGCGTTTGTAACCCGAGGTACCACTGTAATGGTCCGAAGGAACCCGACATGACATACACTTTCTGGCCACCAAGATATGGGCTAGAACAAATCCCTCTAAATACATTAATTTCCATGGGTTACTTAAGACCCAGACACTTGAAATAGCAAATTACCGTATTGGCTTGAATATAAGCCGCACCTGCAAATAAGCCATACCTTTAAAATTCAGCGGCTTAAAGGAGGCTTGGGAGCAGCGGACAGGACGCGCCACGTTGCCCCCAGGCTGCTCTTGGGGGGGGGGACTGGGCCGCTTTGCCAGCAGCCTCTGCCCCTACCCCCCTTCATTCCTACGGCTCGGGGGAGGCTTGGGAGCGGCGGGCAGGCAGGGTGCCGTTGCCCTGCGCTCCTGGGCTGCTTCGGGGGGGACGGGACTGTGTCACTTTGCTGGGAGCAAAAGGTCGCGAATATAAGCCGCACTTGACTTTCACGATCAGACTTTGGGGGGAAAGTGCAGCTTATATTCGGGCCAATACGGTAACCGATAGAAATCCATTTCAGCACCATATCATAGACACCGTATGCCAGCAGGTGAAGAACTGGATGTGTCTAGCAGTCTGGATACTTATCTCCCCCTCCCACCCTACAGGCGAAATTTGACAGGTAGGCGGAGCTGCCCACCTGTCAATCCCTCAACATCACAGTGACATGATAAGGTGCCCACACATGCAGCCGTGTGCAAGCTCTAACAACCAGGTGATCGTCATTCGCAAACACTCACCATTAACTGACCACAGGCCCAATGGAGAGTCCTGGAAGGTCTAAATCAGTCATCCCCAAACTCGGCCCTCCAGATGTTTTGGGACTACAATTCCCATCATCCCTGACCACTGGTCCTGTTAGCTAGGATGATGGGAGTTGTAGTCCCAAAACATCTGGAGGGCCGAGTTGCCAGAGAGAGCTTCCCCACTGCTGCTGTACACCTTCAGAATTTCTCACCTTCTGTTCCGGACCCTCCATCTCATCCTGCCCCAAGAGGAATCCCTCCGCCAGGGCCACCGCCTGGGCGCAGGTCTCTGGCTTTCTCTCCCTGACCCAGCTCTGCATGTCTCCCGGCAGGATGCTCAGGAGCTGCTCCAAGATCAGCAGCTCCAGAATCTCATCCTTTGTGTGCCTCTCTACTTTCAGCCACTGGCCACAAAGCTCTCGGAGCCGGCCATAAACGCCTCTCGGACCCTCCGCCTCCCGATAGCGGAGTTGCCTGAAGTGCTGCCGCTGCTTCTCCCTCGCAATGGCCTCCCCTTCCAAGATGGCCGCCTTCACCTTCCTGTAGTCTCCCTTGTCCTGGGCACTGAGGCCGCTGAAGGCCTGCTCAGGCTCTCCGCTGAGAGCCGGCAGGAGGAGGGCCACCCACTTGTCCCGAGGCCACTGGCAGGCCGAGGCTACTTGCTCAAAGGAGGCCAGGAAGGCCTTAGCATCCTCCCATGGGGAGGGCTCCTCAGATATCTGTAGGTTCCTGCATCCTGAGTTGGGAGCCTGCAGCATCCTCAGAAACTCCTGCAACTGGGCTTCCCAGCGTTCCAGCGCCCCTTCTTCCGGCTCACGTTTTATATAATGGGAAGGTGTCCCAATAAGGAACTGCCCCATGCCCCTGTGATGTGCGGCTTTTGCTACACCTTCCATTTCTTCCCATGCTTTGGAGCCTGTTACGTTCCGCATGTCCATTTTGAGAACCGGACTGCCCCTTCCTTGAGCTTGTTTGGAGGTTCTAGCAGGGGAGCGTGGCTATTGTATACCCTTGACCGAAGAACGGTACACTCCTTCTATCTGGGATGGTCGTCCTCTTCCACCGAGCGCGCAGCTTCGGGAGGGACGCACATGGAGCGGTGAGGGAGGAAGGGGACACCCGCCTAGCCAGCCAGATCAGCCGAATCAACCCTGGCAATCAATGGGGTGACAGATGTCGCAGCCAGATCGGCCTCACATCCCGGACTGCCCCTTCCTCCTCCTCTCGCTTTCTCTCCCGTCTCTTGTCAAAAATGGAGGCGGTCCAAGACCCTCAAGGGGGGTCTGCAAAATCAGTAGAAGTGGTTTATTTCTAAGCGACGGCCAGAAATTCCTGAGCCAAGCCAGCGAGGGAGGCTCCTCCTCCTAACAGCAAGAAACAAAAAATAAATGAGAGGAAACATTTATTTTATTTTTTGCTTGTTACTTTGTCAGTGTTGTCAATATTGTTTTATAGATTATGACTGCTGTAGTACTTTGTGAATTCTGTAAGACTTTTGCTGCCATTGTGCTGTTTTCTTCGGGTGGTGGTGGTGTTAATAGTATTTTATATACTGTATTGTAATTGTTTTACTGATTATTTGTAATTCTTTTGCTGGTGGTTTGTTATTCTATATGGCACGTATTTGTGATATTCTGTTGTGTTATTGTTACTTATCTATCCATGGGATAGCTCAGCATGAGAGTCTTAAATCTCAGGGTTGTGGGTTCGAGCTCCACACTGGGCAGAAAGATTCCTGCATTGCAAGGGGTTGGGCTAGATGACCTCGTGGTGCCTTCCCATCTGAAGGCAGCCCTGTTTAGGGAAGCTTTTAATGTTTAATGGGTTATTGTATTTTTAGTGTTTTGTTGGAAGCCGCCCAGAGTGGCTGGGGAAACCCAGCCAGATGGGCGGGGTATAAATAATAAATTATTATTATTATTATTATTATTATTATTATTATTATTATTATTCCAACTGATTCACTTGAATGAAAAGTGGCGTAGAATAATAACAAATCAAATCAACTGAAGAGGAGGAGGACCTGGCTATAGTACTGAGACTGACCTGAAAGCGGCCCAGGATTAGACAAATTCATGGAGGTAAAGGCTACAAAGGACTTGCCGATCGAAAGGTCGGCGGTTCGAATCCCCGCGGCGGGGTGCGCTCCTGTTGCTCGGTCCCAGCGCCTGCCAACCTAGCAGTTCGAAAGCACCTCCGGGTGCAAGTAGATAAATAGGGACCGCTTACTGGCGGGAAGGTAAACGGCATTCTGTGTGCTGCGCTGGCTCGCCAGATGCAGCTTGTCACGCTAGCCACGTGACCCGGAAGTGTCTGCGGACAGCGCTGGCTCCCGGCCTATAGAGTGAGATGAGTGCACAACCCTAGAGTCTGGCAAGACTGGCCCCTACGGGCAGGGGTACCTTTACCTTTTTAAAGGCTACAAGCT